CGATTGCATCGCTTCACGGACTTTTGCACTCGGTTTCGGGGCGCGGCTCGGTCGTTTCGGTGAGGGTGGGCGGTCGGCCACCTCGATCACTGCCTCGGGTTGCGCCGCCGCCGCCATCTCGCGATCCCTTGGCAGGGCGGCTCAACTTCCGAAAAAGCCGATTTTCTGTTGGATTGAGCAGACAAATACCGCCTTCTACCTTCGACGCTGGTCTTTCTTTCGGGTGCCGAACGATTCGATCTCTGGGGCTGCCGAATTGTCGCGTCTCTCCGCCGGATATGCGCGCACTGCACGCATTTTTTGCCGTCGCTCCACACGGGCAATCCATCGATGGCCGGCACTACCTCGTTGGGGAACCGGATGCCGCGTACATCGGCGGCCAACAAACCATCGTCCCGCAACGCCGACGCCTCCTCCACAATACGCCGGTGGACCTGGGCGGTTATATGGCGGTGCTGCGAATTGATATGCGATATAATTGACTTGGCCGTCACTGCTCTGCAATGCTCGCGGCAAATCGCAATCCAGGACGTGGGCAACGGAATGAATACCTCGTTAAACACTGCCATCGTTTTCAATCGTCCTTTCCCGTTCAACAACCGTATCTGTCTGTACCTACCCGGTATATTGCTCCTGCTTCGCTGGTGAATTGATACGCTGGCTGCCATCTTTCCCTCCCCTCCCCCCTTTTTTTTCCCCCTCCTTGCCTACTCCACTCTTGGCGGCGCTGCCTCGTTCCTTGGCGTCCCGGCCCGGAATTGACACAACGCCAACCCAGTTCGGCTCCTGGTGGGCCCGCGCCCCACACCCCTGCGGTCATTCGGTGCGGCCCGAACCGATTTCCCGTACTAGTGTACGGTAGGTTTGTTGCATGTTCTGCTTGGCAGAACCACTTGTGATGCCAGAGAGGGACAGTCTCATGCGGTTGGTTCACTTCGGGGTCCATCCGCCCGCTCGCGTAAGTCGTGGTACACGTCTTCCAAAAAAAGAACAATCCTATCGTGGTACCGAATGCCAATCGGGATCTGGCAGTGGACTCACGTACCACGCTAGCGTGGGGAGTCCGGAGTCCAAGTGGATTGTCGGCAAGGTGCGAGTTCAACCAACCGCTCGGCAAGGATGGCTTTGACCAGACAAAAGGCCTCCGGTATCCCAAACCACCTTCCCCGGCTGGGCAAACTCCCGAGGTCTTTGTCATTCGAGGACGGCTTTGCCAAGTGAAAGATCCACTGACGTTGGTGATGCGTCGTTCTGATCGGCCGATCCCGAGCCTGTTAGTGCTGCACGGAATACTACCCCATTCTAGGATAAACAATCCTAGCATAGGACATGGCACCAATCGGGAGTGGCGGCTGCACCACGTCACGCGCTAGGGTGGGCAGGATTACAGGCCAAACCTCATCTTAGCCCACTCGGAGAGCGTCTTGCAAGGGTGCGGGCTCACCGCGGCAGACAACGTAGTATCTTTGACAACGAACATCAGACCAAACATCACCAACTGCCTAATGCCAGATTGAATTAGGCATCCGTGTTCGTGATGGTGGCAGAATGCAACGGCACAAATGGAGCCGAGAACTGACTCAATTGCGAGAACGGCCGAGGTCCGCGTTCACGCTTCGAGTCCACCGGCATATGAAATTCGCAAGGCGACTGGGGTTGTTTGCAGCCATGTCTCAGGCACTGAATCAGGCCACAGGACTACCTACTCTACTTTGAGTAGGTAGGTACCTTGGTCAAGTGACAAGGCGTTTAGCAAGTAGCAACCCCAACCTGATAAGTATCCGTATCATGATCTGCTTCTTTTGAACTTGGTTCAGTGGTTACATGGTGAGAACGGACTGGCCCCCATGACAACGCTGACTTCGCGTTGACCTCCGCAGCTAACAGACCTCGCCCGAAGTCCCCGAAGTCGCCGGATGTGTCATGGATACCCCCGTTCTTGCCGTTCTTGCCAATGAATACGACTCAACAGCGCTCGCCGCTCGGGCTCATGAGCTGCGGTTTCGCGAGGCGGATGATGGTGACTTGACCGCAATACCCCTGAAATGCAGCCACAGCTGCGGCGTACCAACAGCGCCTGCGGGACTCGGAGCGGTCACAGAAACCTTGCTGGTCAATTTAGATTATCGCCCACTGCAGTACACCTATTCCAGGACCAATAATTATAGCGTGGTACGTAAGTCCACTGCCAGATCCAGATTGCCATTGGGTACCACGACAGGATTTTTTTTTTTTTTTGGAAGACGTGTACCGCGACTTACGCGAGCGGGCGGATGGACCCCAAAGTGAACCAACCGCATAAGACTGTCCCTCTGTGCCGCCATGGACTGGCATCACAAGTGGTTCTGCCAAGCAGAAGGCTACGTCGTCCCTGACTTGGGCGACGGCGTCTTCACGGCCAGCTTTGGAGAGCACGGTCTCGTCAATGTCACCCGAATCTCCGACATCGACCATGATGCCGTCCCTGGCGTTTCCGCCCGCGACGGCCTCGCCCCTCGTGCTCTCCCCATCTCGCGATTTGGCTGCTATCGGGCGTCGCAGAACCACAATGACTGGGAGATTGTCCGGGCCAACTTCAAGAACATGTGCAATCAAGGCGTGAGGATCCCTGGAAACGGCATCCGGTACGCTGTCAGCGGAGTTCAGATCGCGTTTGGATGCAGCTGGGGCGGGGAGAACGGGTGCAGCGGCGCTGAATACGATGAGTTCCTCAGGTACATCAATGGCAACTGTGGTGGATGGTACGGAGGATGGGTTGACATGGACAGCTGGAAGAAGCAGTATGGTATGGAACAGAAGGGCGAGGCCATCTGCGGCCATTCGATCAGCTGGCGTTGAGGACGACGACGGGACAGACACCCGGGACTAGTTGCCCGCCTGTCTGGTCTTGAAACGCAACCTAGGAATGACGCTCTTGGTTGGGTGTACGGGGGAGCGCGTCGTTTCCCAGGGCTTGGAGCAGGTCGGCAGTGAGTGTGTCATGATTGGGGTTGTATGGACGGATGGGTCAGAACAGGGTGAGCTGGGAAATGCTGTCGAAACTGTCAAGGTTATTGGTCAGTGGATCTGCGCTTTTTTTTCCCTCCCTAGCTTCAGTTGGCTATATATAAGGTAGGTAGCTTCTGGGGTAGAGTAGTCCTTGGCGCCCTTCGGGGGTGCTATGATTTAGTCGCCGACTCAACCATTGAGACAAATACGCACTCTCTTCTCTTCCGTTTCTTGGCCGCTGCACTTTCTTGTGTTTAGAACAGTGTCATGAGATCGATCAAGGGGCGCGTGCGTGTGTGGCACTCTTGCGCGAATGGCTCCGAGCTCTCCCACCAATGGGGGTGACTCGGAATCCGCTCAACTTGAAACTCCAGGACTGCGGGACATGGCCGTCGAGAGGTGTTGTGACTGGCAGTGTTCCGGGTTCTTAGGTTGGCGACAAAGCCATGAAGACGGAATACCGGAAGGTCTTGTGACCCTTAACCCTGGATGTGTGGCGCGTCGTCGTCGCGGGGACAAGGATGTGATCGCGAGGCTCAGCGGCTGAATTTTGAATTTGAGCTGACCTGGGCAAGTGCCATGGTCTGCGACGAGGCTTTTTTTCCAAGTTCTGGATGGATGCTGTTGGCCTTTGGTTCGTCCCCCTCCGTTCTCATTTTTTTCTCATTCCTTTCATGTTCCCCGACAACTGCGCAATAAAGGCCGAGTGTAAGCGCAGACAGACATACGGGTGCCCGCAGAAGAGCTGGAACAATAGACCTGGTCGATGACGATGGAGGATGGCTCTGTGGATAGAGCGCCGGCGCTGAATTGCACGGCCTCGTTGGGAGCAATCAGCACAAAACGTCAAATTGGAACATCTCTGTGAACTTAGTAGAAATTCGCAGAAGGAGGGGTGAAGAATCCGGATCAGCCTATCCTCTTCATCCGGGATATCGACGAGTAAGTGAAGTCTGCCCAACAGCGATGCGATCGTCTCCCTTGACTGGTCGAGTAGCAGAGCAAGGGTAGCGGAGGTATACGAGAGCCGACAGACTTTGATGGAGAATCTCAACACATTCTCCGAAATGGACAACGTCGCAAGTGCTAGGATCCACACTAAACACGAAGCCCGCACTAGTGCGAGGCCCGTTGCTGAACCTAAGCTCGAGATAGGGCAAAACGTCCAGCATTTCTTTGCGGTTGGCATCGCTGCTGTCGGGGGGGGGTTGGCTCCCGCACATCCCGGCGAAGCTGGGACTCGGGCAGGGGCAGGAAGGATCGGTCGCTGCCCTCGATAGCTTCGCGCGCATAGCCTTTGATCTGCGGCCCCTCGCCAAAGGGGTAAACCCGGGCAATCAGATCTGCGTCTGCCATGAATCAATCACTAGAGCGAGGGAAAACTCAACTGTTATGCGGAATTTGGATTCGTTGCCGCATACCAAAGGTATGTCTAAGAGGCCGTAACTACATATTCTGCCTACTAACTCAAAGATGCTATCTGGGAAGACAGAAACGGTAAACTTAGTCGTCAATAATTAACGACCGTTTTCGCGCATCCAAGATTCACCGATGATATATTCCTGTTCCTGCGAACTTGACACCCAAACCCGAGCATGTCCGTTATAGGGAGCTCGCGAAATCGGACTTGTTGTTGCTGAAAGATCTGCACGCGGACCTTCGCCGAGAATACAAGAAGCGCGAGGTGGCAATTGAGACGCTCTAGCAGTCGTTCGACGTGACGCAGCGTGCAGCATGGCGCCGCAGAGAACGTCTTGCTGAGTATACAGCGACACCAAAGAGAGCAACACTGAAAATAGCGAGTATAATGCTATCCAGCGATCGCAACAACGCAAGCGTCGTAGGGTAGGCGCTGCAACCCATACAGCTGCGGGGAAGCCCCTCGGCAGCACATACGTCCGTACTCCAGCGACTCCATGTCGCAAGAGGCTCGCAGCTCGTCCCGACGCCCAGATCGCCGGCACGGACACAGCAATAGCAAGCCGCCATCGTCGCAAGGCTCTACCTCGGAAAGGGACACTAAGATGGACAAATCCCCCGCGACAACGCATAAAGAATGGCGCCTTCCAGACACGGACCTCAAGTGCGTTACAATGCACGGCTCGCCAGCTACTTTCACGCTGCAGTTTTCCTGGTGTCCATTCGCAGAACACGGGGCAGGGCACCGTGGCACGGAACATCGAGGTACCGTTTCCTCCGCGAAGACGGGCCGCCTGGCGAGACAGAAGCGCAAAGGGACACGGAGAACAAGGGCATTATACCAAACGCCTAAACCTCGCAATTCCGGAGCAAGACCGGCACGGGTTACATCCACCTCTTCGATCTCGCCTTCCCCGGTCCAGCGTCGATGAGGCGTAGATCCACGGAAGAGAAGATCCAAGGGAATCTTCTGGGAAGTCGTGAGGAACGACAGAAGCGTCAACAAGATATAGGCATCTTCTGAACCGGTGTGATTCGATGTAGGTATAGCCCCAGATGCAGCCGCCAGGGACCCAGCCTTCCACGCATGCTTTGCTTATTTAGCCAAGCCAACGCGCCCAGTTCTTTGGTACCGGAGCATGATGCTGATCGGGAACTTCTTCCAGCTGCCGCCTGTGGCGGAGAGAGCTCTGTATGCTGGTACCATCAGGAGGGGTCTGTCCGACGTCGACCTCGCGAGTTACAATGCGTACTTGGCCTTCCCCCGCAGCGTAGAACTCAGGCAGGTCGTGACGCAGCAGGGCGCCGCGCAGGCTGCGTTCAGGGATGCGTTGGAGGGCCTGTGTCACAACAACCCAACCAATGTGCACTGGCGGCTGTTGTCGACCCGCCACTGCGCGAGAGTACCGGTAGCCGAAGCCAAAGTCTTTGACGATGCCTTACGCATCTACCCTCGCAATTGCCAAGGTCAACACCTACAACCTCACGCACCTTGAGGGTCTTGACAAGCCGTGTTATCAGGTGGTTGTGGACAACACTGGCGACAGGGCCAAGGATGTGGAAGCTGCAGCCGCGGGCAATTTCCAGCAGAAGACCCCTATGGTCTTCGTCGCGCGGGTCATGCTCACAGAGAACATGTAAACCGACGTGGGCTTGGTCAACGGCGCCATTGGCACGGTTCATGGCATTAAGTGGATGACCGGTTGAGTATAATGAGGATGAGAATTCCAAGGCGGTGCCTCCCTTTGTTGTGCTGGTCAAGTTCGACCGCTTACTGGCCCCGTCTGCTTCCCCGTCGATCCGACTCAAAGGCGTCGTGCCGATCTTCCGCAGCAAGCGGGCCTTCCTCAAGGGCAGGGAGAATTGCTCGCGCACGCAGTTCCCGCTGACGATCGCGTTCGCCATCACGGTTCACAAGTCACAGGGTGCCACGCTCAACACGGCGGTCTTGGACATATTAGGGAAGGATTTGCAACTCGGTCTTATGTACGTAGCTGTCAGCCGCGTCAAAACGCCGCAGGGCATCATGTTCGACGCTGCCTTCGACCTCTCGGATCTTCGGTTGAAGGAAGGCACCAGCCACGAAGCCCGCGCTAAAGATACTGTGCGTCGTATGTGCCAGCGTATGAGTGCTTCTCAGCCTGCTCAGATGGCCCAGACTTTGCCGGATCCCTTTCAGGAGGACATCTACAACAGCTGAGCGGTTGAGAGGCTGGATGATTGGGCGGATGATTGAGAGGATAGGTTTACTGGGATGTATAACGATGGATCTCTGAGGACAGAGCACACTGTTGATCATGATGTATTTGTACCGTGATTGCTAGCCTTAATAACCTTCTTAAACACCACGAAGGACGACATATGCATCACGGAATACTGAGTGGGCCAGTGAGAAGTGCAGCGACAGAAGCCATCGCGGCCGACGACCGAGCTCGACCAACATCACCTAGCAGCCTCAACCAGCAGACCCCGCTTTAACTGCTGTGGATAGGACTTGGAGAACATAACCTCTAATTGTTTTTGGCGGACCAGAAATACTGGTCGTCTAGGAAACGAATCGATGTCTGCCTATGGTCTCTCGGACTTCATTCAGTCAAGCGGCGACATGTAAGAAGTGCGCCTGTTGCTGGTGCTATGAAGTAGATTAGCTCAATTCTTGAGTGAAGATGCAATGTGGCTATGAGCTCCTCACCGTCGGTGGTTATTCCGGTCGGTTCTGCGCCTTGGCGGTGATCCGCCAAATTGTCCCTCGAGATGCTCTTTCGAGAGCTGCGAGATCACGTCCCGTAGCGCGGTTGCTTCCCTTTCTGTTTTCTCAACAGTCGCTAGACGGTTTCCTTCCTGTTTCCATCTCTCGATGTCTGCCGTTATCTTGCTGAGTCGGCGATGCATCTAGACAATCTCCCTGGCTTCAAACCGAGTTGAATAGACGAGCTTGAGCCCACACGTTTCGCCAATACTGTTTTCCTTATTACACTGCTTGCGGAATCTTCCCCACTTCCAGGAACTGCATTCGAATTGTATCCGTTCGAAAAAGCACATTGCTGCGCAACGCTCAAAAAAAGATGATGCTACTTCAGACAAGGGATAAGGGAAAGGATTGAGTAACCCGCTGTCGTCGAATACCTCCAAGCAATTATCACTCCAAGCGCTGTCAAGGGCGGTGCACCTTTGCTACTTATACAACGTGAAAGACTCTGTCCCGACAGGTTGATAGCGACCATAAGACTTGAGTATGATTGGGCATGGGGATTGAGGAACGCCAGGCAAATATCTCATTCGTTCACGCCTGTATGCACGTTGGTGATGGAACCAACACCATGTGTGATTTCGGTTGGCGCGTCTTTGGTTTTCCAAGTGTCGAGTCGCCTCAGTAACGGCCAACGCCGTACAGAGTAGATCTGGGGCCGTTGGCAATCACCCGGTGCCTGGCGATGGCGCTGGTGGTCCGCAGGGTGGCGACGGCGAGAATGCAGGCAGCCAATGCGGCTTGGATCGCGAAGACCGAATCGATGTGCTGGAGCGCAGACTGCATCCGGCCTTGTGCCTGCGAGCAGCGGTCGACGAACACAGCCGCGTCTTGGGAAGGGCTCGGCCTCCTACGCCGCCAAGACCGTAGGCCGGCCTGCCGTTGCGGCCGTTGAGCGCAGTTCCATCGCGAAGGGGGATGAGGCCCGTGAGGTCGGCCCCAATATCGGTTTGACATATCTGTCACGGGCCGATAGCCGCTAACTTAATTGCACCAGTGGATTATCCAGGTGAAGTACCCCGCACGACCAGTTGGCAACTCAGCTGCTGCGCCTTGCAGTGCTGCCAAGATGCACAGAGGAGGCGAGGGACGGTCGTAAACGCGTTTGGTTGGCTGAGAATATGGCAAACGCGTTGGTGGAACTTGCGAACGCGTTGGTGGGATTTTGCGATCGCAAGGCGATGTTAAAATCACCCCCTTTGGAAAGATGGAACGGAGTTAGCAAACGGGGTAGTGAAAACTGAGCACATATGCGTTCCATACCGTTTCAGTCCCCGAAAACGTATTTGGCACATGACTCAAGCTCTGCTGAGTCAGCAGTTCGACCAAAAAAGAAAGCGAATCACTAGCTAGGTTCAGATTCGCGTTTTTGGGCTCCCCCATAAAAGCGACCGTTTTTTGTCTTCGTTGTTGTTCAAAGGGGGCGATTTTTGGTCCTCAAAGCTACCAGTTCTGGACCCTTTTGAGCAGACAGGCAACATTTATAGGCAAAAAGCATCGTCACTCAAACACCACTGCTGTCCACAATTGCCACCCTAGGACAAACCCCTAATCATTTCTTTCTCGCCCGATTACTATGGCTGCCACTGCAATTGAGGATGCTTGCACGCGAGGCGATGGAATATTATCCCCTAGACCTGGAGGGTATGGTGCCCTAAAACACAATTAAAACCTATAAGCCTAACAGCAAGAGTGGAAGGTCAGCCGGTTGTCACGGGTGATGCAGACAGGTAACAGTACGTAATAGCATTCAGAAGTATACTACAATTCTGGGCTCTATTCCGTCGGTACGGGCAGGCTCGGTTGTTAAGACGTCGTTGAACTACTGTGTAAACTGGCCCCTTGGCACCTGGATACAGGGGCTGGGCAATGTTGCCCAATGCAGTAAGCGTGGAAAACTCGTCACAGGGTCTGGCGAGGGTCCCGAAGCCCTCGGTTCTTTCAAGCAACACACACACATGACACGCGGCTTAGACAGCCAACTCAAGCTTCATCTTGTGCCTCAATTGATGCAGTATCACCTGGTTGGTCTATGCCTATTCGAGCCTGTAACTCTTGCTGTCCAACAGCAGGATCTTCAAACCACAGGGGCCCGTGCTTCCCACACGCCAGGCCCCACCCGTGGGTCCTGGCAGGCGCGGCGCAATCGCCGTGACACAGAGCAGCAGCCAGCGGAGAGTAGATAGAAAGCACTGCTTTCTATCGAATAAGACAGCATTACTACAGTAAGACAATCGTCTGGCAATTTAAGACTTTTTTACAATATTAATATCCTTTTCATGTTCAAAATTCAGCGGAGAATTAGTTTTGTAGTAGACGTCTGGTGCGGCACGCTGCGTTAGTCCCGTCATTGACATCATGGGAGGCGATTCGGAGATCCTTGGGGGGGGGCATTGCCGCCCTCAACGCAAGAGGGTGAAAACGAAGAAAGCGGTGGAGTCAATGCTACAGGAAGACAATATAGATTTGAAGAAGGAAATGAAAATGAGAAAAGGCGGGGACACAACGGAAATCTCACGACTCTGACGGTAGCCGCCGACGAAGGGTACATACAACGACGTCCAAGGCCCAAATCAACACACGGACCATAACCCCAACAAGAAGATAGATATTATCAAAGCAGACGTTCCGGCGTGTTTCCACGGAGTCCCGGCTGGCTACTTTACACAACATCCGTCGTGCTTGCCTTTCGATATCACGCAAACCTTAGGCATGCTGCAGGTACCATGCTGTTTCTGCAGATTGGGAAGTCTTGCAGCTTAAATTCTCGGCTGCCCACTCTCCTCCCAACCTGGGAACGGGGATTCTGCTCTTCTTTTACACTCCCACAGCGTCACGTTCATCACTCGGCATCGCCTCGTCTTTGTACATTGAGTTTCCCGCAGCCCAGTACACATAATTATCCACCGGCATCATCATGGCATTCCACCTCCCAGCCGTCACCCGGACCCTCCTGCTCTTGCTGCTCATCACTGGCGTTATAACTAGTACCACCCTCGCCACCCTCCCCACGCAGCAAAACGATGAAACACTGCTCGACATCCCGCGCCTAACAACCCTCCTCTCCCCCTCCGCCCAACTCCTCCTCCCTACCGACCCCAATTTCAACACCACCCTCGACCGCTGGTCCACAAGCCCCCTTAACTCCCCGCGCCCATCCCTCCTCGTCCTCCCGACCACCGAATCCGACATCTCGCACGCAATATGCTACGCTGATTCCCACAATCTCCCTTTCCTCGCCACCTCAGGCGGCCACGGCACGAACGAATATCTGTCGGACCTGCACGGAGGCGTCGTAATTCATCTGCGGAATCTCACCAAATTCGAGCTTGCTCCCGCTGGCGACGGGGGAACGGTTGCGATACTGGGTGGTGGGCTGCTCTCGCATCAGGTTATGGAGGGCTTATGGAGGCAGGGCAAGCAGACGGTTACGGGAATGTGCGGGTGTGTCTCGTACTCCGGGCCGGCGTTGGGCGGAGGGCATGGGACTTTGCAGGGGCGGTATGGGTTGGTCGTGGATCAGATTGTGAGTGCGAGGATGGTGTTGGGGGATGGGCGGGTTGTGGTTGCTTCAGAGAGGGAGAACGAGGATTTGTTTTGGGCTTTGCGAGGGGCGGGGCATAATTTTGGGGTGGTGAGTGAGTTTACTGTCAGGGTGCATGATGTGGAGGAGAACATGAAGAATTGGGCTTGGGAGAGGTTCGTGTTTGGGAGGGAGAGGCTGGAGCAGTTGTATGAGGTGGCGAATGGGATGATGGAGGATCAGCCGGAGTATGTGAATGTTTTCTCGTCGTGGAGCATCCTGGAGGAGGTTGATCCGGACCGGGTGAGTTCCCAGCAGCGGCCTTTCTCCAAGATGATGAGCGGCTGACCATACTGAAGCCGATGATTGTGTTCATTGTCTTCTGTAACGGCCCGATGGAGGACTGCAGAGAGTACACGCAACCGATCCACGACCTCGGCGCGGTAGATCACCGCTCCGGCGTCACCGAGTTGCCAGGAATCGACGAGGTGTTGAACCTCGACGTGAACGACCCGCAATGTCAACCACAGGGCACAGTTCTAATGCGGGGCGTCTACGTGGACAGGTACGATATCGATACGCTGCGCAACTGGTGGGAAGTTTTTAGCGACATGTTGGCAACCGAGCCCGCCTTTGCCAACTCCATCTGCCTCCTCGAGGGATACTCGATGCAGGGTGTGCAAGTGGTGCCTTCAGACAGCACCGCCTTTGCTCATCGAGACAAGAGGTTACTGTTGTAAGCATTCCACGAGCCCTTGTTGCCGACGAAGCTTTCCTAGCTAAAGCCCACTGCAGCTCTCCGGTTGTCGGGTACAGCGTCGTCGGCAACAGCACCCTCGACCGAGAGGCCGAACGATGGAGCAAGGCATTGGAAACAGCGGCCGCCGGAAGTGCCGAGAGAAGGGTCTATGTCAACTACGCCCTTGGCGACGAAAGTTTGCAGGCCATTTATGGGTGAGTGCAGCCAGCAACCTGCCCCGATGTCGCCATCTGTCACTGACGCACCACAGCCGGAGGGACGAGCCATGGAGGCTAGAGAGGCTTCGTGCTCTCAAGCGCAAGTATGATCCGAACAACCGATTCAGATTCTTTTCGCCGATCGTCCGAGATGGTACGCCGGAGGATACCATGTGAGGGTAAGGGAAAGGAAAGGGATAGACAGTAATCCGTATCCTCCGGGGGAGGACATGCAGCGAAACAGTAGTAATTGACTGTATTGTGGCCACAGAGACTTGAACATGAATAGACAGTCCTCCCAGTAGCTCTCGTACTTTCCGACAAGCCAACTCAATCCGTCACCGTCCCCGCTAATTCTCCAGCTCTCGTGTAGAGCCTTCGCTGTTATAATACATGCCCCATACTCAATAAACCGACGGATTGTAGACTACACATATTTCAGCTGTCATCAGATCAATCAGTTAACTCCGGACATCGGTTGTGATTTGATTGAGGCATCCTGCTCATATATTTAAATTGATTGCCCTGATTGAGTTGATCTGACTGGATGTGATGACTAGGGTTGTCCGATGAGGCTATCCGCGGCCCTGCTCCGTCCTGAACCTACTCTTCCGAGCTCCATGCAACCATCCCGGATCCAATTCTTCATTAATTGCAATGTCGCAATCATGGACCTCTTGAGGGAGTGTCGTTGTGCCGTTATCGTCAGCTTCGCCGTGCTGAATACTCTCTCACAGTCGTCTGCAATCGCAGGTATCGCTAGGAAGTCCGACGTAAACCTGCTGAGCCTCAGAAGCGAACTTCTATGCTCAACCCACCATTGAATAGGAAAAGAAATTTCTTGTGGCTCAAGTCGGTAGTATTGATCCTCACAGCCTGCTGGGGTAGTTCGATGATGCTTGCTCTTGATCCATCGAGTAATCCTGCTTAAATCCCTCTGCTCAGTAAGCGCTCCCTTCATGATATCTTCATTCCCATAGGTAGGATACCACTCCTCGAGATATTCCTTCAGCTATCGCTTAGCATCACTCATCCACGTTAGTTGCACTTTTGATGTCCAGTTGGCCTCAAAGACACCTGATACCGAAGCCAAGGTGTGAATGATGGATGTTGCGTAAAGAGGGAATTTCCCTGAGGGTAGTGTAGTACTCGTTCAGCTTTACCCAAGCGTTCTTGATGTAGACTCTTATGTACGTCCTCTCGTCCGCTGATAGGTTGGAGATACAGCTCATTGACTGGGCTGTGCACATCGAGCGAATATGATCAGGCAGGGCGCTTTATTGAACTGAGTAGTGGTAGCAGTAGCAGTATCAGGTTGCCGATGCCTCAGCTGCTGCTGCTTCCGTAAGGGTGTTGCGACCTCAAAGCCTTGAAGATGCTGGGAAAGTCTCGACTGCAGGGCAGGGCGATCTTTTGCTGATGTGCTCGGTGTTGACAGGCGAGGCATCGAGTCTAAGCTAGGGCCCTGCGAAAAAGGCTCGCTGGGCTGCTGGGAAGCCAATTCCGTAGCAGGGTTGCCATAGAGGGCTTTCCACTCTTCCAAATGCTCCAAAACGATTCCCTGCCAGTCATGAGCTCCCACAAGTACCCATGCTGCCGCTGCTGGCATGTCCCTGTGTTCTCATCGTAAGGCTGTAGATCGGCTCGAGGACGTATCAGATATCGTTAAGAAGCCCCGAGTCATCAGTGGTCAAATGATCCTGGCGAGTTAGCTGCGACGAGGCGGTGCCAAGTTCAAGGATCAACAACTAGGCACGAATCTTTGCTTGCTTGTTCTAAGCTCGACTGATCATTAGGCAGGTCGAATATGCCGTGTCGCGTTGTTCTGCTGTAGATTAAGCTCCTTGGAAGATACCTCGGAAAAGATGAAGTCCTCAGCGTCCTCAAGGTCATCGCACTCTTGGGCAATGTTCCGGAAAGCCCAACTGCGTTGTGGTGGACTCTGATAAACTTTGACGATGTTGAGTGAAGCTTTCTGATTGGTTCTTTGCGCCGCCAATGCTTGAAGTCCTCTTCGTACTGGCCAAGATCAACATGGAAAACCGACATCGCCATGACTACCGAATGCGGGTACTGTGGTTCCATTGACACATGTATCAATGATTTGCCGTGCCCAACCGACGACTCGGCGCGATGGATGCCTGTGTTGTCTGCAACTCAACCGACCACCACTTTAACGACTCCTTGGCCTTTGTCCTCGACTTGCCGCTGGACGACAATGCGCAGGTGTCATGGTGCCTCGGAACGGCCATGACGAAGCGAGCGAATAGGCCCCAGATCTACAGCACCAAGATCCCGTTCTACGACGTCCCACGATGTCACCGTGCGGCTTGGCGTCTTCAAGTAGCTCGGCGCCGTCTATAACTGGCCCTGGGGCACTGTCTTTGCAAAGAACATTGCGGAGTACGACAACTCCTGGCAATCCGCCATGTCTAAGGACAAGATATCCCCCTGCTCTTTTGATCCTCGAATACACCGCGCTGACGTCCTCCCTGAGGATCCCCTTTTCTGAGGCGAATCGGTGCGGCAGATCCTCAACATGAGAGCCAGCTGCAAGCTTGATGCGGATAGGTTGGTCTTGGACGGAAGCAATGAGCGAAAGGCGACGGCTCACCCCTTTTGCTAGACAGTCAACTGTTGACTATCTCGCTCAGTCTGGGATGTTTAAGGAGGCGTTTGAAGGGAAGTAGCATGGCGGGGTTGCTGGGTCGCCCTCAGACCAAGGGAGGGTTTCCGTTGTGGGTGTGGCAACCGGGGCATGTTATCGGTGGCTGAGTGTCATGCAAGGACTTGTGGTGCTGGAAAGTTGCAATTCCATCCAGGGTAATTCTGACGCTGTCTATGTACTGTGGTAAGTATCCTGCTTGCTTGCGAGTGCTCCATGTGACCTCACAGTCCATGCTGTTGGTTTCTGCCGCAGCGCATCCGTTGCAGGAACATCTGTGTCTGTCATCCATCACTACCTTCAGCGCAAGACTTAAATGATACCGCTGGATCGCGAGACTGAATTGGCATCGCTTGATCCCTGAATAAGCCTCCAATTCCACGTGCCGGAATGATCTCGCGGCTACTACTCGGTTCCAACCAGCATCGAATGTACCCCAGTGAGATCACCGCATACCACTCTCTATCAATAAGAACAGTCCTATCAATGCATACCACAAAAGCACAGTCCAAGCCGCGAACAACCAAAACACCCCAACCTAACGCCCGAACCCCTCTCAACGAACGGAAGCCAACCACACGAAGACTATGCCTCAGTACATAATGTCTCTCGTCATAAATCCCTTGACAGCACTACCTTAGCAATCCTCACCCCGCGCTCCCGCGCAAAGAGGACAGCATCATGGCTGCCTCCTGCTCCTTCCTGAGCTGCTCCTCCGGACACCAAGACCCACTCCCCCTTTCTTCGCTGGCATCAACATCTCCCGGAGGATGTTCTATCCGCCATATTTCTTTGTCCTCCTCGCTAACCCGAGAAAGATCACCTATCTCGAGCTCCAATACCAAGTCCTCACCATGATGAGCGTCTTCCCAACCCGAGGCAATCGTCCCATATTGATACTCCAGTGTCTGCTCCATCCCCAACAACCCTTGAATGGAACCTTGTTCCTCCATCTCCCGGCCCGGCCGCTCCCTCGTATATCCATCATGACCATGTTGCTGCTGCTGCCGACTCTGTATCTGCTGCTGGTGCAGAGCCTGGTGATATCGTTGCTGCCGCGGCAGCGAGGAATCAGAACCCCCGATTACCGCCCTCGTCCCTAGCTCTGTGCCCATCATACCCGCCCGTTCCGCCGTCCCTTCAGGTTCCCACGCACCCGCACCGACCGCAGCCGCACTCTCAATGATTTTAGCCGCCTCCTCAACCTGTTGTTGTTGTCGTTGCTGTTGCTGACGCTGCAGACGCTGGTCAAAAAGACGATAATGCTGCTGCTGACACTGCCGCTTCTGACCAGCCCAAACAGGCGGAGACCCAAGCCACCCAACCAGCGGATCCGCGAAGAAAAATGCATCGTGCTGCCCGTAGCCAGAGCTACTATGCCCGGCGTCAGCGGTCCTGGTCCCGCCGACGACAGGACTGCCCACGTCAGACGAGATCCGAACCTTCCTGGGACCAGGCGACTCCACCCTCGGCTCCAGCGGGGTCAATTTCAATCTCGGCTGCCCGTGCGGCGGCGGCTGCCGGCCTGGGTACAGCTGCTGCAGGTGCGATCTGAGCTGCATATCCGGCTGGCGGTAGTGGTCTTGGGCTCGTTTGAGCAGGACACTTAGGGACGGGAGACGCAGCTGCGTCTGCGGTTGCGTCTGTGATGATGACGACGATGGTGTCGCGGGCCGGGACAGGCGGGTTTCTTCTTGGAACTGCGCTATGAGGCGGTCTGTTTCACGGAAGCCTGTGTCAATGGCCTGGTCAATTACAGATGCTTTCGGGTTTGGGGCGGTGGACTGTGGATGAAAGACATGGTTTGGCAAGGCAGCTTGCGGACGGGGAACACTAGTTAGAGGTTGCTGATGCGGAAGTTGGGGTGTGGTTGGGGTGGGAGGGGGTAGCCGGCGGGATTCGGGCACCGGTAATGGGTGGAGGAAGGCTGTGGCGTGAGGTAGGGAGGGTGTCTCTGGTTCGCCTCCGGTGTCGAGCGAGACGCGCGTCTCGACGCCGCCAATCATGCGCCAGGTGACCGCTTGCTTCCGCTTTCGAGTCTTGACCGCTGTGGAAATGGAGCTGTCGCTGCGGAAGGGAACCTCATCGCCCCTGTTCGCTGCCCCAGTGTTCAGCAGTGAAAATGATGCCAGGGCTGCTGGCTCTGTTGGGCGGATCGGAGTCCGGTTCTCCTCCGCAGCGTCGCTTGAAGCGACTGGCATGCCTGGGAACCCCAGCGCCGCGGGAGCCGACCTCCGAGGCTTTCTGGCCTTCGGTCTAGCTGGCGTTGAATCAGAACTGGGATCGGTAGAACGGGTCGGGCTTTCCCCGGTAATCCGCCGCAGGTCCTTCATGATTTTCCACACCAGATATGCCCCGTTGAGTTTATGATCCCGAATGGAGGCAGGGCGCTTGGCATCGGGGTTGAGTTTCAGTTCCTTGGGAACCTTTGGCGGCTTCCTGGGCACAGCTTTCGGCGGGGTTGGCTGTGACGGCAGACGCGGCATCTCTTGTGGCTGCTGGCATTGCCGGGCTCCTGCTTGCCCGTTTTTGACGATCCCCGCAATGTCCTCTGCCTTGGAAAAGCCGGCAGGTCTGTCAGCCTCCTTGAGTTTCTTGGAGCTCTTGTCAGCGCCCTCCTTGCGCTTGCCGGGTTCAGCGCCGCTCTGCCTCCGTGGCAGTTTGGACGTCTTCGGCTTCTCAACCTCGGGGAGCACGGCGCCAGGTGGGAGCCACAGGGCGGGCTTCCGCTGCTGGAGGTCACTAACCCAAGCGTCACAGTCCCATTCGACCCAGTAGTCGATGATGTCGGCCCATACACTTTCTGGCGGCTTCGTGAAGTTCACAAACACGACTCTCCCGCCGCGGTCGTGAACAGCCTTGGCGAACTCTTTGACGAGCACCTTGAGTCCATGGACGCGCATGCTCGTGCCCAGAATGAGCAGCATGTCAGGCCCCAGAGAGAGGTCGTGCTGTATGAGGGGGCTGATGAGGTGGGCTTGGGGGTGCTCTTCGCCGTACAGCACAATGTCGGGACGGAGCTTGCCGACTCCGAGTGCCCGCTTGCCTCGTTCCTCGCGAGCAGCCGTCGCCCCGGCGCAGTGCGGGCAGGTGGGTTGTTGTCCGGCGAGGGTGTCTGCGAGGCGGGTATCCTCTTCCCATGAGGCGGTGCGGGCGCACACGAAGCAGCGCAGCTCAGCCAGGGAACCGTGCAAGAACACGCATTCAACCCCGCGATTCGGAGCTGCCGGCGCAGACGTTGCCGCGGTGGCGGATGGTGTTGAAGATGGAGCATCGCCCGTGGTGGGCCTGGTGTCGGGCCTTGTTTGTGACGGCCGGAGAGGTGGGAGCTTGTGTTCGCCACTCGCGAGACCATCCATCACAACATTCAGTGGCTTTTCCTGAGGACGAGACACGCCCCTTTGCTCCTCCTCCTGCGGAGACGCACCCTGATTGGCCTCCGACGCGGCATCAGCGCTCCTCAAGCCTTTTGCTGCGCCCGAGTTCCGTCCGGCCCTTGCAGAGAAGCGGTACCTGCTACCCACTCCCAAGGACAGCGAGGTGCTAAGGCCGACCCGTTCTTCCAACTGGTCGATGTTTTGTGTATAGCATCTGACCAGCTTCCTGCTGTCGCGAAGGACGCTAAGGAAGCGATGGCTCTCTGTTGGCTCCGCACTTCGTACCTTGTCGCGGAGCGTTGATACAAACGTGTAGAAGACTGATGTCTTGATCGGGCAGGACCAGATCTGGGCATCAAACAGGTCGCGGCCCTTCATGATCGGGAGAGTCGCCCGGGAGGAAGCGAACGAAGTTTGTGAGGACAATACCGGCGTAGACGCCGAGGACGACCCCTCACTCTGAGAGCACGACGATTCAGTGTCTTGGCTGGAGGAGCAGTCTGCTGATTCGGAGTAGGGATCAAATATAATATGGGGCGGAGACGAGAGGGGCGACGAGCTTTCTGGAGGCGAATTAAAGAGGTGGGCTTTAGACAGCGACCGTGGGGTGCCGAGGGTGAGAGTAGGGGGAGAGGAAGCAAAGGGAGCTGTTGCTTCCACAGCAGGCGGGTCCGGTTTGGTATAATCGGCTTGAATCTTGCGAGGGCCGAGCACCGTGTTCGCAAGGCGTTCTAGAGACCCTAGTGTGGAGTGCGCAATGACGGTCGCGTCTTGCTTGTGTTCCATCGGGGTCATTCCGTGCGCCGACTGCGTGCCGTCATGGATTGGGCCCGACTCGGAAGACGGTGAAGGGAGAGCGCCATTTGGTTCCCTGTCGCATGGCTCCTCCTTCTTACGGCTTTCCTGATCCCTGTCGGCGTCCAGTGTCTTTGGCGCCGCATTGCGTAACCCCGGAAACGGTATCTCGTGGGTTTCGATTCTGCGGTCGGAGTCGTCATGCGCTCGGCGTTGCCGTTTCGCTGGCCTCTGCTCGACTGACGCGTCGCAAACATGGACATTACCACCGCCAGCGGCAATCTGCTGAGCCGCTTCAAACTGCGCCTGGATCAAAGAGTAGAGACCATTTTCCGACCGGAAGTCCTACAGCATGGTTGGGGTCAGCAGGGAAGGGTGTATACGACGGAGCCATGAGCCAGAAGCAACGCGTCGTACCGGAATGCCCGAGTTGGTGCTGATGCCGGCACCGGTGATGACGACAACCTTCCGCGATTTCCAAAGGGTATTCGCGATGTCTTGTAGTAACGAGCCGCTGTCCGGCGCAACGTGGGTCGTAGGCATCGCGAGATGGCGGACAATTGGCGGAGCATCGAAACGAGCGATTCAACAGGACAGTCGGGGCCCGTAAGCCAGAGCAGGCGGCACCGGCTCACTGAGACATTGTTGATGAATAGGCGATATATTGCACGTGGGTTTCTCGGTGTTTCGCGCGTCAATCGAATTCTCGGTCGATGGCCGCGTTCACGCCCGAAGCTGTTGTCAGCCGAGACGGGCTTGTTTTTGACGCGTCCGAAATCAGACGATGAAATCCCGGGGTACTTCGTTGTGGGGAAGGTCAGGTATCCGTAATTGCCTGTGCAACAAGAAGTCTGCAAACAAAATCCTGAAAGAACCAGAGGATTATTGGGCGCGGAGCAGGCGAGCGAGGGCGTCGTTTTCAGTTGCTGCGGCGGATGAGGAGAGGGTGATGCTTGATGTTTGTGTAATGACTTGCAAAGAGTGACACAGGTAACGGTGGAGTCGACGCGCTTGAGTGCTGCAGGGACTGCATCCTTGCTGCGGCAGCGTTGCCGAGCCCGGGGCCGAGTCCCGTCCTCAAAGAACCAGGGTAGCTTCCAGGTTTTGTCCCGTCAACGTTCACGGACATTGTGCACTGGGTGGTGTCACGGCGACAATTGACAAGCTCGCGGCCGCGTCCCAGCAGGTAATGACTGCTATTGTGCACAGAATCCAACAGCTTTGTCATCGTCATGTTCGCGAGAGAAGTGCGCAATAAAAGACGCCAAGCCGGGCCCACGTCACTTTCACACGGCGCTCGGGTTCCGGCACCAAGGTTCCATTTCTACAGTAGAAGGTTGCTGGTTTGACAAGCCCCGCTAGACTAGCGAGACTGGGACGCCCAGAGCCAATGCAGGCGGAACTAGCAATCATCCGCACTCCGGCTCATCGCCCCCCAACCCTGCTGTTTGGGCCTCCGTAGTTCTCCCGTACATTCCGCCGTCTAGAATGACAGCCTCGTTGTCGTCGAGGTCATCCTGTACCTTTCGCCACCGTGCGCTCCGGTCCTTCCTGCCCTCCAACTCGACTCCCTTGCCCTTGGGATCGTACACTGGCCTGATCAACCCACCCAGCAGTGGATTCTTGCTGAACGCCCCGCCGTGTCCCCTCGCTCCTCCAGTTTGCGCTGATATAGGACCTCCATTGTCCTCGCCCTCGGTATCCTCCTCCTCCGGGCTCGGCGGCCGTTCCACCTTTGCCATCTTCTTAAACACCTTCCTCCCCGTCAAGTCAATACTGACCACCTGCTGCCGCTTCTCGTACTCAGGCCTGGCATTCCACTCCATCTCCCTTAACAGCCTCTGCTGCCTCTTGAGCGCGAGCGCCCGCTCCTCGGGGCTCGCCCACATGCTCCCGGAGTCAGTGACATCAAAATCGGCCGCCTCGTCCCGCACCGTCGTGCGCCGCGCGTTCTGCGCCTGGAACGAGAGCAGCTTGTCGCGGTGCTGCAACGCCATCGCCTCTGCCACCGTCAGGTCGTCTTTGTCGTCGACCCCCGGCCGCCGGAACGGTTTGGGCGGCCTGGTCGCCTCGGCCCGCTTGTGCGCCTCGCGGTCCAACGCTTGCTTCTCGCGCCCCCGCTCGGCGCGCAGCTCGCGGATCATGGACTGCACCTCGCCTGACGAGAGGAGCGGTTGTTCGCAGAAGGTGCATGGGCCCAGGCCTTCTTTGATGCAGATAACCTTGCCGCAGTTGAGGCAGTTGGGCGCGGCTTCAAGGAGTGGGTGGCGCGTTGCGACGCAGTTGCACCGGCGGGCGGCGAGGTTGGAGGCGCTGTTGGAGGTGTGGGACGGGTTGGTCGTGAGCTCGAGCGAGCGGATGGCTTGGTCCAGGTCGGCGAGCGCGGTCGAGCTGCCGTGCATTGGGATGCCGCCTGTTATGGAGACCTTGGTGGTACTGGGCGTGTTGCGGGACGAGGACGGGCCGGGCGTCGAGGTGCGGGACACAGGGTTGGATTTGGGTTTCGGCTTCGGGACGCCGAGTTCCGACACGAGGGTGCCCGCGGCGGAGGGAGGGGGCTTCGAGGGCTGGGGCGGCGGCGTTGCTGCCTTGGCAGCTGCGACACCGTTGCGGTGCGCATTACTGCTGGACGGTGTTGACGTGCCTGACTTACCGGATATGTAGACTTCCTCTTGATCCTTCTTATTGTACACAGTCCCTGACGCTAACTCGAACGATGCAACTTGTCGGGGAGGTAAGGTATGCAGGGGCGGCTTCTTCTTTTTAGGGCCGCGGCGATGCTTCGGGACATGGTCGACGTCGGAGTTCTGGTTCGAGCTGGGCGCTGTGGCCGGCGCGGTTGCAGGCGCCGGAATCGGTTCGGCGCGGCGTGCGTTGAAGGTGGAAATGAAGTCGATGACCTGAGGTGAGTCACCCAGCATGTTGATAAAGTGCTCGGCCGCTTCGGCCTTGGAGAGCGTCGCAGCATATTCAAGCACTTGCTGCAACCCGTCGTCGGGCAGCGGCAGTAACTGAAAGAGTTGTTCTTTGGACATTGCGAGTGCAGTCGGAGAGGGTGCTTAGTTAACCAAACGGCACTTTGTATAGTGATGGTGGCTGCGTTTGTGAGGTTTTGGATTGGATGCTGCAGCTGTTGCTGCATCTCAGAACGCCCCATACCATCGCGTTGGATGCTTAAGGTACTGTACCTTAGGTTAGATACAGTGTACTAACTCGTTTAGGCGGGGTAGTACTGTACGTACAGTACCTTCCACACCCTATCGCTCAACCCCACAATTGCGACAGTTCGATCTTACCTTGCAGGAGCCGGTATTGGAACGTGCCAAATCGTTGATACACGAGTATCGAAACCCTGGCTAGCAGAGTTGTCCGCTTGGAGAAAACTAGCTATTACTCCAAAACGTACAGGTATGAAACCATAGGCTCTACAGCTTCCTTAACGCCGGGCGAGTAATTCGTCAGAGCCGCTGACTTAATTGAGACGTTAATCGCAGCCTCCATCCCTTACCAATTCTTCCTGACATAGCGCACCGCAGCATGCCGTCTCAAAATAGACCCGCCGAGGTGGATCCAAGCCCAAACGCCATTTTAACCCTTCTCAGAATCATATCAAGAGGGCGTGCGATGATCCCAAGCTAGGACCTGGTGTACCGAGCCAGGCTATGGTGAAACTGATCGCGGCACAAGTAAGTTCTGGTCACCCCAAATCTTCCCAAGTCAGCGGCGCTACTTGGAATTGACGTGAAACAGCCGCTCAGGAACGTACAGCTCAGCCAACACCCCAAACTCCTGGCGAGTACCGTGCCATCCAACTGGGCACGGCAATGCAACTGCGAAACTGCGCTGATGCAGGCAACGGGACACATTCCCGAGCGCCCCTGCAAAAGCTGCGAAGCCGGAAACAGGCCTTCTCAAAAAAGCTGCATCGTTTCCCGAATTGGCAGTTACGGAGCCTGTGCCAATCGACGATATGGGTCGAAACACCTCTCGCTACGATTTCACACCGGGAAAGAGCCGCGAGCTGAGAATAGCCGCAGTAAGCCCCTTGCATCTTGAGTATGGCCAACTTTACCGACCACGGCCATGGCTGAGAATATAGAACGAGCAGCACCCACAGACTCATCCCTGGAACCCCTGTCGAAGCGCACGCAATGCCGCCAAGCTAGTCGATCTGTTCCCTGGCCCCTTCACCACCGAATCATTGCGCCCAAAGGAGCTAGCCCGTCCTGTGTCACCGACACACACAAGCGACTCGAAGGCTTCAAGGTATACTTGCCCAACTACAAGCCAACGGGCTCAAGAACAACTTCCCCGCCGCCGCCCGCCTCCAGCCCTGCTGCGCGAATCAAGCAACTCTGGTCGCGAGAAGGACGCTTCACGCCCTGTAGGACAGGTTGATTCCCTGTGCCATGCGAGCTGTCCTACCCAGACAAGGCACTCATATCTCAATCTCTCCAACATAGTTACAGGATCCCATACCACGTGTAATTGACCGTCCTTCGCAATCAATGAGACTCAGAGTAGCTGCTGTTCGGGCTACTCTGGCTGCCCCCACTGCCCTCGCCGCTCCGGCCATTTCGCCTGCTCCAGTTGCGCCGCTCGCCCTTGCAGCGATCGGTGAGGAGACAGGCATCCACAGCCGCTGGTCTTACCAAGAGAAATGGACCATAGCACGTGGCCTGCGCCAGCTCGCCGACGATATTGACCAGGTGGCCGAGGCCGAGATAGCCCGCGTGCTCTGAAGCCATTAGAGAACGTAATGTCACTTACTCGTGTCACTTACATGTGTCTGGCCCCTTATCCTGGGATGGATTCGGATCTGTCAGGGTATTTGGCACCCTGGCCTTCCTTTACAGTTCACGACAGATTACTGGAAGGCCAGATGATTGAACTTCTGTTCCATTGTTTGCACCTATTTACCACATTTCCCAAGCGATCGACATGGAGGTAATCAGGTATTACAAGATCACTGACTGATCAATGATTGATGTACATCAGGATCGCTGTACCTACCAAGCGGCTCAGTATTCCCTCCCCTGTCACACAAAGCCTTTCTTGATAGACCGCTGACGCAATGCGCCACCTCCGTGGTTTGCCCGCATGTTGTTGGTGTATTGGCATTTGACTCCGTAATGTGGAGGGACGGTGGTGGTGAGCTGGACTTTGCCAGTGTCCATTCTCAAACCCAGGGACTTTCGCGGAGGAGACACGAGGGATGTCTGAGCGCTTGCTGAAGGCTCCTGGGACATTTCAGACATCCATCATCGAGTCACCCGGCTAATCTCCTCCTTCGTTCCGATCCGCAACTGCCCATATCCGTCTCCCTAGAGCACATCTTGAATTGCATTTTGCCCACGCACCTGCTCTGAGTCGCCATGGACTTGCTGTCTACAACTGGATGGATATTGAACATGAAGGCAAAAACACCTAACGTTATCGATTGTCCTATTTGAAAATACCTTCCTGGTTATCTTAAATTCACGATACCCCCCACACCTTTCAATTGGATTTCCCTGCTCTATCATCATTCATCCCCCATCCCCCAGGACCGTAATAGGTATTCACACAAATAGTTATACCTAGTGATATAGATGAAGTACAGACACCTACCTAGTAAATTTCACGCTAACAAACAAATTAGGGTTGAATTGTATTATGCCCAGCACTGCGCAGCTAGGCCAATAGGGGTTTGTATTGTATAAACAAGCCCTTTTTTGCGGCAATGATTGACAAACGTTTAAACGAAGCTATGATAACTATAAGGTAAAGTACTTCAATCTTTCCTTCTCAGGATATTCTCCTTTTAGGCCGACTGTTGCCATAGATTTCTCGTTGCTGTTCCCAACACTGATCGACTTTCATCACAGGATCACAACTTTACACCAAACCCGATCTCCACCTACAAACTTAGGGTGCCTCTTGCCGCACTAGCTTGAGAGGGGATGCACCTTCCAAAGAAATGAAGACACTTTGACCTTCGTCGAAGTCACTCGGAAGTTGGACACTCGGAAGGCAGATGATAGCAAGCCACTCAAGGAGCTCAGGAAGGAAAAGGTAAGGCACCGCCTGAAGCCGTCACCTCCAATGCAACTAACCTGGACTATCGTACCCCAACAGCCTGTCCGTTATCTGCAGCTCCGGCCCGACCCCAAGGGAGAACTGCGCGAGCTGGACATTGAGCGAGTCCAAAACGCAGAAGCCCTCATCATTCAGGCCACCAGCAAATGGCGCGAGCCCATGTGTAAGACCTCATGTGTAAGAGGTGCTCGCGGGGCTATGAGCCGTTTGTGGGCTGCGTTAACTCGGAAAAAGGCGGCAGCAGCAGTTACGCGAACTCGAGGTCAAGGAGGCGAGAATTAGATAAAAATTGGTCGCGAGTCGCGCGCGACCGCTGAGGCGCCGTAGAAAATGCGGCTCCCTCGGGGGTGTGAGAGGTGTGCGTCGACGAAGTCGCAGTCACTACAATCCGCAGGGGAAGAAGTGAGACTTTCGCAGCAGCAGTAAGTGTCGTGTGGCGTTTCCCCGGGCACTCGAATAGCAAGACATGAGGCAATACCTCATTGACTCATGATGCCCCTTGGCTTCTCGTGAAACAGAGCAGGGACTGGAGGAGACACCTGCGAAGGTAAGGGCAACGAAGAGGAGCGCTGATGACAGTGGTATCGATGACGGCGGCCCCAAGGGCAGTGGCAACAAAGACAGCGGGATGGACGACAGCGTTGTCCATGAATCCATTGCCGATGCTGTGGCGGCCCTGGTAGCAATATTTCAATTTTACTCGACATCCACACCCCGTCCAAGAAGGAAGACCACCGGTCCGAGACAGCTTACGATCCCAACAGTTCAGGGCAGTTTCGCCGCGACGAGGCGCGGCGCGCACGTTTTGGGCAAGTCTTACCGGGGTTGTCCGACAGTGACACCAGACACCACCATCCTCGCCAGCGATGCGCAAACCCTTTACACTCAAATTTACTGTCAGACTTGGAGACGCCGGCCCAGCCGCGCCGGCCGAGCTGCCCCCGCTCTCTACCGATAACAACCATATCACCTTTCCCAAAACACCTGGCCTCGCTCGAATTATGGCTCCCCCACCACACCCGCTCGAATTATGGCTCGCCCACCACACCCGCTCGACAGGCCGCTGGGACGGCAGAGAGCGTGAAGTATTCGCCTGGCGACTACGAGTGTCGTCCTGGACCAATATCGGTACTCACATCCCCCAATCATCCATCCACGAGTCGCTCAATTCCAGCTTCCAAAGGCGCCGTGCCTTCTACCATCTCCATCTTGTTGGATGAAACAACGACATTATCGATACATCGCGCCCAAACCCGGTCAGCCCCCGCGCAGCCGGCTGTACCACCGAACCTGAACCCCCCCCGTTGGTGATTTCACCAACACCCGGGCGGGCCTGCCCGGATATCATGACAAACGGCAAATAGCGCGCGCCGTTCGCGCCATCGTGGCGATCTTGATGGGGTGGCCAATTTGGAGGCACAGTCGAGTTTGTGATGAGGACTTTTTTGACGGTCGATCTGAGCACGCCGGGCGTTCGAGCTCGGTCCTAGGTATCACGGTGTTGGTGTTATCTCGATTCAAAACTCTTATTCACGATAGACGTTCAGGCGGTTGAAGTCTGGTGGAATTACGGATCGGAGTCGGAACACTGGGCACCTGATGGCTTGATACCATCGGGGGACTTTGGCTTTGCTCGAGCTGTATATAACCTGTAGCTTTCTTTGTAATGCGATAAGATTTATTATGTAGGTGGCCGGGGGTCTCTGAGGTGTAAGGAGAAAGAACTCAAAGAGACAGCCTTGCAGACAGAGCAAGGTCGTTTTACTCCGACAAATTGTACTAGTTACAACCCCGGAGGAAGGGAAGGTCCCCCAGCCCCCTATACAAGGCAAGAGAGTTGATGATATACATGCGTCTAATCCCGTCCATATCTCCCACTTTCATTGTTGGTGTGTGTTTCCCGCAGCCCCCGGGCCCCAGCCCTTCTCCTACCGGGAACTCGAATGAATATACCTAGGATGCATAACTCGGACAACGCCCCCTAACGAAGATACCAGTCACTCTGAACCCACATCCACACAAGCCCCAGCCCCGACGTCGCTAGTGGGATCAGCGTGTCGCTTCCCCGCGCCGTCTGCCAAATGGCATACTCGGTGAAGTATAGCCACAGCACGCCTGCATAACTCAACATGGCCAGGTTGTACAAGGGCCTGTTGTTGAGGTGATAGACAGCGTACAACCGGATGACGGACGTGTACAAGTTCTTGACGGCGTATACATGCGCCAGGAGAGGCGTCGGTGTCGGGCTGCGCGGGCCGCGGAACATGCGCATGGACGACGCAGGGTCCTTAGAGAGGTAACACCATGCCGTGTGGGCGATGCCGGCGACAGATGTCTGTCAGAGCACGTCCCCAGTCAGTGGCGGCGGAAGGTTCCAAATTCCGGCGGGTTATTAATTAGTACGCACATAGAGCATCAGGTAGGGCAGATAGCCGTCTTGAATCGACGATGGCAGGATAGTCGCCATGGTGTTTGTTCTTTGCAGTAGCAATCGTTGTGATTCAAGATGCGAATGACTAGCTCCCGTAACCAAGTCTGAACGAACGAGGGGAGAGGCTTGAAAATATTAGCATTCTCTGGGCATATCTCATTTATGTCCGCCCCAATCCCTGCTTGAAGCTCAACGCTGGTTTGCTCCTCATTAACGTGCTCCACTCATCCTCGCGTCAATATGAAGCCGTTACCAAAACAGATGGCTTACCAACCAAACGCCAAGCAGGCTGACGCCAAGTCTATAGTTTTTGCTGGAGAGGGTTAGTTGAAGTTGACTGACGCTCCACTGCAATGGCCAAACCAGTGTCACGCTCCCCACAGGGTGACTGCGAACCTTACCATTCAACCTGAGCGGCTTGTCGCTGACCTCACATGGTCGGCCGGAATCCAACCGCTCTTTCAACTCCGAAAGAGCTAGGATACCTACCGCACACACCAGAGAACCTAGATTGGGTCTGCATGGCTGAGTGATACTCTAACTCGAAGCACGATGAAGGCAGCGCCTAGGTCGGGCGATGAGAACCCTCAGAGAGCTGAGATCTAACGGCCACTGACGGGCTGGAACCCCCAGAAGTTGACTGCTACCGCGGCGGAGACCCTAACCTCCCGTTCGCACCCATGCCAGTTTTGAGGGACTGACGTGACGGGCACGTCTCGCACTCGTATTTTGAAGACGCTACCAGATTTCGTCCTCAGGTGGGCAAAGGCGATCCATGTCGACGACAAGACGACGGCCCTCGGCTCGAGTTCTCTTCCAGGTCCCGGAATGGACCTCCCAACCGAGAGATGCACGGTGGCGGCCAATGTCCGAGCCAGGCTCGACCACGCGCCTCACCATTGTCAGTCCCGAATCGAGCACGATCATTTGCAGACCACCAAAGTAATTCTCGACCGGCGCCGGCAGGACGACGGGAGAGTAGAGCAACCGGATGGCGCGCCGGTGTGGGCGCGGCAGTCGCTTCTCCTTCATGACATATCGGTCCATAACCTGGGCGGACTCAAAAGACCAGGCGTTGAGGCGGAATGGCAGCAGGGCGGTCTCGTGGTAGAGCTGGCGGCAGACGGGCGACAGGAGGGTCATGCCGCGGCGAGGCGAGGCCGCCGAGCTAGGGGCGTTTGTCGTTGATATGGCTTTCCATGGGTTCTGGTCCCTGTCGAGGATCTGGCAGCAGAAGCCGCCCTCGGTCGTCTCGTAGTAGCGCTGGCCGTTGCGCGTCTGAATGCGGTGCTTCCACTTCTTGAAACACACGTGAATTTGGCCGACGTCGAGCACGAGTTCGTATATTCGATTTCGGAGCTCGGGGGGCAGGCGGAGGAGGGTCGACATCTGTTGATTGCGTTCCCATCTGCCAAAGGCCTTTGTGAGCGATCGGGATTGCCCAATGGCAAGAGCGCGAAGGCAGGTGGGACGTACTGCTCGAATTGGGGGGTGTCCTCTCTGGGAAACGATCTATGCAACATGTTCCGTATCTTGCGCTGGCGCTCTTTATTGAGCTGCATCTCTTGTGTTCTTAATGATTGAGCTGGTGACAACCCGTGGACGCGAAGCGGAGTTGGGGAGGTACGATGGGCCAGTACAGAGGTATGTAGATAGGAAACCTGATGCTCCGAAGATCTAAGAGTGGGTTCGCGCGGCGCCAAGGCGCGAAGTGTACGGATTACGTGACCCCGCTTGCTTACTTGGGCAAGTGCGCTCCACAAAATTTGGCTCAAGTTGCGGAAAGACACGGGCCGACGGGTGATGCACTAGGGATCCGTACATGTACAGTGCTTCAAGAGTGCCTAGACGTACCCGTCATGATGCTCGATCACTGATTTCCGGCTGGAACCTTTTAGTTTCATCAATATACCCCATCCACATCGCTGCGCATGTGCATCACTACAAGATGTCCCCACGATGCTTTCTATACCTGCAAGCTCTATCCAACAGAAAGACAGTGAACGAGTCTGCTCGCCCTTCGGAGCAGCAGACGCATGCCCAGTCATCATCATCACGGAGAATCCACTCCGACCGTCCGAGACCAGATCTGATATCCCGCACTCAACGAGACGACGTGCCCCTCATGCTGACTGAGGGGCTATTGGGTTGCGGTTTCGCTCGCTTGGGCTGATCACGCTCCAAGCCCTAGACGACATGACCCCAAACCGGACACGATCGACGTCCACCACGCCTGGGCTTCAACAAGCTCCTGTCCTGCCACAACCATATAAACTATACTAAATCTTGGTTTTCTACATCTCCTCAGCCTGCCGAAGACGATCCAGACCATGGATGATCATTTCCTGCGCTTGCTCAACGACTGGCTCTGGGTTATTCTGCCTGCCTCCCTTCCTCCGCTTGGGGGGTCTCTCACTTGCTTCCTGAGCTGCAGTTATATCCTCAACACGCGCAAACGAGTCGTTGGCATTCTCTTTGACTCTAGTCTTCGTGCGTGGTTTCTGAGCTTCTAGATCCCTGCGTGCGGTTTGCAAAGCCTCCCTCAAAGCGGCGATCTCCGCGTTCTTCGTATCCAACACATCTCCAACCTTGGCAACGAGCGCTCTTACGCTGCGTTTGGTTGGCGAGACGTGCTGCCTGGCTAAGTCGACGGCCCTCCGGATATCCTGACCCTGTTGGGGAGTCCGGAGAATAGAGTTCTCCGCGTGTGGCTGCGGTTTTGTAGGCGTAGATGGCTGCTCGGGGGACCTCGTCTCTTCGGCTATTGCTTCTGAATCATCTAGAGTTCTTGACGGGTCGGACAGCGTCGTTCTCGGGATGTTCCATCGCCTCGATGCTGCGCGTAGGGAAACACCATCCTGGACATCTTGAAGCGCTGATTGAATGCGCTGCTCTCTGAGGTTCGCCATGATCTAGGTTTGAACTGGTTTGAAGAAGAATTGGGTGAGAAAGATGGTGTGGGAGATGGTGTGTTTGGGTGAATGATGACCATCGGCATGTCCGGTTGCAGGGGTTGTCCGGTTGGTGGGACACGTCGTCTAGCTGTTTCTCACATATGAAGCTCGGCGTCGCGATAGGTATTCAGCGGGGTTTGAAGACTTCTCCACGTTCTATCTTTACCGGATTATCGATCTGCGCTAAATTAGTTCCATCGGACTCTGAGGTGAGTAAGGTGCTTTCAAGTTCTCTCTCTCACCATAATTTAATATCACGTTTCCAAAACCCGCATGCTCAAGATCATGATGAGTAGGCCAACCGCAACCACAATCAAGTGAGTGGTTCCAACTCATCCCAGGGCCATGGCTTGGTGCCTACGTGTCCTGATTCGGTGCTGGATATCGGTGCGCTAGCCATAGTCGAGGTAGCGGCGCTCGAAAATGCTGCCACAGCGCGGCAACCATGGCCAAAAAGCGATTGCCGCGAGGACCAGGCTCAGGACCGACTACGACACGTTGCTACGAATACACCTCAGATATACGGATGGCGTCGAGAGCCTGCGGCAGCAACAACGACAGTGGGTTGTTGAACTGAGTGGGTTCCTTGGCACCATGATTCACGGACTGAGCACTGATGTTCAATGCGAGACTCTCAGTCAACACAGATCCATCACAATGACGCAGTTCCTGACATAAACGTTATATCATGGCACACTGTCTCTATATAAGGGGGTAATTCCCCTGGGAGGATGAGAGAGGACAATTTTCCAAAAAAAAAAAAAGAAAGGGACATTCTAAGGCACCCTAACCCACTATCTTGATCCTTCATTGTGTGGTCACTCTGGAATCGTGACTTCAATGCAAGCTTCATTTCATACCTCAATTTATTCAATACCAACTTGGTTGGTCTAAGCTTACTCGAGCATGTAACTGTTGGCTGCCCAACATGGGTTCTTACAGAGAGAGTGGAGGCTGAGGTCCTGTCCGGACCCCCGCCGCACTTATGCAAGGACATTCCGTGGACCCACCAAAATCCTGGCATGCCGCAGAAAGTTCCTCGACCAACCACTCAACAAGCTTTCAGCCGGGAGCACAGCCTCAACACCAGGCCAACATCTTCGGGTCAAGATCAGTCCGTCTGCCCCACGCGAGCCGGCGAGGCTTGGTAACTGGCAACTTCACCAACCTCAAGAAAGGGGACTTGGAAACCAAAACGGCCGCTTTCATCTCCCACCGAACCACTGACCAGAAATTCGTTTGCTCTTATTCCAACCTTGCCAAAATGGGCCCGTCTAACAAGAAGCCAAGCATGCAGGAGCTCTATGCCAGCTCCGAGGATTGGGACACTCACAGGGAGACCATCACTCAGCTGTACCTGCATGAGAAGCGATCCTTGCAGGAGGTCATGGAACACATGGCATTGAATTACTTATTCTTTGCGACGTGCGTTTCCCGGGGAATGAACTGAAGCTCAACCCTGGTAGTCTTTTTACTGACGTGATCATTGTGCAGGGTCAAAATGTACAGAACCCGCATTAGGAAATGGGGGATAGACAAAAACAACAAGGCCGCTGAGGTAGCCTACATGGTCAGGCTCAAGAAGCAGCGCGACCTCCTGGGCAAGAAGTCATGCTTCCTCCTTCGGAACCGTCCGGTCGATTGGTAGGTTGAACGTCATGCCGACTTGCTTCCACTGTTAACTGAGTACTCCCAGGGAGGACATCGAGCGCTATCTCGCCCGCACGCCCGACTTCTGGGCCAAGCACGGCCGAGAATCACTCGATCTGAGCAACGAGATTATCTGCAAGACGCCGCCTCCACCAGGTTCCCCTCAAATACCCAAGCCCGCGTGTGTTCCCCAGACCCTGAACGCGGCCCAAGAGCTGCGCGTGCACGAGGAGATCCTCCGCTTCTTCCGCGACTATACCGAAGGCGCGTTCGAGCAAGGTCTCTGGCACCTCGCCGGCTCCCCGTCTCACAAGCGCTACGTCGGCAGCCGCGGCGGCATCGAGGCCCACGCCCGGCTCAACGCTTGGTACGACAGGGTGCGGAACGTGTCGGACTGGCCCGGCCGCGACGCAGACGCCGTCCGGCTCGTCAATCATCTGCTCGACGACCTCCCGCAGTTTATTCGAGAGCAAGACTTTTCTGTCTTCCCTGCGCTGATGCGCTGCTGTTTCTACCTGTCGGCGCGCAGGCCCGCGTTGGGTAAGGCGGTGGTGCAGTTTGTCTCGAGGCTGTGCGCCGTGATACTGGGCGAGAAACACCCCATGACTCTGGCTTGGGCGCGCATCAGGTCGCTGGACATGTCCGAGTACCTGCTCGTGTTGCAGGGTACTGCCAAGGTCCGGCTGGACCATCTCGAGGCAAGGCACCACAACAACAAAGACACTGCCGCGCCGCTGGAGGATGAGAATACCATCAATGCCCTGAGGGAGTATCTGCTGGTGCTCCGGCTGAGGGGCGCCGCGGCCGTGGAGGACGAGATCGACCATGTTACTTGCCGAATAAAAGAGCAGGTACAATTATCGCGGCACCGCGGCAAGAAGGGGCTTACAACGGCCCAGTGCCGCCTGCTTCTGGGCACGGCAAGTTCCTACATCACGTGTCGGCGGTTCGACGAAGCGGAGGAGCTGCTGAGCAGGGTCAGCGCCCACCTCCCGACGGAGTCATCCTCCCCACACTCCACCGGTGCAAACCGCATCTTACCGAGCTATCTCTTCATCATGGGCTTTCTAAGGTATGTCACGGGCAGGATGGACGAGGCGGTGAATTACTTCCTGCGGACGTACTGCGCGCTGGAGAAGGCGCGGGGTCCTCATAGCTCGGCGGTGGCGGACATCCTGCTTGCATTGATCGACTTTCCCGGGCTGTTGCAGAAGCCTGAGGATCTCCAGCATTGGCAAGGGAAGTTTGCGCAGGTGCAGGCCGAGATGCTGGCCAACGCGACAAGGGGTGTTCGGCAGACGGCGTTGGAGGATAGCGAGGTTGTGGATGGACCGCTGGATACGGACGTTAATACCGGGGCATGGTAATGATTTCTTGCTGTTGGCTGCTTCCAGTCGGCGTATCTGTCGTGCTTTGGAGGACGATATTGTAGGCAATTGCCAGGTTAAGATATATACTGTGATATGTGGCCTCAGCTTTCCTCCATTTCATTCCCTGGGTTGTTTGCCTTGGTCGTGGTCAGGTTCCGCGATCTAATCAATGTTACTACACTTAGCGGTACCCACACCTCAAGTCGTTTGCAATCGGGCCTAGGTCGTCCGGTCCTCAACCTAGATGGCTATCAAGTTCTGTACGGCGTGCCGGGATTCCGGCGATTGCGGACCATGTGTTTCTCTTTCTTTCCTATATGTGTGTTTCTTTTTCTGCCTCCATGTATTATTGCCCTTCCTCTTGCTCCATGTATTCCGATGCATGTTCACTTGCCAAAATAAACTCTGGATTCACGATGATAGGTCAGAACACCGGCGTCTTCCTGCAAATTAGCTCCCCAAGCTATCCACTTGGACAACCATTGTCTGGTGCTAAGAGTGGAAAAACTCTCCATATGTAAGTACTCCCCATGTCCTAAGGCTAGGGTGTAGGTACCCTCCATGTCGCCCTGGTCTGCAGCCAGCTCCGACACCCACCCCCAGTTGAGATCCGACATGGGATGTGGCATGTGACGTGCCTAAGCCTTCCTATCCCGCGCCGAGGCCTTTGACGGCTGACCAAATAGTGTGCCTCAAGCAGTTTCGAATCTGCTCGGGGGTTTGGGGATTTACCCAGGGACGTATACCGGCTTTGCGATGATGCTGTCGGACGCTCAGCTGAGCGACGGGGTCCCGGGGTGGTGAATGCTTTTAGCTGCAGGTCCCATTGGTTGTCGCTGGTGATGTAAGGCCAGAGAAGCGAGCTGGCACTGGTCGTTGCGTGTGCAGTGTGGTGTATCGCGGCTAGTACCCACTGCGTTGGACATGATGGGCTTGATCTTGGTTGCAGGGGTGATGGGAGTCTTGTCCCACCGGGTGTCGAACTGTCTGTGGCCTCAGCCCAAGCTCTCTCGTCCTGCGAACCGCTGGAAAATCCTACTCTTCCCCGGTTCTCGGCCTTTTGAGACTTCTGCGACTTCTGTGCCTTCTTTGCCATGGCACCCGTGGGTACTTGAGCGTGAATGCTCTTCCTGGAAGGCCCCCCGAATCACCCGGGGTGTTGGAAGGTACGGATGTTAGTGGCGAGGGGAGGGCAAAGTGTGTGTTGTTTTGGCTGGTCAGGCCACAACAATCGAATAGGCAAGTGTCACTAAATGGGCAATGTTTGAAAAAGAATATAAAGTTGTTCGAGTTCAAATTGACCCTGATTGCCCTCCAACCACCAGCAAATGCCACGACAAATGAGATATCTATATAACATTATGGCTCAATGCGTTGATTCTATGCGCTCCGGTAAAATCCCTTGACTCAGAAAATGGAAGTATCCTTGAAAATCTGTCTGATCTCCTCCGGCGTGAGCGGAGCCGTTCTGGACACCAGAACCGGTCCGGCCACTGTGTCCGGGGCATACGGCTTCAAGGATGTGGTCTTGCAACCATAGTTGACTTGAATCTGGAGATTCCACTCGTCATTATTGGTGATCTAATAATTGAACATCTGTTAGTACAGCTCAAGAGCCGATGCCACCGACAGAAACAAGTTGTTGGTCACTCACGCCTTGCATGTCGAGTCGAAGGTCGATGTCCTTGTGAATGGTGCCCGGTCCATCGGAGAAATTCTCGAGCTTGTGGTCTGGGATGTTGTCGATGAAATCCCGGAGAATCTTCTTCTTGTTGCGACCCATATCAAACCAGCTTGTATGCGGGCAAGTGGTTGACCAAGGCTCTGGGGCGGGGACGTGGGACAGACGAGATCTGGGTGGCAGGAACAAGTGGCAGGGCTGGGGGAAGATCTGGGATTGTAATCTCGAAGGACGAGTGTGAATGGGGCTTGTGATGACAATAAGATTGCTGCGAGAGGAAAGCTAGACTGAGGTGGAAAGGTGAGGGCGTTTTAAAGCATCTTGTCCACTCGAGATGCCAGGTTCCTCCGGGTGGTTCCTCAACTCCTGTCTCACCCGCGCGACAAGTGAACCAAGGAGACGCAAGACGGAAGGTTTGCTCGCCCAATCATTTCGTATGGCTTAAGTTTCAGAGTGGCGGCTATTTCCTCTCCTGTGGGAGAGCGGCGCAGCAAGAGGTGAAGCATGAGGGATGGCCGAGTTGAGCGCTCAGCCGGCCAAGCCCTGGGTCGCTGACTAGCCGCGTTTGGGGACGCGTCCGCCCGCGTCGTAGGCGGCTGCTAAGCGGCGATATCTATTGCAGGAGCGGAGATGCCCCAGTCTCTCGTTGGATGTGAACCCGCACCCGTTGGGCTCCCAGACCACACGGCATTGATTGGATGGGACTGTCCAGAGTTCCTGTGTAGGGGTTGGTTCTTACCGGTGGAAAAGGAAAATAGTTACAGGCAATATATATACAGTATTGATCCTACACCGCAAGGGCAATCACCCCGCCCAGTTAGGGCTAGCGGTCCCTCCGCGCTAATTTACATGCAAGGCATTCACTCTCATGCTGCGTCCGCGCGGCTTAGTTGCCGCTCGGGCGCTCCCAGCAGTCCCTCCCATCCAGCAGTCCGAAACTCACCTTTCGGGCTTGGTGACGACAAAGCTGTGGGCGGCCGCCCGGCCGTGTTCGTCACTTAGCTGCACAGCTCGCGCTGCGCGCTTGCGGCTCCAGTATGGCGTTAGAGCGCGGTGCGCCTCTTCGTCCTTTTCTCCTTTTTGGCCCCCTCCGGGCTCCCAATCCCTTCGCCTTCTCAGGGTCTTTCTTTGTCCCTTCACGCTACAGCTCCATCGAGAGCCTATACTCAGCCAGTCATCCAAGGCCATGAGCCATGTGACTATCCGCGCTGCGCTGGAGCAGTCCAAGCGCCCCTATCAAGTCGTGCCTGTCTCTGAGCTGGGGTCAATACACGCAGTATGCCCGGTCGCTTAGAATCTGAGCCAGAGACGTGGTCTAAACTATATGGGGAACTCTTTGGTATGTGGTTTGCCCCGCAGTCGACTCCTTCGGTGTCAATATTGTAACTAAGGGAGATCGCCAAATCACTAATTCTGGCGAGAGAAATAGCAGATGGCGGCTATCCCATAGATAGATGGCTAGCTATAAGGTATTATAGTAAACGAAAGGTAACAATGAAAATTTTGTCACTCTGGCTTTATCGCCAGTACTCTTTAGGTACTTATATTCTCAAGTTCTGATTTCTCACTCAACTGTCATTTGGTTCAGTCACTTAGGTACTCTGCATGTTTGTATGTTTGTTGCTGTTTGGTAATGACGCTCGTCGATGATGGATTAGTTGAAAGAATTCATGAGGAAACTGCACGTCTATTTCAGGAGCAAGAATGGGACTTCCAATTGATTGAGAATTTTGACACACGTGTGATTGCCCCATTTGAGGTAAGATTTGTGCCGCAGCGGTCACATGACAGACAAAGAGTGACAAGGTCTCTTTGCCAAAGTTTGCTTCATACTGCAACAAAGTTGGCAACCAAACTGAAAACAGCACCTTACCTCTACGTTTCCTTTTATTTGCTTCTCGCGTCAACTCGTTCCCAGCAGGCTCTGGTGCATCTTCCGGCCACTGTATCAAAATGCTGCATCACCAACGCGACGGACTCGAGTGGGATGATGAAGGGTTCGACCTGACGCCCCGTTGGGCGTGGCAGCCCCAGGTCGACAAGATCGCTCAAGTCTGCCGAAGAGTCCTGGGGCTCTCCGCAGAAGACGACTGCCGCGTCACTTTTCATGCCGAGGGCGCCTTCAACAAGCTCTATCTAATCGACACCGCGCATGGCAAGTCTCTACTCCGTGTGTCTCTACCCGTCGACCCCAAACACAAAACACAGGGAGAAGTGACGACCTTGCGCTGGATTCGCCGCATGACCCACGTCCCGGTTCCCAAAATCATCGCCTTTGACGACACCCAAGACAACGAGATTGGCTTTGAGTGGATTCTCATGGAGTTGATGCCCGGCGTCTCGGCGTACAAGAGGTGGCGCAAGCTGTCCATGGCTGAAAAGACATGGCTTGTCGAGCAGGTCGCGGAGTTCCAAAGCCGGCTTTTCCGTCACAGCCACGAGGACGCCAAGTTTCAATCCATCGGCACACTCTTTCCAAGTGACCCGGGGTCTGATTCGATTTACGGCGATCCGAAGCCCGGCCGGATCGTATCTCGCATGTTTTTCATGGGGGATCACTTCAACTACGACATTGCCCGCGGCCCCTTCCGATCCAGTCATGACTGGCTGAGTGCATACCTCAGCATCATCTGCCAAGCGCAAGCGGATTTGTCGGCCAAGGCAGAAGACGAAGACGATCGAGAAGAAGCCGAGAATTGCCTGCGGGTCGCCGCAAAGTTGACGAAGCTGCTTCCCAAAATCTTCCCCCCTCTCCTGAATCCAGCCGAACAGACAGTCCTTTGGCACGACGACCTTTCCCTGCAGAACATCTTAGTTGACGATGACGGCAAAGTCACGGCGCTGATTGATTGGGAATGCGTGTCGTGCGAACCGCTTTGGGTCGCTGCTGAAATGCCCAAGTTTCTGCTCGGGCCCGCACGGGAAGAAGAGCCAAATCGAGAAGGATATGCAGACGCCAGCGAGGATGTCATTGGGTCCGAGGAGCTTGATGACGAAGGAAAGACTGAGCTTTACTGGATTCATTTGATGGAGTATGAACAGACGCAGTTGCGCAAGGTCTACGCTGCAAAGATGAAGGAGCTTTGGCCGCAGTGGGAGACAGAGGTTACGTATGGGACCTTGAAGCTGGATTTCCTGGGCGCTGTCGGCCGCTGTGCCGCCGGATGGTATTTGAAACGGATAGAGCAGTGGATTGATGCGGTGGAAGACGGAGCGTTTCCTCGCTTGATGGATGTTCTCAAGCCAAACCTCAACAACTGTTGAACAGCATGTGTATATCTTGAGATTTGTCGATAAACCCATGTACTAATCCCGCATGGCTTCAAAGGTGGCAAAGAAGCGAAGAGGAGAACAACGAAGAAGTAGAGGAAACACTGCAGTAAAGGGGCGTGGAGACACTACAAGGCCCTGCCTGGTTCCTGGTTTACATGACTCTCTCACACATACACCGTCCACCATCACTGCTTCACCAGGTGACAGGGTCTGATAGCGCTCAAGTGATGGGACTTGGTTGCCGAAGCTTGCAGCTGGTCTCAGTGTCCTCCGCTGTTCCGAACAATAGCAAGTTTTTCACCCGTCGTTTCTTGACTCGAAGCCAAGCAGGCCGGTATTGCACCTACCAGATTCTCTCCGCGTCAGGTCCATGTTTCGGTGCGGAAGCACAACAGAACAACCTGCCAATAGTATGCCATGAGGTGACAGCTCAGCCCCCAATTGCTGCGGACAAAACAGGTGGAGGGGTTCCGGTGGTTGTTGGACTGCATGAGGATTCTCGGCTTGTTCGGGGATTGCCGTGAATGGCAGCCATCAACTTTGAGCTTGATGACGGCGATCAGCTACCAAATCGGGGGTCACCATCAAGACGTGTTTCGGGCATCGGGAACACCCGAAGTTGTACAGAGGCTTGTTCAAGGTTATATCAGTTCCCCGGCTCCCTGCTCAAGCCCTGTTACACCTGTTCCCACTTTGAAGCCATTCAGGTAACCAACAAGCACCGCCTTTCCTAACCAAGAAGAAACATGATATTCGCCATGTCTGCTGTACCACGAGCAATCAACATCCTTTACCATTTGATATATACACGGGACACATCAGACTCGGACAATTCCCCCCGATACCCGCCATTCAGCCGGCCAGACGAGGATGACGACGACACCGTGGGCCCCTTCCAGCTCGATCCAGACAACCGCGACAAAAATCTCTCTCCCAGGATCATCGCCGCCATAGTTCTATCCGTCGTCTTCTTCCTTATCGTGATTATGGGGCTTCTCGCCTACCTCGGCCATCGACGACGTAAGGCAAGGAAAGGCGAGATCGCACTGAAAGAGGCGAGTACGCCAGCGGTGGCTACCGCCTCGGGGGCCCTTGACCCACCGCCGCCGTATCAAAAGGTACATGACGCGGTTCATCATCAAGAGCAGGAGGGGCGGTGGGGCAGTGAGGGCGAGGTCGTTGGCGAAGAGGAGGATTCACATGCCATCGGCTCACATGCGACGATTACGGATGGGATGGGTCCAGGGACGCATAACGGCGCGGATGCGCGTTAAGGGCACAGTTGACGGGAATTGGCATGAGTTGGTATGAAGTTGGCAAGACTGCAAGGGACTGACGAGCATGAGAGAGACATTATCTATAGTAATGTTGGACGACGATGGATGTTTAACTGCTGCATACACCCACGGCAGGACACCACCATAACCCACACTAACTGTACCCGTTGCAATCATCCCCCGTTCACTTGTTGGAAAAGACGGTTAGTAGATCACTCGACTACCACAGCCCATAGAGCAACTTCCCCTCCACGACTCCCTTTCCTCTAATCCTGGGGAATATTAAAGGTGACCTTCACCCCATGCCTCTTGATCCCCCACTCCCCCAACCCATTCTCCAACGCCTCAGCAAACCCCGGGTCAAACTCCCTCCCAGACTGCACCCCAGCCAACCTACCAGTCCGCCAGGCAACCCAGTCCTCGACAGCGACCTTGCCCTCCCAATCCCTCAGGATCCCGACCGCCACATCCACAATCCTCTTCTCCTCATCGCCCCCCGGCACCCTCTCATCGCCATCAAACAGATAAAACACGGTCGCCCCACAGACGCCGCAAAACGTCCGCCTCACCTCGTCCGACGAGCGGTAAACCCTCATGGTCCCGACCTCGTCGAGCGCATCCGCCGACATTTTTTTGCCAGTGGACGACGAGATACACGCTAGCGGGACAAATGTCCAGGCGACGACGTGCGAACCGGATACGAGCCGGCAGTCGCGGCATAAGCACAGACAGGCGACGCGCTTGAGGTTTTGGGAGTGGGAGTGCGCATTCGGTAGTTTGCCGGAAGAAGGGTCAATGTAGTCTGACTGAGTTGGACTCGGGCTCGGGCGGAGGTAGCGTCTTAGATACGGGTCCGCGGCCTCGGCGGGGGAAGGGCGGGAGATGGTGAGGCGGATGCCGGCGCAGTGGCATTGTGCCAGAAGGACATTGCGGTCGGGGAGGTCTGGCTCTGGCGGGGGAAGGGAGGCCAAGGTGGATTCATGATGTGGGTCGTTTGGGGGAGGGTTCCAGACGTGGAGGGCACGGCCGTTGATGGAGGGCAGCCAGGTGGACAGGTTGGGCTCGGTGGCCGGATTGGTAAAAACGTGGGAGCGGATCTGGAAGGTGTCTTCATCGTGGACGGTGAAGATGGAGGTGGCCACGCGCCATTCGGGCTTGCCGGTTTCCGGGTCGGGCTCGATGTCGCGGTCGCCGATGTGGCAGCCGCAGGTGTTGCAGAAGAAGCGCTCGGAAGCGGCCTGCGCCGAGTGAATGTACCCCGTGAGGGATGACTCTATCGAGGAGGGAGAGACGAAGTCGGGCTCGACGCCCTTGGGCAGCGGCGCGTGGAAGCAGCTGAGGGTGCCGTGGGTGTAGCGGCATATGGTGCAATGGCAGAGATGGATCGGCAGCGGGAGAGCCGACGTAGGCACCGTCACGGTGAAGTGGGCCGACTTGCAGTGGCACTGCGCTGTGAGCGTCTTGTTTGCTGCAGCGAGCTGGTGTGGGAGGTGAAGGTCGGCGGCCATTTTGTGAGTGCTTGTCCGTCGTTCTTGATGAGTTTGAGTTTGCACCGATTTTCGAGTGATATGCGTCATTGGTGATAGGGCACGGAGGTATGATTCCAATTTGGGGCGACCCCGCACAAAGCAAAGAGCGCACTGCAGTAAGCGACCCTGAGAGTTGATCCGTCACCGACGAGAGCGAGCTATCATGGGAACTTGGGTAACTAGTGAGAGAAGGCTAGGAATAGAAAACTGTTACAGCGTCCCCACAATGCCTGCTCTGACTTTGACAACCCGACCAATTCTATACTACTTGTGCAGTTTTCTTTGCTAGTTTTCTTTCTCGTTCTTTTTTTTCTTTTTCATTTCTATTACACCAGTGACAGAATCTCGAATCTTCTCAGTCCTTACTCTGCCTCGAACCCTTCCCACTCCAATAGCTCGAGTCGACCTTGTCATCGCCCGCCGGATCGGCCCTGCCATGCTTCTTCTCAAACTCGCGGTTGTGTTCGTCCACCTCGCGCTGCTGCTCGGCCGTCAGGTTGGGGCGCTCCCCAGGCACGCTGGCGTTGCTGATCTTGGGCTGGGGAGGGGGCTCGACGGAGCTCTCGAGCGGCTGCCCGCCCCCCGTCCGGCCGCGGGCGTCGCCTTCGGCCAACGCGTCCGGGATGGCGCCGGCTGTTGGGCTGGAGCCCGTCTCGACGGATTCTTTGCTCCGCGATCCGCCGCTTTGCGCACTGGCCTTCTCGGCGGCGTCGGGGGCCGACGACGTACTAGACTCGGCAGCATCGGGGGACGGCGGGTTGCCACTGGTGTTGATGTTGTAGGGCCTGACGTCGGCTAGCCGGAGTGATGGAAGTGCAGTCGCTCGCAGGCATGCCGCAGCCGGTCTCTGAAGCGCTGAAGCCATGGGTACGGAACGGAGGATTAGTCGATTCATGGTTTCTTTCGTTTCGAGACCGCAGATTGGTTGTCTTGTGGAAAGGTGTATGCTTGATGTTTTGCTTCTGCCAGATGACAAGGCAATTAATCCTTCCAGTATCGAGGAACTCTTTTGAGGTCTAGAGCATCAATGCTTCAGGATGAACTCAACTTCCAACCAGTAATTGTACTGATGGAAGTGGCGTCGTATCGTGGTTGTCGCATTAGGTGAACTTGTTTGTAGCCATGACATCATCGCTACCGCCGACTCAGCAGTTGCCCCGCTTCCCGTCCTGCCAGCGGTCACCGGCTTGAACCCCTCCAATCAACACAGTAAGTACGATGCACTGCTATACCTTCTGATATGGCTCGACTCGGTATATATAAGAATCATTGTCTCGACTATCCTTCTCATAGATTAGCTAATCGAAGTGCATCGCTTGGCGCAGTTGGAATCCGATTTGCAGATTTGCTTCTGACAGTCCCGTGAAGTGACAGGAATCCTTGGCGATGCTCGCGGCCCCGCGGGGCTCCCATCACCTTGCCCAAATGAGCGAGCAGCTCAAACCGGCATTCGTACGTGTAATTTGCAATCAACGATGCGACTGGGATTAAGCATTGTCACCTTTGGTCGAGCAGGTTGCAGAAGGGAAATCTCAGGGCCCACAACCGAGTTGGTATTACCTTCAGACCAGGATGCAAGCCGCGATGATATGGTACTACTGCGGCCGACTTGAAAGTTCGGGACGCCGCACCGGGACTGGGCGCCGCAGCCCCCGTGCCGAAAGCGAAAGCGGGATCTTCAGGAGCACCTGCCTCGGAGCGAACAGCGCCTAACGTTAAATGGATAAGCATTGTGGAGAATCCGTCAAGAAAAGACTCTGATTCGTCACTTCCACAGGAGGCCTTTACGAATACGCTGAAAGGGCAAGGATAACACTTCCAACCACGCAAAGCGCTTGCCAGTATACCGTCTTCCATTTAACAAGAGCAGCAGCTACTGCCCTTTGATGATAAGGAGAAGTATCAGGCTGTTGCTCTACGTTCGGCTTCAAATTGCAGCTCACAACAACCTCACAGCGACAGCCACCGACAAAATGGCGGACGCAATCTCAGCGACAGCAGCCATGGACACGGCCGGCAGTGAGACGGCACGACTGGTCGCGCCAACCTGGCCCCTGTCAAAGCGCATCAAGTACAGCCTTGTCGCCTTTCTCTATAACACACTGCTCCTCAAGCCAATGCTCTTTTCCATGTCACTCAAGAAGTATCTCGGTTCTCCCAGCGAGAAGGAGCCAGACCTGGTCAAGCGATACCCAATCCGCAAGTCCTTGACTATCCGTATCTTTTTCCCCCCTTCTCACAACAAAACCTCCTCATCCCTAACAACAGATATCTCCAAACTCCCCACCCTGCTCACCATCCACGGTGGCGGCTTCACCCTCGGCCAGCCGCACGACAACGACGGCTGGAACCGGACCTTCTCCAAGCGCCACGGCTTCCTGGTCATCGCCCTCGACTACACCAAAGCGCCCATGGGACCCTTCCCGACCGCCATCCACGACATCGAAGCCCTGATCAGCTGCGTCCTGTGCGACCCATCCCTCCCCCTCGACGCGGACCGCGTGGCGCTAGCAGGCTGGTCCGCAGGCGGCAACCTAGCCCTCGCGGCCTCCCAGTTGCCCTCGCTGCGCGGCCGCATCCGCGCCGCCGTGCCGCTGTACCCGGTGCTGGACATGGTGACATCGGCGCACCACGTCAAGGCGCGAGCGCGGCGGTACAAGCCCGCGCTCGGCGGCTTCCGCGGCAGGGACAGGGACTACCTGCTGGCCATGATGGGCCTGTTCAACTGGGCGTATCTCCCGCCGGGCCAGCGGTGCGACGACCCGCTGCTGAGTCCCATCTACGCGCCGCGGGAGCATCTGCCGAGGAACGTGTTTTTTGTTGCGTGCGAGATGGATCTGCTGGCGCACGAGGCGTGGCGCATGGCCTGCCGGCTTGCGGGCAAGCGGGTGCCGGACATGGACGAAGTGGTTGGGTGTGAGGAGCCGGTTGGAAAGGGGGTGCTGATCACCGAGGGCGACGAGAGGTTCGCGTGGGAGGAGGCGAGTGGCGATTCGACGATTCGCTGGCTGCTTGTGCCGGACTCCATTCACGGGTTTGACCAGGACAATATTGCCAGCTTGGTACGCGATCCCGTCACGATGGAGGATGCGCGCATCAAGACGGCCAAGACGATTGACCTGATAGGGAAGTGGTTGTTGGAGGGGCCGTTGAAGGCGGACGCTCAGAATTTGCTTATGGAATGAGAAGTACTATAGCATTGCGTATACAATATCCATCGACTTCCAATACACAGGAATCTGAGCTACCAAAGGCGAAAGCGAGAACCACCGAGTAAGTCATACATACCCCTTTGCACGCACGCTTACACAATTACATACTCCTTCAACACCTGCTCCAGACTCTCGACTGCAACTCCCTTCGCATCCGCCCAAATCTCATGTCCCTTAGCGCTGCCTTTCGATCGTCCATCCGCCGCCCAAATCTCCATAACCGCATTCTTCAGAGCTGCATCCACCTTCAACCCATGCAGCTTCTCCACCCTCGCCTTGACATCCCCCTCGGACGAACCCCTCACAGCATCCCACACGGGATCCTTGAGCTCATATAGCATCTCACACCGATGCAACACCTCAAACACCCTCGCCTCCACATCCACCACGTCCAGCTGCAGGTCCCTGCCGAGCGCAATCTCGAACCCCTCCTCCGGGCTCCACCGGTGCACATTTCCCAGCGCCACCGTGGTGCACCCCTCGTCCGGGTCGCGCGTAACGCGGAACCCGGGCACGGCCGCGGCCACGTCGCTGCCCGTGTGGCCCACCAGTTTGACGTGCCACTGCCGCCACTTTGCCCTGCCCGAGCCGTTGTTCCACTCCGGTCCGATGGTCAGCAGGCCCTCGGCCTGGTTCCATGTAATGGGCGTGCGGACGTAGGAGCTGAGAGCGGGCCGTTCCTCGTCGCCCGAGAGGTCGAGGTCGTGTTCGGGCTCTTCGACCAGCTCAAAGTGCGCGTCCTTGCCGACGACGAGGAGGAGAGTGATGTCGGTCGGCCGCGGGGAGCCGTTGGCCAGCTTGGCGGAGCTGTCGAGCGGGAGGATGGTGCCCTCCGGGGCGAGGACGGGGATGTGCGAGAGGTCGCGGTGCAGGTGCATGTACCGGCCGCCGTCATAGACGAGGTGGTGCGGGTGCAGCAGGTCGACGTAGCGGCGGCCCGGCGGCAGCCAGGCGCGCACGCCGCCCAGCAGCGTGGTGGGGCTGGTCGGGGAGGTGATGGGCGCGACGATGAGGTCCGGCCCGAAGTAGTACTGCGTCGGGACCGTGTAGGCCTCGGCGGCGTCGTTGTGGTTCCAGTACATGGGCTGGATCAGCGGCTCGTTCTCGTAGCTGGCGCGGATGTTCATGGTGTAGAGAAAGGGGATCAGGCGGTGGCGGAGGATGAGAAAGTCCTTGATGGTCTTGGATGCCTCCTTCTCGTAGTTCCACGGCTCCCGGGAGTTCCAGGGGCTCTTGTTCGAGTGTAGCCGCAGGATCGGGGAGAAGCATCCGAGCTGCACCCAGCGGACGTTGAGCTGGTTGGACCGGACGCCGCCCCAGTGCCCGCCAATGTCGTGGCTCCACCAACCGTAGCCAATGTTGGAGGCCGTCGCGGTGAACTCGGGTTGGAACTCGAGGCCCTCCCACGTGGTTTGCTGGTCGCCCGAGAAGCCAATCGGGTACCGGTGTGAGCCGGCGCCTGCATAGCGGGAGAAGGTCAACGGCCGCTGCAGGGTTTGGAGACTGCGCTTGCTGGTGAGATAGTGGTAGTGGTTGAGCACCCAGAGGGGGTCCACGCCGGGAATCTTGGTCCGGTTGCCCTGCTGCCAGTCGATCCACCAGAAGTCGACGCCCTGCTTCTCGAGTGCCAGCTTGAGAACGTCAAAGTAGGCGTCAAGGAACTTGCGGTCGGTGCAGTCAAAGTCGATCGGCTCTCCTTTCGAGGGATCACGGTTCAGAGCCTTGGCGACCGCCTCGTACAGATCCTCAAAGGCCCGAATGCCGTCGGCCGGATGGTCGTTGAGGGTCACCTTGAGATTCCGTCTGTGCAGTTCCTTCAGGAATCCCTCCGGGTCTGGGAAGAGGTCGCGGTTCCAGCTGTACCCGGTCCATCCCGAGCCGTATCCCGGCGGGAGGTTGACCTTGTGCCAGTCCATGTCGACCACGCCAACATTGAGTGGGATGCCCTCGCGCTTGAAGTGGTCCATGAGCTCGAGATACTCGCTGGCTGAGTATTCATGGTATCGTGACCACCAGTTTCCAAGCGTCCAGCGAGGGAGAACGGGCTGGCTTCCGGAGATGCGGTAAAAATCCCTGATTGCCGCCTTGTGGTCCCCATTGTAAGCAAAGACATAGCCGTCAATGCGGCCAGGTCGCCGTGTGGCGATCCAACCGTCCTCGAATAGCATTGACTTGCTGTCGTCGAGGACGGCGTAGGCCTTGCGCGAGAGAACGCCTGGTTCCAGGTCCACGCGGCCGTAAGCGCCATCCAAGGTCCTGGCAGTGCCGCCCAGGTCGCCGTAGCTCTTGCCGTCGTAGTGCCAAACATCTTTGCCGACTGTGACGGAGAGACCCGACGAAGAGAACTCCCGCTTGTCGTATTTGAGATGGAAATGATCCGTGATGATCTCCAGGGCGTTCTTTGATTCCACCACGCGGTAGTGCGGGGCATCGAACCACCTGAAGAGCGCAAACGTGGACACGCGGTCCTCAAAGCCGCCGTCCTCGGACCATTCGTAGCGGAGCAGCCGGTCGGTCAAAACGCTGAAGCGGTAATGCGACCCTTGGACAATGGCCTTGGGGTTGGTTGCTGGTCTGTTGGGGAACGTGTACCGGTAGTCGGCCATTGTAGGTTAAGTGACTTGGAATAGAAGCGGACCTGAAAATCGGAAAATGGCGGATTTCATTAAAAGAACAAAGAAAATGGAGAACCCCAACTTTGCTACGTATCCCAAGTCAACTTGAGACGGAGATGTTGGGTTCAGACTGAATATTATTCAAGCCCAGAGCTTGAACTTCCAGAATCCCGCGACTCGTTCGCGCTACTCCACGGTCAGCTGCTCCCCGTCTTATTACCCCTGTCAACCCCGCATTCACGGCCAGAGGTGAAACAGCAGTGAGTGGCACCAGCGACACCTGGCCTCACCTGACCAGTGAACAGCCAATCATGGTCGAGTCGTGGGGATCTGGGTTGCTCCCTTCCTTCCCCTTCCAGCGCTGCATACAACTCTCTTCCGTTGTAACTGCGTTGATGTGAGTGACAATATATCGACGCGGCTGTGCTTGCGTTGAGCTTATCGACAATCATGATAGAATACTCAAGTCTCGGCTCGATGCTCGTCCAATAAACCAGACATGTCTGAGACACGGGTGACGGAAAACCAGGCCCCATGATGAGGTGTATTGAGCGCCTCTTGGTTTTCTTCATCTCACTGACCGTTAGGATATCAGTTCAGTGTCATCTGAGAGGTTTGTCCAGGAGGTATTCAGGGTTGTAGACGACTCAGGAGTGCAGAATAAGGAGAGTTCTGTGTGATGCCGCTACAAGCACAGGAGAGTACAGAAGTAACCCTAGGAAATGCTCTTCAGTAAATGCTAAGGATCATGGGTTGGTAATATGTTCGGCCTTATTCATCGTTCGAAGTTACCAGGTAACGAATGTGTTGATTCCAGGATAGTAGCACAGACTGCAGAAAACTAGGATAGCGGCACAGCCGCCCAGTGACCTAGGCTAACCATCGCTCGCAACTCAAAGGCACCAAAACAGCACAACCGTCTTGTTGGTAGAGGAGGAATGAGCCTATTTTGGGGAAGCCTCAGTAAAAGATTCGACCTTGAACGTGACAGTCCCCGATTCCTGCCAATTGAAAGACGTATTTCTCCTGCAATCCTTCTTCCTTTTGGTGTAATCTGGATTCCGAGTGTGACTCAGGATCGTGATGATACGTTCATAGCCGTGAGGATTGATCGTTTCGGAGCGGGAGACAATAGAAGTGCTTCTATTGTCCTCCCACTCCTTGGCTTGTTGAAGCCAGTAGTCTCATGAGCGGCAGTGATGTTGTTGGTGATCTCCTGGTCATTTCAATGCTTGCCATTTCAGCTGGCACTGCATGGCTTTGTCAACTTGATGACGGTTGTCGGTTGGCGAGTCTCATGGGCCGATATCGCTTATATTTTGACAGGTAGTGAGTACGTATGGGAGTTGAGTCCCTAGATGGTTGATGGTAAAGTTTAGGTTTGATGGGGAGAATTGACCGCTAGGATAGCAACATTTATCTGATTCGCTAACAGAACTCAACACCACTCCTGGCTCAAGTCAAGTGTCAGACGGGCCACAAAGGCTATGTTGTCAATTACGCCTTCATGATGCATTTTCTAGCTGATTCTGGATATCGATGACACCGGCGTTTCAGTATGAACTATGATGAGACGCCGCTCACTGGTGCCTTAGAACAAAGCGGTTACTATTGGGTAGCTGCAAACGAAACAGAGTACTCGAGCCAGAATCGAGCGGGGAGTCGAGTCCACAATTGTAATGGAGAGAATGAGCTATGAGCAAGAACGTAATCTCAGCCACAGGCAGGCGTACAGTTAATTAGGGTTCAAAGTGGAAGAGATGCCAAAAAGGACGGAAAGACAAGACATCCAGCTTGGCAAAATGAAAGCTGGCGACGTTGACCTAGGCGGAGCGCAGATAATGTAGATGGGGGTATAGAATGAAGCAAAGAGCGAATGAGAGAAAGCCGCAAGTACAAGTAAATTATGAAACATCGGAGGATGAAGGCCTTGTATTCATGCCATGGGCGTTGCTAGGCCGCGCGAGCACAGACATAACTACTGGGAAGCTTGTGGCAGGTCCCGAAAACTACGACAGCGAGTTCTGGCTTATACCCGAATACCTAGAGAGAACTATGATGCCCCCCGGCGACCTTCTACCATCATGATGTTAACACACATAGTTATACACACCCACTCCAACTCGCGTGCCAGCCTAGAGCTCGGCCTCGTCCATATTCCTAACAAACAACATGAACCACCTGACCGAGTTGACATGACCCAGCACGCTGACCCTCTCATCCACCGTGTGGATCTTGCCCAGCCCCGGCCCAACCTCGGGGTCATACCCGGGACCAAATCGGAAGATATGTCTGGTCAGCCCCCAATAATACCTCGTATCCGTGTTGCCCGTCATGATGCCCGGCGTGACAATCACCTCGTCGCCGTAGAGCGCGCGCGTTGTGCCGGCCAGGACCGCGAACGGACTCCTCTGGACCGAGCCGTCGGCCGGCGTGACGGGCGCGACCTCGAGCTCGTGCGTCGTCGAGGCGGCCAGGATGATGGAGGACGACGACGGCGGCTCCTCCTCCTTGGCGTCGAACGCGTGCAGCGTCAAGTTGTGCTTGTGGGCCGTGTCGGCGGCGAGGGATGCCAGCCGGTCCTTGACCAGCTGCGTCGTCTCGCCGATGTTGATGCGGTGGTTGACAACCGCGGTGGCGCGCTCGGGCAGCGCGTTGACCTTGATGCCGCCCGAGACGACGTCGACGGCCTGCGAAGTCTGCATCAGGTACTTGATCTGAGGACCCTGTTTTGCGGCTTCCAGGGCGAGGTGGTCCGGCTTTGCGTCCAGTTTCTTGCACGTGTGGTCGCGAGGATAGGAGGAACCTGAACGGCGCCGGCGGCGGCTCAGGAGCTTTTTGAGCTGGTCCGGGAACTCGGGTGAGTAAGCGGCGCCGCATTGGAGTTGGGTGTAGTAGGGGTTCGAGTCGACGAGGCGGGTGCGGTACTGCTCCGACTCGATCTTGGTGATCAGCTCGCTGAGGATGCCGATACTGGTGTGGTCCGACGGAACGGACGAGTGGCCGCCGGGCATACGGACCGTGATGTGGATATCGGTGTAGCCCTTCTCGGCGGTCCCGGGCTTTGCGAACAGGGTACCCCAGGCCCGTTCGAAGCCGCTCCCCTCGTCGACGATGACGGCGATGCCGTCTTTCCCATAGCGGTTCTGGATGAACTTTGCGAGGTGCGACGCTCCCTGGGTGCCCGAGCACTCCTCGTCAAAGCCAAAGGAGAGCAGAATTGTCCGCTTGGGCTGGAAGCCGGCCTCGAGAAGCAGCTCAAGCGTCTCCATGGCGGCGATGAGCTGGTTCTTGCAGTCGCTGGCACCGCGGCCCCAGATGTACTTGCCGTCATACTCTCCGCTCCAGGGAGGGTACGTCCAGGAACCAATGGTCTCGGGCGGGACCGGCACGGTGTCCTGGTGTGCCATGAGCAGCGTCGGCTTCAGCGACTCGTCGCTGCCCCGCCACGTGTACAGCAGGCCATGTGTGTTGACCTTCTCGACCCGCAGCTTGCTGTGGATGAGCGGGAAAGTCTTCTCGAGATACTTGTGGAAGGTATAGAAGACATCCCATCTCGGGTCCTCGCCAATAGGCCCGAGGTCGTCGAACGACTCGGTCTTGACCTGGACAGCGCCGGCCAGACGGCGGATGGTGGCATTTCTGAAGCCGCTGCTGACAATGTGCTCGTACACCTTGTCGAGCTTCGAATCTTTGCTTGGCAGCAGAGGCTGCGGCTGTTCGCATCCCGATCGGAAGTCGGTCTCTCGTCCCGCATGGCCCGCAAAGAGCCGCTCGGAAAAGCCGAGATGCGGGAAAGGGACAAGGAAGAAAGCCAGGACGAGAAACGCCAAAGTGAGGCACTTGGCCTTGGACCGCCTTTGGTCCCCACGCTGAGGGACTCGGTCGAGAGGCAGCACAGGTGTGGCCGCCGACTTCATTTTGTTCTTGCCAGGGCGGTTATGGTTGTCCAAGAGGGGATGTCTCGGGAGTGGCGCTGACGAGTGACGCAAACGGGGAGCTGAAATACCATAGTCAACAGCAAATGAACTCAGTGTGGAGCAAGGATCTGCGGAGGAAGCTGTGGGCTTCGTTGACCTGCTTTTCTGGGATGATAGCGCAACGCCTTTGCGATATGGTGTCATTACGTAACCCGGCTTCTTTCATAATCAAGATGTGTATTGTCTGTTATGTTTTTGAGCGCTGAATGAATGAAGCTCGAGAACTAACATCATCGCTATTGATGATGAGCCGGAGCTGCGAAACACCGACCGGTTATACCGCTATAGCAATCATGAAAACGGCTGACGAAGTGCATTATCAGTGAGTGGCCCACCTTAACAATCTTAGCAGGGCTGCATCCCAGATGTATCATAAGAATTAACGTTAACGTTAGTAGTGTCGGAACGAAGCCGCCTTGATGGCTGCATTCAACGGACCTCGGTGGTTGATTGGTGCCAGCATTGCAACCCCTCTTTCTTACATACTTAGTCCTCTCCCATGCCCATCAACAGCATGGTCAATCAATCACTTTTACCACCTTAAAAATTCAATCCACTGCTTTGGCTGGGAATAGCTTCTTCCAGCGCATATCTCAGCGGTCGTCGCCCTGCAGGTTCCAACAAGTAGTGCTCTTAAGATTTCTTTTTGTTAAGGTGGGCCACTCACCGATAATGCACGTTAATGTACATCCGTATTATTCATAGTTAAGTACCATTGAGTTAACCAGCAAACACTGCTAGTGGCCTTGATGTGGATAAACAACCTCGCGCGATCAGTCATGCGTCTTGAATTGAGTGGATTTCTCGAAGTCAGGGGGTTGTGATCGCTGCCCTGCCCCTTTTCCGATGAAAGTCCGAGTCGTCCGCAGGGATCTCGGGAACTGCTAAACGATCGGATAATTAGTGGCATCTGAGTGTGTATCAATGCCTACAGAGAAGGGCAACTGGGCAAGCATGGCCAACTTCGGACAGTCGAAACCTTCATTAGCGAGCAGACGCTGGTCGCGCCGACTGTTATTTGATTTAAGTTACCTAACTAGCCTTATACTTCAAGAACTGATGAAATTGGGAACTTGAGCCCTCTCAGACTAACAAGAAGCTATATTCTAGCACCATTTCTAGCCGAGACTTATAACGTTAGGTATAGAGTCGAATCTTAAATTCCCAGGTTGCCTGGGCCAGGCAGTCTCAGCGGCTTGGAGAAAAATTGAAGTCTTCCATGATCTTGTACCAAGTGCAGTTGCCCTTAGAAATTGCAGCTACTGGCACCGCTCAGGCTATCGGGTTGAATGTCTGGTATTTATCAGTGAAGTCGAGAGCTTGCTAGTCTGTAACTACTAACAAGGTGTTTACCTCGAGTTTCCAGGCCTTGGGATCCTGTCCCCATTCGCCTAAAGTTACCTACTTACGGAATTGACCACTGGCACCTCAAAGCCAGTCGTAGTCGCCACGGCCTTTATTGGAAACGTGCACTGTCCTGCAGACATAGAGCAACAAGCAACCCAGCTATTACTGGGCAAGGTTCGATGTTCAATCCTCAGATTCCTAAAATTGTTGGTTCTCGAGTCGGCCCAATGTATATCTCGCCGTGCTCAAACGCTTCTGCGTTTCAAGCCCAAACCGGAATTCGAAGAGTCAATCGCTATTTCACAAACGGTTACAGATGTTAGCAGCGGTCAACAATTTGGAGTCGTCAATGACATTACATGGGGTAGAACTTCAAGCTGCTTCATAACATGGCCCATCTTGCGCTCGGCGAACCTATATCGGTACTGCTTATCCCTGAGTCTGACTGTGGTTTTGCACCGGGGAGGGGAGTATTGAGTGAGCATTTACCGTTCTTTGGAGGTTGCCCGTGTCTTTCTAAGTTTTAGGTATATTACCATGGCCAATTGGAAGTCAAGGCTACTTACCACAGCTGAATCTCACTGTTTTCACATCAGATTCGGTAGGTAGTTTTGTCATATATTAGTGCCTGTTCCGACTCCTATTCCGGTTCTGGTCGAACTGGTTACGTGGTTTGAGTTTGGCTTTGGGCTTTGTCAGTTCTCCTCCCCAATTTCTCGTTCGTTCCCCCCACCTTTTCCTTCTACTGACTAACCATGTTGTTTGTGTTGCCAGCCTACACAAACTTCACCTACTCTGCCCTGCAGACCACCACCACCGCAACCATCACCCCAGGCCCGGCAGGCCAAGAAACACGATCAACCTGACAGCTGAAGCTCCAAGTTGCATGAGCATGCAGACATGATTTGGTACGGAGTAGCTCCTGGGCTCTGAGATTGTGCTCAAGATGGGCTTCTGGCAGTGCCTCAAGTAAGTTACCTTAGTCTCAGTCACGCGTGTTGTTGCATCTGGGTCCCCCAAGCTGTGAGCCCAAGCTGTGACCCCCAACTGTGACCCCCAATATGGCCCCTAAGTCTAGCCCCCAAGCCGGTGGTGTTGTCTCGGCTGTGCATCGTAGCTGATGTCAGCGATCCTCCAGGAATCTTGCAACCTTAGGCAGGCACCGGTTTCCTGTGGGGCTTGCTGCCGAAATTGACCCAACTTGAATGGCTCATCAACGCAGGGCACGTGTGCGCCGTGAAGTTGCAGCAATCCGCCGAGAAACAAACCATTGTCTCCACAGCGGAGCCCATCGAAATGTGGCTTCCTTTCCAACAGGAATGGAACGGTGGCCTGCTATTTTTGCGCAAAGGTATCATTAACCTGGATTTGCGACGTGAGATGTCGGATTGAATGTTGGGGGCTGAATCGGATCACCTGGGACGTTGTCATTCTGCCACCGTGACCGACAAGCCTCATTCTCAGGTCACAGGAGACCGCGAGCCACCTCGAATACGGAAAATCTGGTTGAAATGTTTAATTCTCTCGCATCCAAGGGGGGGCTGGTGGAGGGCCGGGGCTTCCCGCTTCAAACTGCGAACGGTGGAGCAGTTTCCCCGCGTCGACATGAAGCGCTAACTGAAAACGGAATTCATTAATTGGGGCGGGTCTCGTGTGTGACGCCAGACTCACCTCGCCCGCGCCGCTTGCGGCCGGATCTGGACCCTTGACTTCCATCGAGGGAATTGCAACTCAGATCGGCTGGACGGTGGTCAGTGAGATACAAAAGAGCGCGCCACTGCGCAGTGCGCAGGCTCGCCAGTGATCTCGCCCATTCCTCTTTCATGGTTGAGTGGTGATTATCAAGCCCATCCATTACTCTCATCCCTCGCTTCCAGCCGTCCCTGTGTTCCTGCGATCACTGCTCGCTCCAACCCCACTGCCCACAACATCTCTTATCACTGCACGTCGTCAACGCGTGATTTCCCTTGTACAACCAGCACCGAAACACACCACCATGGCAGGCTGCTTGAAGGCCCTTCACTTCTGGAGGAAAAAAAGCAGGCCGTACTCTGCTGGCACGAATGAGAGGTCCTCTTCACCACAGCGCGGGCGTACCCGTACCGTCTGGATACCCGACCCCGAAAAGCCGCCCCTGGATGTCCAGCACGTCAACTTCACGCTCCCATCCACAGGCGTGCCGATCCGCCGTCATGTGAATCCGTCTTACTCGGCGGCCGCGACTCCCGCCGATACCAGATGGATTGACTCGGCCACGGCGACAAAGGCGGCGCCGGCTTATTTCGGCAGCGGAGTCAGGATGCAAGACGGGGACATCGGCGATCCGGACGAGGTCGCCCGACAGAAGAAAGCTGCGCAGGAGGAGCAGGAACGCCTCGATTTCTTCCAGATGATGTGATCCATCCGACTGTCAGTCTGTCATACACCACAAATCCCAACCAACCCCCAGCGGGAGACCCTCGGTCCTGGTGGCATTAGCCATGTTGTCTCCCCCAACGAGCCAGTTGCGCCCTGGTGCGGACGGAGACAGGTCGCTTCCACGAAGTACTGTGCGGCGTCCGCACTGAGCTGAAACGCTGCCTCACCTCTCGACTCCAGGTTCGCTTAGAAACAGTTCTCCGTTCTCAGAGCAATGCCTGCCAGCCAGTCACGCAGCTATATAGTCGGAGCGGAGCATGCAGCCGGTGCAGTCGTTCCAGCCGAGCCCAATCTACCTGCCCGAGGGATTGGGTCAGGTGCCTTGAGCGAGGATGTGGCCGGGAGCCGGCACAATCCAGTACGGCAGTCGACATCCATCGCGCCGAGATACCCGAGACGGTTCCGGCTCCCTCACCTCTCAGCAACGTGAGCCGGGGCACTAAAGGACGAACCACAGTGCACCAACGCACCTTCTGAGGCGATGAGCCGTTTGGGGAGGTGTCACCGTTCTGTCGACGAATTTTGGAGGAGGTAAAGGGCCAGAAGACCAGAAGAAAGGCTCAGAGAGTTATACACTTTCAATGTGTTCGGAGTCATTTGTTTGCATCAGCCGCGGTCTGAAGAGCATGGCAAGGCATCTGTATTGTGACTTTTCAGCCATTCTTCTGTTGCGCTCTGGTACTGGTACTGCTTGAGGTGTGCAACCACAGCCAGTCAACACGGCTGGTTGACTGGTTTGTAGAAGCGCGCCATGGGGACCTGCGATCTTAACCTTGGGTCTCTCCAGGAATCCTTCCTGGGTATGTGATAGCGGCCGAGGTGTCCGCAGCTCACTGCACTCGGGAGCATTCTATCCGAGTTTACCTCTCCCCCAGCCTTCATAGACTCAGTTAAGACTTTCAGAGAATTCCAGTTGCAAAGAACGGGATCTCTACGCCCACTCCGCCCAGCATCAACCCCAGAGAGCTGGCACCGGTGCACCCTGACGAGGACGGAGTACTAATCCTGCTTCCACGTGCACTTATCCGTGGTAGTAGAACACAAATAATCCTAGTCTCTACTCTACCAACTGCCCTCTTACTGTCAAGCATCACCGTGACATTCTGGCCGACTTTTGGGATGGTTACCCTCAATTTTTCGGTTGTACGTCCACATGCCTTGCGAGTTGACCGAGGATTTGGATGAGAGACTTCGCCAAGCTTCATGAACGTGGCTGAGAAAAGGGAGTTGGAAAGGAGTGAACAAAGTAGATGTGTACATCTCAATGGCTGTCGTGACTTGTTTAATCGGGACGGTCTGCCTGTTTGGTATGGACTGTTGGCTTGCGTACTTTAGATAGTAGGAGTTTACGTGCGTCTCTTGCATCACCAACCTACTAGAGTCGATTTGTTGGAAGTCGGGCTTTCACACGCCGGACGCGTGGGTTTCGAAGCATAGAAACGTGCCTATACAGTCCAGCCGTGGTTTGTTCGTAAGCGTGGCACAAGATATGAATTGGGATCCGGGAAAGTGTGGAACAAGAAAGATTACAAGAACAATCTAGAAGATGGGGATGAAAAGACAGGAGGAGAGAATAGGAAGATAAAGTCGAAGATGAAGATGAGGGAGAAACATAAAGAAAAAGACAAGAAGGTGAAAGATGAAAAAATCTGTAAATAAGAAATTCCAGTCCGCAATAATACAAGACCGGGGTTGATCTGCGATCGTAAATCGCACGGGATGCCGAGAGCACCGAGCGGTTGTTAAAGGAAGAAGATCTGGGGAGTCGGCACTGTGCGGAGGTAGCAGATGTAATTGCAAGGGCAGGGCTCAGTGAGAAATCAGGTGCCTGTAGGTGTCGCGGCTTGATGCACAGCGAGGTACAGCGAGGTCAGCTGATGGGAAGCTGGGCTTCGCTCAGGTCCACAACACAAATAAATTAAAGTGGTTAAGGGGTAAGGCGGTGTGCGGCAAGGCGAGCGAACGTCGTGAGCCCCGATTCGGGGCCCAGGCGGGGATCGAAGACCTCGAGTGATCGATCTAGGTGACCTCGAAGGGCCAGTGGCAGGCATCGCAAACAAGCGGAATTGGGAGGCCCATGTTATTTGTCATGCGGTTCGGCCCAAGGACAAGCAATCCAGGCTACAACGGCTGTCCTTATCAGTCGGCATCAGCACGGGTTTCCAGACTCAGGGGCTTTCTGTTTGGGTACTGCCCTGGTATTGAGCCCAATGCTTGGCATGAGGGCCGGGCCGTTACGCGGTTGGGCGGAGCCGTTGCCGGGACACTCGAACCCACTCTACCGGCACCGGTGGACGAAGGCCGCCTTGATCCGCGATGGAGATTCTAGGTGCCAGCGCGAGCCATTTGCTGCGGGAAAAGCTTTCCGCCATGCAAGGGTGAAAGGATTCCTCCGTAACTCGACACGAGCCCCTCCATGGCCATGCCATCTTTCAGCAGGCCATCTTCGAAGCAAGCCCGAGTCCTCCACCTTCAACGCTGGCGTTGCAGATTTGTGGGCCGGACGACAACGGAAGCGGGGCCAATCAGACACTAAGTGAGTGGCAACCAATGCTGCCACGTCAAGAGCCTCGATGGAGCCCCATCAACGACAAACAAGCAGGCCAGGCCTTGTTTCGAGACAAGCGATTACCAGGTTGGCGCCGCGGATTGCGTTCCGAACGAGATGAGATGGACCGACAGACGGTAACTAGAGCGGACCAACAATGCCGGAAAGCTCCCTGGCCTGTTTCTCGCTGGAAGACCACCAGCGCGTGGTTGGAAGGTTGGGCTCCGTCGATGCTGCCACATCTGGCATTCTGTGATGGGGCCAGCCAGGCGGGCGGGACCCATAGCCGAACCGCTTCGACCATGCTGCAGCGGCTTCGAGCCCAATTGACACGCACAGTTTGACAGTCTGGTAGATTGTGGGCATCGGAAGACTGGGCACCGCGGCAGTCTGGTGATCCGTTGTTGTTTGATGAATGCTTGGTGGGTGACTCAGTAGCCAGCCACCCCAAGTGTCCCGCCCGGCCTTCCTCGAGTCCTCCACTCGGTCAAGCCAGATGCATCTGTGCTGCCTTAGGTGGGCAAAGGCCACACGCGGTCAAGACCTCGTTCCGGTATATAGACAAGCAAGCGTCGTCCGATTTTACTGCCACTCAGCATCCCCCTACCAAAGACTTGCTTCGAAATTGGACGCCGGACCATCCATAAAGGCCCGGAACAGCATTCCCCAACACGGACCAGAGCATATTTGGCTCTCTTTCCCTTTCATTAACCCTTGATTTTTGTTTTCTCCCTCTGTCGCATCGTCTAAGACAACCCCCCCAAGCTGGCTACCGCCAAGGCTCATAGCACCTTTTTCTCTTCCTCCCCCAGTACCCGCACCAGACCGCCGCCGGCCCCGTCCGCCTCCAAACCGACGACGATGGGCTCCCACATCGACGCCGACCCGACCCAGGCGGTCGACGGTCTGGTCCGGGCCATTCGCGACCTGACGTCGGACCCCAACTACAAGCTGGTGGCCGACGTCTTCAGCGAGTTCCTGTACGTCAAGGAGCAGAACAACAAGCTCTCCAGCTCGCACCAAGTTGTGTTAGAGGAGTACCGCAAGTTCCGGAACGAGCTCGAGGCGCAAAAGGACGATCTCGAGCATGAGAAGAAGGACCTCGAACTCCTCGTCCAGGAGAAAGTCCAGGAGATTGTCCAGCTCAGCGCCGCAAGGACAAGGTTGGAAGGCGACCTCGAGGACACGCAGAAGAGGCTCGACGAGGAGAAGAAGAACGCCGCTGAGGCGGCCGCCACCGCTGCCCAGCAGTATGCCGACCTCCAAGAGCACACGGCTAAAGAGTATGCCGACCTCCAGGAACGCACAGCCAAGGAGTATGCCGACCTGCAAGAGTCCACCGCCAAGGAGTATGCAGACCTCGAGGCGGCCAAGGCGGCCGTAGAGGAGGAGAAGCGGAAGGGCGAAGAAGCTGCAGCCGCGGCTGCCGCCCAGGCCGCCGACGAGATCGCGGCGCTCACCGAGGCCAAGACGGGCCTGGAGGAGGTCAAAGCCAGCCACGAGGCCGAGATTGAGATGCTCAAGGTGAACGTCGCCGACCTCGAAACCGTCAAGGCCGATCTGGAGCAGGTCAAGGCCAGCAATGAGGCCGAAATCGCTTCACTGAAGGAGAGGATTGCCGTCTTGGAGGAGGAGAAGAAGAAGCTCCAGGAAGAGCACGAGGCAGCGAGGCAAGAGATCGCCTCCTTGAACGACACCATCGCCCAAAAGAACGGCGAAATCGAGGGCCTGCAGGAGACGCTGCGGGTTGCCGAGGAGCAGATCGCCTCGCTGCAGCAGACGGTGGAGGAACGGAATGGCGAGATCGAAGACCTGCACGGCAAGCTCAAGGCCGAGGGCGAGCGAGCCGACAAGGCCGAGGCGCACGGTCGAGATCTCCAGGCGCAGCTGGACGAGACGACTCAGAACCTCCACGTCACAAACGGGAAGCTCACCAACCTCGAGCAGTACCGCATCATTCTTCAACCCAACAACGACGAGACCTAGTAAGTCCCTCCCCTCCACAGGTTTCTTCGAGCAAGAACCCCGAAAAAAAAAAAAAAAAAAAAAAAACTGACCATATCTCCCCATCGCAGCGTCACGGTCCTGGACAAGATCTGGACCACCATCGTGACCCTAGTCGAGTCGACCTTCCGGCCCGACATTGACGAATCGATCCTTTCGGACCCGTCGTGCTGGACCAACCTGCGCAACTCGCCGTACCTGAAGCACGCGACGCAGCTGGCGGTGCCGCTGCCGCAGTCCAACACGCCCGCTGCAAAGGGCATGCGCATCAGCGCCGTGCTGGCGGTGCTCTCGCGCGCCCTGCACCGCCACCTGTTTCGGCCCGTGTACCTGCTCGACGACGACGACGAGAACCTGGTGCGGTTCCTGCGGGCGCTCGAGGACGAGGACCCGACGCGCGAGGCCCACCTGCGCGCCACGCTGCTGGCCATGATGCCCAACCGGCAGGCCGAACAGGGCGCGAGGCGCGTCAAGACGGTGGTGCGCGAGGTGTCGTGGCTGGTGCAGCACCTGTTGGGGGCGCTGCAGTTTGAGGCGTTCTGCGTCGGGCTCGAGGCCGCGTGCCGGCTGGCGTGCGACCAGTGGATGCGCATCCAGCTGGCACACATGAAGATCGAGCCGTACTTTGGCCCGCCCTACGACGACTTTGACTGGCAGGTGCTGGAGCTGCCCGAGTTTGCCGAGGCCGCCGAGCGGGATCGCGGGATGCCGCACACGACGACGGACAATCCGGACGAGGCCATTGCCGATGATCGGCTTGAATCGGTCGAGGCTGCAGAAGTGCCGTCATCGTCGTCCCGGAACGTCGCTCCTGGCGCGGTCGCGGACGGGGCAGACAACAACAGCAGCGGCGTATTCCACGATGCCGCGTCGCACAAGACCGACGACGAGATGGTGGAAGGGGAGATTGACCCCGACGAGATCCTTCTTGTGGTCTGGCCCAGCATGTGCGCCGTCGAGAGCGGCGAGCTCATGTCCATCACGCAGGGGCTCGTCATCTCCAAGGAGCAGGCCCGGCCGGCGCTCGAGGAGCAGCGGTCCCGGTCGAGGCTCATCCCGAGGCCCGGGTCACGACGCGCCCGCACCATGTCGATGCCCGGGCAGAGCAGGGGCAGCAGTCCCCGGGGTAAGGCGGCGCAGTTCCTTGCCCAATCGCAGGCGGCATCCGAAGCCGCCATGGACCTGCCAACCCCGCTGTGAACACTCTCTTCCTTTACCCCTCTCGTCCTCATATGCGCCGTGGCCTGGGGTGGGTGGGCTGGGTCGGGCCACGGCGTACATAAAAGTCTCGTTTCATTGTATAGATTGACGGTGTTGTTGGTTGCTTTCTACCTAGAGCCTGTCATTTTCGGGAATTCCTTTGTCGATTCGCATGGGCGGCGGGTACGCATTGTGTCGGGGGCATCTAGGCGCATGTTTCTTGACTCTCTCCTTTCTTTGCTGGGTTTTCTGCAGGGTCGTGCATCTGTTTGGGTAAGACGGTCCGGAAACTGGAGAAGACGATAATATCGAAAGATTGGCCTAATAATACATGGAAATATAAGAGTGGTTGTACACTAAACTGAAATAAAATCCATCCCGCGGATGCAGCCCATTTATTCCATCCTACAGCCAAAACATAGCAATGTTCCTCGTGGCCCCCGAGCTGGCTGTGCTAGTGCTCATGCTTGTTCCGGAGACGGAGAACGGGCCGGAGACGGAAGGGGCGCCAGAGACGGTGACTGGCATTGTAAAAACCGCGCTGTTCTCCAGCGCCTGGAAGATGTTGAGGAGGCCATTGCCACCACAAAACGTCGTTTTGTCACCCGAGCAGGGGATGCTGCAGTCGGACTGGTTCCGCGCCCACTCGCCGCCCACGTACGTCCCGCACCAGCACTGATTGCCCTCTTGCACGCCCGCAAAGGGGTAGGCCCGATGGTAGCAGCTGTCCTTGCACTTCCCAATGGTCAACGTGGCGTCGCCGCCGGGCCCGCTGACGTTCTCGTCGAGAAGCGGCAGCCTGGCGTCCTCGACATAACAACCCCTCGCAGCCCAGGCGGTGGGAGAGGGAGCTAGAGTGCTGCTGCTGCCGCCGCCGGTTGCTGTGGTGGCCACCGCCGTTGTCGAGGCTGATACCGCCGGCGGCGGATCGGTTTCCAGTCTTTTTAGGGTGAAAATGCAGTACGACTGATAATTCCATGGCGTGCAGTCGAGTCCGACTGACGGGTTCCACTCATGTAACTGTTCGGGGGTGATGCTGAAGAGGTTGCGGACTTCTTCGCATGGCATTTCTTGGACATTGTCATACCATCCGGCGCAGTCCTTGGCCGTCGCCGGGTCCCATTGCAGAAGCGGATGCGGGCCGGCGGCGACGTGGCGGGCTGCGAGCGATGCAAGGGAAAGGAGAATGTATGTCTTCATGGCAGTCACTGTTGTTAACTTCCTGCCAAGGACTGAGATGGTGTATGAAGAAAGGGAGTGGCAGCAGACATTGAGCGTGCGGAGTACCGGCAAGTAGGTTAACATGGGTTGTCGAATGTTGACGGACCGGTGCAGTACTACTCAGAGACACTTCCCGAGATTGAGATTCGTCTGGAACAGAGCCGCCTGCAAGCGAATCCAGACCCTCGGGGAAAAGGGAAAACGTGACAGGACTTGAACAGTACTCCGTACGGAGCGATAAGAGCAAGCTCTGGTTCAAAGTTCAGACCAGTTGAGCCGAAGTCAATAAGGCGTTCTTGTTAACGAACAAGAAGATCACACCCGGCCAGCCCGGACGGGCCAGAAATGGCGGGCGCCCGCCGTGCCTCCGCCGGTTTGAGTCACCATGACAACCCCGGATAGGTAATCGAGGGTACCGCTAAGGTACTTTCCTATATCATCGACCAATGTGAACTCCTGCAATTTCCCCGATCTGGAATTCAGTTTGCCTCTCAACTTCTTCCCAACTGAGAGCCCATTCCCAGCTCTTCAGCTCGGCAGCAGAACGCCTGCGGGATCCACAGGTGATTTCCTTTGGCCCTGGCACCTTCCTACTCCAGTCAATAGTGTTAAACGCAAAGAAATTAAGAGACCACTACGAGCATCAGCAACAGCATGGCCGCGTTCCACCTCCTCCCCCCCACCCCATTTCGAGCTTCGAGCTTGGATTTGGCAATCCACCGTCGAGCCCCGTACCGTCGAGGTCCGTCGCGAATGGTCCATTAGCGCGTCTATTCTCGTCGACGCCGGTGCCGGCAACACTCCAGGCCTGCCGCGAAGCCCGGAACCTAAAGCTCTACGCCAGGGCCTTTTGCGAGATCGATGCCGAAGGTCGCTATGTCTGGGTCAACTGGGACATGGACATCATCTCCATCGGGACGAGCTATTTTGAGTACTTCCACCCGCCTGCGCCGCCCATTAAGCGGTTCAAGTTTGAGCGCGCCAACTCTGAGTCAGAAGGCGGATTCTTTTCCCGCTCGGAAGTCAAGGAATTGGATGCTTTTGTCAACATCATGGAAATCTTTGTCGTCTGTGCCGACGGTGGGAGAGAGTGGCATGGCGCTCTCGAGGATCACCACTCACACTGGCGCTGCGGTGAAGAGAACGTGTACCTGATCGATCCGTACGGGGGTATCAGATGATGAAAGCCACCGAACTGGACGCCATGATGGACCAGGGATTTAAGGAATGGTGGGCAGAAGAGGGGATTCAGTACCCCAGCGGCGAGCCTCTCGATACGGCCTGCGACATCAATCCGGATACCAATGCCCTTCCGCATAATCATGGAACGCTTCCGCCACGTGCTGGCCCGATACCGCAATTCCTCCCCCTGATCGATGGATGACAGCCGGCGAAGATCACGGCTTCAACTCCTCCGCCTCGTCGGACCAGAGAACCACAGGCGACTGGCGTTTGTATTAGCAGACGCAATTGAGTGATTACTTCAGTTTTTTCATCAATGCGCATCTCGCTGTCTTATCCTGTCGTTTCCTCTATGGAGCCTTGCATCTCCCGACCCCGAGATTTCCCAGCGCTCTCGATCCAATCAGCCTCAGTTCATCGTCGTACGGGTGAGCCGGGTCTGGGCCGGGAGGATAGAGTGGCCCATACAACATCCATGCCGAGAGGGGCCGGATGGTGCCATGAGCGCTGGTATTGGTGGCCAGGCTCGTGTCTTTACCGGCCCGCTTGAGCGCCGCGGCATACCCTGCGGGCGGCCCGCTCACCATCCGCTTGCCCAGCGTCCCAGCAGCGACGTAGGCCGGGAACCTCTCCATGTTCCCAAAGTCATGCATCGTGAACGGCGCTTTTGCGTACCCCACCGGGAGCTTCCGGATGTCGTGCCATCCGTAGCTGACCTTGTCCAAGACCAGGGAAGTCGGCCCACCCCTGCCAAACTCTTTGAGCCGTTCTCCTTCGACGCTCCAGAACAGGAATCCCGTGATCCAGCCCGAGAGCTCAAGAGGAGCCGCTCCACACATCATGGGACTCTCGGCAAACACAATTTGGGACCAAAAATTCTGGATCTCGTTCGAATCAGGCTCGTCGAAGCTCCTGACAAACCGCCGGAGGATCGGCTCAAGCCTCGCCCTATACTCGTCCGGCTCCGCGCCAAACTCGGTCAGTCTGCCCAGCCGCGCCAGCAGCTTCTCCCAATCCTCCTTCTCCCCGAGGAGCGTCACACTCGGCAGCCCACAGATGATGGCGCCCTCGTACTTGAAGTAGGCCTTCATGAGCCCCATCATGAGGATATTGGCCGTCATGACATCGTCAGCCGTGGTCGTCGAAAAGTTGGGCACGATCCAGTCCAAAAGCCAGGGCGTCTTGACCCGCTTCTGGATCTCCTCCTTGAAGCGCCACAGGACAGCCGTCCAGGTCAAGTCCTCGACGAGAATGGTCTCCTGCCCCGCGTGCCGCACAAAGACATCCCGGACCGACTCGGCGTGGGCTTCCATGTAGAAGTTGAGCTGCGTCAAGATGGTGAACCAGACCTCGTCCGGCCGAATCTCGAGATGCAGGTGCTCGCCCCAGGCCTGGATCGCGCCGCGGACAAACGAGTCGCTCGACGGGAAGATGTCGCTTGCGTTGGCGGTTTTGGCCCCGTTCGCCTCCAACGTGCCGTCGTAGGTAGAGAGAATAATCTGGACCGTCGAGTTGGGGAATTCCGATGCGGCTGAGTTGCGAAGGATGCTCACGTAGTCGGTTGCCGTCACGGGTTTTGCGGGGAGGACCAGGGGCTTGGGAGTGCCGCCGGGGAGGATCACCACGCTCGCCGTGGCGAGTCCTGCTAGCGCGAGGGCGGAAAGGAGATTCATCGTGAGCTGTTGCTGACGGTTACGCGTCTCAAGTGAAGCGGCCTGTCACAAAGAGGAGAAAAAGGGGAGGCCTGGAGGGCAACCCCGGGTGAGGCGCTCCCTCCTTAATAGCCTTGGCTAGTTCCAGCCCGCGGCCTACTTCCATTCCTGTCACGGCCCCAAAGAGACGCGCAAGAGATACGAGGATACGAGGTAGCAACACATGGCTTAGGTATCGTTCTTCATACTCTGAAATTAGGTTTGACTCCCGGTGGGTGTCGGCACGGTCTTCAACCAGCGGCAGCCAAGCTCCGGGTAAGTATGTGGCTCATAGTGCTGATGCTATTTCTGGATAAATGAGCCAACGAACAATCCAGAAACACGCCAACGATGATAGACATCAAAGTGAACTCGGAGCTTCATGTTGCGGCTTGGCAAGGCACTGGAAAGGCAGTCCGTTGAAGTATTGCCTCCTGGCAAGAAGATGTAGGTCTGCAGCGTAACAGGGGTTTTACTACCGTACTCATATTGACGCCCTTGAGCAAGTGAGGAACCTACCTAATAATGGAGGTGGTGCCATCCATCGAAGAGTTAGGGCAGTGCCCATTCTGCACTACAGTGGACAAAAGAAGAGAGCCTTCTAGTTGAGCTGGTATGTTGTCCATTTTAGTGCGATTATTGAGCGCCTCAAACTTTATCAGAGTCGGGAAGAGTTTCATGGCAATGCCGAGGTTATTACATATGTAGGCTGGTCCCATCTCGGCAACAAGCAGCTGAAAAGAAGCCTAGGAACGCCAGCCGAAACCTCCCTAGCCCCAAGCCAACAATGCGATGCTGGAATCACATGCGTGCTCTCATGTTTCTGCTGCCAGTGCATTTTGCTATCCAAACCAGAGCCGAACTCAAGAACCTCCATTCACATGTGAATCCACCAGCAGCCTTGGCCGTCCATCGCTCCATAAACTTCTCTCTCGACATGGCAGTGACAGCGTGTAAATCCCCAGTCACAATACCATTCCTGGCATAGTTTAGAAAACGTATCTGAAAACCTTAAAAGTAATCATCAACCGATCATCGTGCCGAGCTGATTGACCCGTACAGGTCTCGGTACCCATCTGTCATCTGTCCATTATCTCTGCCCTGTCTGCCCTGTGAAATGATTGAAAGCAAACACACCAAGAACAAGCCTGAGACATCCAATAGCACGCTGCATAGCCGTCTGGCTTGCGAAAACTTACCGGACCATTGGCGTGGAATTTGCTATTCTTGACCGCTTACAATCCCGAAGCATTTTCGCCTCCTTCATTTGCTACCAATAATCCGAATGTTTGTTCGGTTGATGGGATGCGCGTGACCGTGACTTCCTACGAGATTCGCATAACCGGATAACTAACAAGTCAACTACCATGCTAAGTAGGCCGGAACGGTTGCCAAGATAGTGGCCAGGACTGTGCCGGCAGCAGCCAACAGGTAACATCCCGGACATGACAGTATCTGGTATAAAGGGGTGGTGTCGAGTCGGCAATGTCAATGCTTTCCCACTCAAGCAGCGTACAGAGCCACAGACTACTGCTCCAGCTACATAATCCTCATTGAGAAACATGGCCATGGCCTACCGCTTCCGTACCGTGTACTTATATAGATTCAAGCGTCCTCCGCCTCGCATTTGCGTCTTGCAAACCCAGAACCTCCAGTCAACGACGGCTGTGCCCGTACAACAAGAGACCGTCCCTTCATCCAAACTGACACTGAGTGCAGGCTCCCTGCCGCTAACATGGCCGCACAAAGGCTGGGATGACAAAGTGGTGCACGAGGTCGCACCGGGCCATCGAAAGCCACGAACGCTGAGCGACCGAATTGCATGGAGAGTGATCAGGGTCTGCCGGTTTGTTGAAACGCCGTGTTCTCCTCCCCTTTCCGTCTCCCTCATCCTTTCGGTTCCTACCCGATCTATCTGTTGTCACCACTCCGACACGTTTTCTCTCTCTAATCATCCAGCAGATGGGGCATGGACTTGATCACCGGAATGCCGCCAGAGCCCAAGGCTGGCACCAAGAAAACGCGCGACATTTCAGCATACAGGCCCATGTCCGAGTCGCAATGGGTAAGCTCCCCCCCCAAAGATGACAAACCTAAGTTTTTGCTGACCCTTTCCTAATAAAGCTCGTTCGCTTCGTCTTCCTGGAAACCGTTGCCGGCATCCCCGGCGCTGTAGCCGGTAGTCTCCGGCACCTGCACTCGATCCGCCGCTTCAAGCTCGACCAGGGCTGGATCAAGACGCTGCTCGAGGAGTCGTACAACGAGCGCATGCACCTGCTGACGTTTCTCGACATGTACCGACCGGGCCGCCTGATGCGGCTCGCCGTCTTTGCGGCCCAGGGCATCTTGTACAACGCCATGTTCGTCGGCTATCTGCTCTCTCCGGGCTTCTGCCACAGGCTGGTCGGGTATCTAGAGGACGAGGCCGTGGCGACGTACACGAAGTGTCTCGAGGAGATGGAGAGGGGCCGGTTGCCGCTTTGGACGGATCCGGGGTTCAGGATCCCGGACATCGCTGTCAAGTATTGGAACATGCCCGAGGGTAAACGGACTATGAGAGATTTGATCCTGTACATCCGGGTTTGTCTTTTCTCCCCACCTCCCCACCGTATCGTTTGTTTGGCAAGCTGCTGATACAGGTCGTTGTTGTGCCTACGTTGCAGGCGGACGAAGCATCGCACCGAGGCGTCAATCACACTTTTGGAAACCTCGACCAAGCCTCGGATCCCAATCCCTTCATTGACGGGCATCATTCCACTGTCAACCACATGCATGTGGCAGCCATCAAGCCTGCGGGACTGGAGCGGGAGGAGGTGCTTGAGCGGTATAGACGCGAAATGCCAGGAAGGGGGGGAGGACAGAATGGAATGGCAGCATTGGCTTTGCAACACGCCGGCAGCGGCGTGGGACACTGATGAATTTGATGATCTGAGAATACACATGCTGGGTTGATCCACGGATGTGCAGCCGCCTTTTAACTCTTGTACCGCAAGCGTTCCGAACCGGGTGGCAGGCCGGGCCGGGCCACCCGTGTTGATTGGCAAAAAAGCTGCCACTAGTATGAGTCCGTCGATTGCGGGCGGATGCACGATCTGTGGATGCGCCAGACTGCATGTGCCTTATGTACAGGTATGGAGTATGTAAATCCGTCCATTGTCGTCTCGGGCGAATCGTCAGTCGAGAGGAAAGTTGCTTTGGCGCCAAGCGAAACCGCGAGCTCGGCAGAAGTGGATGAGGCGTGGCTTGTCCGACAGCGCCCAACCTGTTTCGGCTAGCGCTGTGGTTGGTCAGTGTCCCGAAATCCCTACAAAAATGAACGCTTCAAGTAGATGAGCGGGGCTGCCTGGAAAGTTCCACTGACATCGCAACCATTTAGCCAATCCCGCTCGTTCCATCCGCTCAGAAATCTCTATTAAGCGCGCCTCGAAATTGAACCATTTCCAGCCTCAGCCGTGAAGGCAAAGTGTCTGGTGAGTGTTGTCGTCCAATCCGCCGCTCGATGCGGCGCGAAGTCCAACTCGCTTGCCGACCCCCAGACCCTGGCTTGGGCCGCTGAGAGCCAATCGGCGAAGCCAAGCCAACCCCTTCTGCCGCAGACCCCAGTCACCCGGGCTCGGGCTGTTACATCATGTCGATCCGACACTATCCTCATCCCTGAACGGCGATCACACAAAGGCCCATACAGACCCTTGAAGAAAGCCCGGACGGTCGTCTGCACGACACACTCGCAAGAGGCGAAAACTGCTTCTCGCCCGGTCCGCATCCATAGATTTGGTTTCCCCTGGACCTGGCCTCGGTTCCACTATCACACCATTCTGCAACCATCCGGTAGCTGTCTGAAGCTTCCAGGTTGTCCGAAGGCAGGTGGCCGTTTCTGCCGGAATTTCGCAGCGTTATCGTCCAAGCATTTGCACCAGGGCATCTCCATTCTCCTCCAGACTGAATTGCCGTCTACTTCCCGCGGGCTGGGCTTTCTCTTACATCAACGATCCACCCCTGCCCGAGCTTGACACACCGTCATACCCTCCTTGCTCTCCCCCTCCAAACCGTTGCCCATCACCGAGTTCGAAGTCAGGCCATATTCGAGGTCCTGATCGCCCTGATCTACCTTACATAATTCTAATCTTCAGCCTTGTTGTTTCGCGCACACAGCGTTTAACCGCCGGTTCTCGCCCCTTGGCAACCCTAACAGGGTTTGCCACTCTCCTTTATTCTTCTGCCAACATCGCCGTCGAGCAGCTTTTTTGCTTCCTCACCGCCGACAGGGAGGACACATCGTGACGTCGTCCTTGCCTTCACCGGGCTGGCCCCCCTCCTTTTTGACCACGCTTTCAACAACAATCTTGACTGGCCACCTCCTGGTGGGGAAGCTGTGCTGGCGGCAGGACTGGAACACCGACCCTTTCGTTATCCCGTTCTTAATGCGATCAAACCTCGACCGGGCGAGCCGCGGGAGGGCAGCTGAATTAAAAAGAAACAGGGTAGATACCCTCTAATTCAAGAGCAAGAGGAGGATACAAAGGCACAGAACACCACGATGCTTTGGCAACGGACATTTGTCGCCTCCTTCCTGGCGATAGGGGCGTATGCTGGAATCGGGGATTTTATCATGGAGGGACTGAGGCGCAACAGCCCAGGGGTGGAACGGAGGCTAGAAGAGATGGCCAGGGCAAACGTTAGGAGTTTCTTACAGGCGAGGCAGTCAGCAGGGTTGGGCGGCAGCAGCAACACACCACTGAATGCCGATGGCAGTCTGGACATGGCGGCTTGGAACGAGGCGGCCAACACGGCGTGCCGGGACGCGCTGAGGAGTATGCAACGGGCATCGAACCCATCCGGCGCCTGTGTGTGTTACAACCTGCCGCTACTCGACAACTCGACGGGGACATTCGAGGCCGATTTGAGGTTATTCCAGCTGAGCGAACCGACGGGCGATTTCCAGGGGATACCGCAAGACAAGATCGAGATTGAGCTCAGCTACAATGGCGCCTCGGTGTCTGAAGTAAGCCAGCAGGCGGCGACGCCCCTGAAGGTCCGGCAAGTCAACAGCGGGGATCTTCCACTGCTGCAATCCTACTTGTTCATCGGACAGATCGACCGAGACCGGATGTCGGACGGGTTGACGATGTAAGCAAAAGAAGCCGGGGACCCCATCATATCTCCTGCCTCACCTTTGCTGACTTAGTCCTCAGGAGCGAACTCCAAGCTCTCGTCGTGCCCATGGTCACGCTCAAGGCCATCAACGGCAACGGCCAAACCGTCAGCACCAACGTCTCGTCGAACGAAGCCTCCTTTGTCACAGGCTTCTTCTCCCAGGAGTTGGTCCTGAGCAACTTCACCATGGCCCAGCTCGCCGTCGACGCGGAACTCGCCCGTCTCCGGAACGGCACCGTGGCCTTTGTGCTGCCCGGTGTCCAGCTCATGATTTTCCCCGTCGGTCTCATCATCACCAGCGTGTGGCTGGCGTTGGGGCTCCTCGCCTACGGCATGGGCACATATGACAGGTACAACTTTAGGGAGATGCATCGGAGGAGAATGGCCGTGGTGGAAAAGGGCCGTGTGGCCAGGATTTAGGAGCCTTGTTTGCCGGTTGAAGAGTGGTCTCTTGGGCAAGCACGTCTGTTTCTCTCGTTTTTTTTATATGCTAATACCAGATGATGTGCGAAAAGAGCATGTTTGTTTTATATCGTCGTTATTTTATCAAGCAGCTCGATATTCTACAAGATACCTAAGGGAAGGAGGATGCACGTGCTGCCCCCAACATTATATCTGCTTTGATGTCACCGGCCACATGCATGTGTAAATGGAAACATGGAGGTCAGTGTGATCGGGGTTGGTGATAAGAATGGAAGCTGGCTTATCTGAAACAGGCTCCGAGAAAAGCTCTTGTCCGAGTCAGATCGCCACTGCGCATGAAGCCCGAACTTTCACGGCATATATGCAGTGATGACCTGTTTCGAGTCCATGGAAGATGGCCTGACGGCGGCATTGGTCTCGCGATGTTGATATGGTGTCTCATCTGCTTCCTCCCTCTTCACGCCAATGCAGAAGCATCCAGTACTCGCTGAGATGTGTTATATTCTTCATGTCAATGATCAGCAACTCATGGTCAATCTGTTGCTCTTTCAACTAACGGTGGCAAACGGCGGATCAAGCTGACTTGCAAACCTGCCCGTCTTCTGGCCAGGGAACCCCCGCCACGAAAGTCGCCATCCCATCGCAGCGACACTCATGAGGGGCAACTGCCGCCCTGATGGAATGCCAGAACCAAGGGGTAAAAGCTGCATCATGATCCGCAGCTGTGGAGAAGACGCAGTCCTGATGACTCCGGTTCTCATGGCGGCTTCGAAGTTGGAGGTGGAAGCTCTGCTCACTGCAGCCTCTTTTGCTGGACTGACGTTTAGTAAATGTTTCGTTTTTCCGAGTTATTCCAACCCAGGCTTCTCTTACTGTTCGTACTCGGGTCGTAGTGCAGAGCTGCTGCCAGGTCGCTTTATCTTGGTCATCCGACTCCGAGCCCGCCACCCGTTCAAGCGTGACACCCTCACTTCCTGCCCGTGCCCTGTCGTCACGGTTGGGTGACGGTACCTAGCGCTGGGCAAACGAAACACGGACCCTGTATTGAACAACCGACGAGTTCACGTACCTGCTCTGATCAGACCGTGCCACGAGCCGACAAGTCTGAGCGCGCTTTGGTACATCGAGTAAGGTACATGACGAACCTTCTGAACAGTTGAGCTTCTACGGACAGTCCGGCCGGCGGGCGCCAGTCGCCTGGTAAAGACCCCACGCACCCCCCAGGATGTCGGCCAGCATGTTGCCAACCATGGACGTTTCCGCGCTCGTCGCGCAGATGCAAGAGATTCTGGCGGCCATGCATACCACTCTTTCCTCGCTTGATCCACACGTCCACGATGCGAGGCTTGAAGAGCTCGAAAAGGAGCGCGGCGACGCCATCCAGGCGTTATCCCAGGCCTTTGAGGCCGAGTCGGAGGCCTTGGGCCAAAAGCGGGAGGCTGAAAGGCGGGAGATTGCCGAGCGACGACGAAGAGAGGACGAAGAGCGCGAAAGGAGGAGGCGTGAAGAGGACGAGAGGCTGGCTGCGAGAGACCGCGAGGAGGATGCAGCACGGGATGGGAAGCTCAGGGCAGATACCGGCAGAATTGAGCAAGAGACGGACGAGCTGATGGACCGGGCGGAAGAAGAGGCTCGAGCGGCCATGGCGGAGGGACGGGCAAAGCTCACGGCCCTGCAGGAGAGGAGAAGGGTGAGTATTTCTGTTTTACAAATCACACTCCCACTAAAGTACTGAGTGCTAACCTCTTGTCAAAGGAGCTTAACCGTCTCATCGAAGAACAACTCGAGATGACGCTGCCCACGCTACCTGCCGCCCCCGTTCGTCGAAGAAAGTCCACAAGGACCAGCATCTCGCCCCTTTCTCTACCGGCAGACGGAAATATATCGTCGAGGGTACAGGAACTCCCCAGCCACCATGCCCGTCAAGCAGGTGGGCCATCCGAGGGATCGGCTGCAACAGCTCTCGCGGCTGGACACGCGGACCGGGCTAATCCATGGCCACAGGGCAGTGATAATCACATCACGGAGCCAGGCGTGGCCGCCAAGCGCGGTTTCAATTTCAAACCAACCCATCAGCAGCAGCTTGGGGCTCATGCCGGATCACCTAGTACTGTAACGCTCTTCACTCATGAATCCGGAGCACCCTCCGTCCTTCACGGAAATTGGGCAGATCTACCAGATACTACCGACGTTTCGAAGCTCGTGACCACGACAGACCAACCTTTCGACACGGAGGCTCCTCCGATAGCACACTGGTTCCCTTTCTCCTCATCTGGACGGGCTGAGACTTCAAGCCTGACCGAGGCCGAGCAGCTGGCCAGTGAAACGCAGCCGGCAGCGGACCCCAGCCTCCCACAACACGAGACCTCGACGTCGGAAGGGAATCCGGGGGATATGGCAGCTTTGCCGGGACGGGAGGTGGAGAACCTCTGTGTCTCCAACACCGTCAGTCACGGAGACGGTGTTTCTGGCATACACGGAGCTGAAGGAACTCGATGGCCCAGTGCTGGTAGTCAACGCAGTGTTGGAGGTTTATCATCGGCGAGCCGGGACGGGGCTAAACACATTGAGTCCTCCGAGACGCTGAGAGATTCCCCTCACGACATTTCCTCTTCTATGCACAAAAGTCAGGGTCACCATCCGGAGCTGGCCACAATGATGACTGAAGCCAGCTTGACGGCGCTTGGCCACGACGATTTCTCCGAACGCGACAAAACCTTGACTGTATCCTCGCCCGGCGAGGAGGCGCCGCGAGACGAGGACGTGCACTCGCCCGGCTGGGGAGCGTCGTGGCCTGTACCCCCGGTCTCACGAGATGAGGCATCTCGCCCTGGCTACGTGTCAGAGAAAGCGGACGACCTACACCGTGCTGAAGGACCCCGGCTCGAAGGAAGTGCTGTGAGCGGAACTGAGAACCTTCACGGCAGCGTGTCTGACACGGAAAGCGACGCACAAGAGGCTCCTGACAACACAGCCCACGCTGAAACAGAGGCGGCGATGGAGTCCGATGTTGATGAAAGCCTCTCTCCCACTACCCAGCTGATATCACCGCAAGTTGCCCGGGGACCCGGCAGTCCTCCCACTCGAGAACCGGAAGAACACGAATGGACCGATGAAGGCGAGGATAAAAGCCATACACCTTCACAGGAAACCGAGTCTAGTGCCAGTGCCCAACAAGAGGCCATGTCTGACCGCGATGATGACGACGTCAATGAGCCGCATATGCAACAAAGACATGATCGCAACGAGAGTCCGCCACCTGAAGATTACAGAGGTTACACCAGTTCAACTTCAGAGCCCAATGAGCCAGAGTCGTCAAGACTTGAGATGCAACAGCACAGCCCGGCCCCTGATACCCCTCACACTGCCGATCAGTATGCCCCTGACGAGGACTATACCACCGACACCGACTCACAGCGGTTTGTGACGCCACTGCCCTCTCTCCACTCCCTCCGAGCGCCCAGCCGACAACAGGCGAGTTTCCCCTTCATGGCTGGTACAGATGATTCCACTGGACGACGAAATTCCCCTGGGGAAGATGCTCGGCATCACGAGTTGGAACACCAGCACACCACCACAGTCCACGGGGAGGACGACCTCTTTGACGACACCGACCGGAGCGAATGCTACTCCGAGGTTCAAGAGTCCGTAGCGGAGCAGATTAATGTCAGCCATCGAAGAGCTTCCGTTTGGAGGCCAAGCCCAGGGCATACGGCGCTGGTCAAGGAGATGGGCCCTGACAGCCACCGTGACCCCGAGAAGCAGAGGACTCCGGAGCTCTCAGTTGAAGGCCCGACCTCCCCAGAAGACCGGGATGGCCGTGCCAAAAGCTGGGCGGAGGCGCTGGACAGCTACTTCGCCGTGAGAGGGGCACCAGGCAGCTGGTCCGAGACGCCGCCACATGGGCAGAACAAGATGGCCCAGAGCAGCCCTGCGCCATTTGAGACGCCTACCGAGCGGGAGTCTCTTGCCTCATCCGTGTTTGCGACGCCGGTAAACAGCTTGGCGACTCGGGATGCCACCCATGCGCCCTGGCGGGTGGATGATGGCTGGACTCCCCAGTCCCTGCGCACCCAGACCACCTCGCCGCCGACGTCTCCGCCCGGTACCGTTCCAAGATCTGAAGCCAAGCACGAGCCGGCACTCAGCACTGCTCCAGCCGCCAAATTACCTACCTACCACGATCAACCCGGGAGCAGCAATTCGCAGCCAAGTAAGCACGACGCGAGCGGCGACACAGATGAAGCCAAGTCACCCTCCACTCTCCTGGCATCTTGGCGGGGACGCGACATGTCCCCAAAACCAGGGCACCACCTCGACAACAACATGAACCGGCACAGCACCGCCAGCGAGGGCGGCAACAACCACACAGGAAGCCTCTTCCGACGCATGCGCAGCATCTTTGAGCAGCCGCGGCCCAACCTCAACACCACCTCACACCGCGACGACCGTAGCGTCCACCCCAGCCCAACCCGGCCAGGACGTCCCTCCAGTGTGGCTTGGTTCCCACCCTCCTATCAGCCAGATTTCCATCCCCCGACTCAAAAGCGTTTTTACTCTTCACTCCCACCAAGCCCAGGCATGATTCCAAGCGATGACCAGCCGCGTCAGGAGTCGCCTTCCGAGCGCACCTCGTCCCTCCCCCGTGGGAATTGACTACGCTCGGGCGCCGTCGTGGTTGGGGAGGCAGCCCGTGCCGGCGCCGAGGCAGGAGGCGGCATCAGGAAGAGGAAGCAGCGGCAGCAGCATATGCAGTCGCTGGAAGCACTCACCGTGCCCCTGTCCGTGCCCGTACCAACTCAACTTGAAGCAATGCCGACCGCCGCAAATCCAAAAGATGAACACAAACAACAGGAAGAGGTCATAGTGCTAAATAACAATTTTGACCGACTCCACGTCCGTTCCGTCACGGCCCAAATCTCGGTGGATGATGACACGGAAGATACGGACTTGAGAAGTAACTCAGAAAATGAAGATCGCCATTCTGAAGCCTCAGAGGAGGGCAGAGAACAGGGCCATGAACAGCAAGGGGCCCTGCACCACCGCCTGCGACATGTAGGACCTAGCATTGGCCGGGCTCAGACCCAGACCCAGACAACTCAAACACGGCGTAGCCATCGGAGCACGCGGTATACGGAGGCGGTTGGCGATACGAGACTGGCTTGGAGGTGGGTGGAGGGTTGGCGGGCGAGGTTGCGCAAGGGTGGGGATGTGGTGGAGAGGGCGCGGTGGGAGTGGCGGTTGGATGCCGGGCACGGGCGCATACAAATGAGGCCGGAGAATACAGGCAGTAGAGTGCCGGTTGTTGTGGCGAGTCATCAGGGATCATCCGGAGGGGTCCAGGGGATTGGAGCTGATTGAGAGTTGCCTAGGGCACCTAGGGTAGGGACAATAGCGTCCTGATCCCCGTGTACATGTAGTGTATTATGGGATATACTGTCTCCAGTTTTCCGTCTGTTCTGATGTTATTATTATTCCTACACCGCTGTTGATAGGCCGCAGGGAATGATTGACCAGAGTCTGCCACCTCAGTAACGACCTATAAATCAGCCAGCAGCAAAGATGATCATGCATCCGCGGAGCTGTGATTCGCATGTAAACAGGTCTTCTACTACAGTATATCCCACATAGCAAAGTTCCCGACTGGCGGAGAAAGGACTTCCTTTCTAATTCAGCCATATTACGATCTCGGCTGGTAAAGCTTAGTAGTACTTGTCCAAGTACATCCAGGCACTTCCCCAAAACAAGCCCATAGGTGTCTTGCCGACTCTACTGATGTCTGCAAACAAGCCGACGCCGATAATTATAAGAGCTGAACTATAATCATGTAAGTCGTAGCCAGCCTGATCGTGCCCCTCTTGCAGGGCAGAAACGATAAGCCGGTCTGTTGTGTCGCTCCAGGGGCAGTTTGATTTGAGCGCTTCATACCCCTGAACAGAACGAACGATGTTGCAATTGCAGGCCTCAAAACACCCAAGAGTGACGACAATATTGTCCCTAATATAGAGAATCCTTGTTAAATTGCTGTTGCTATTCATTAATCCTCACTTCTTCAGTCGCGGGAGTTAAAATCTGGGGTGCAGCAAGGCCTCAGGGGTTGGGTCCGGGTAAAGCCTTCTAGTATCTGCTCATCTCCCGATTGGATTTCCACCTCTTTCCCATCAGGCTGACCAAGATAGCCGCAGACTTAGAGTTCGGCCTCCAACAACGTGGTAGCGGGGGAAGGGAAGTCTATAACCGTGTGATCTCGCGGAGTGAACACTGGGGTGCCGACATGCAGACTGCACGGTGCGCTATTACCGCCGTCCAGCATATATATGCCGCATCCCGCAGCACGCATGATCCCCGATGGATCACATTTCTCTGAAGTGCTAAAGGCATATTCGCCAAATATCTGAGATTTGCAACTGCAGCCCGCCATGAAACTCCTGAACCAGCTCTCGGCCGCGCTCACCCTCATCGGCAGCAGCGTGATGGGTCATCCCGTGTTTGACGAGCTGATGGAGCCAACCGCACCTCTGAAACGCGCCCAGGCTGCCCTCAGCCGGGTCACCGACTTTGGGCCCAACAGCTCAAATGTCAAGATGTACATCTATGTGCCAACCAGACTTGCCGCGAAGCCGCCTGTGATCGTGGCGATCCACTACTGCACCGGCACCGCCCAGGCCTACTACAGCGGGTCCCCGTACGCCCAGCTTGCGGACCAAAAGGGCTTCATTGTCATCTACCCCGAGTCTCCGTACAGCGGCACCTGCTGGGACGTGTCGTCGAGAGCCACGCTCACCCACAATGGCGGGGGCAACAGCAACTCGATCGCCAACATGGTCAATTATACGCTGAACAGGTACAATGGTGACGCCAGCAAGGTGTTTGTCACTGGCACCTCGTCCGGCGCCATGATGACGGTCAGCTGAGCTTCCTGAGGGTAGTTGACTGTCCAGAAGGACCCCTTACTGACAGCCACGGAACACAGAACGTCATGGCGGCCACGTACCCGGAGTTGTTCGCTGCAGGTATTGTTTATTCAGGCACCCCGGCTGGCTGTTTCTACAGCCAGTCCGGGGGCGTCAACCAGTGGAACAGCTCGTGCGCCAACGGCCAGGCCCGCGGCACACCCCAGGTGTGGGCCAAAGTACGCTGACCATCGGCAACTTCCTCTGCCCCTTTGCCTCTTTCTCACAAAGACTAACACTGCGATTTATTGTAGATGGCCTTTGACATGTACCCCGGCTACAACGGCTCGCGGCCCAAGATGCAGATCTACCACGGCTCGGCCGACACGACGCTCAACCAGAACAACTACAATGAAACCATCAAGCAGTGGTGCGGCGTGTTTGGATACGACTACACTAGGCCCGACACCACGCAGGCCAACACGCCCCAGTCCCGGTATACGACCTACACGTGGGGCGACCATCTCGTCGGCGTCTACGCGCAGGGTGTCGGGCACTCGGTGCCCATGCGCGGGAGCGACGACATGAAGTTCTTTGGGCTGTGAGGGTGGGGGACCTGGCAGCAGGGTTTGGTTATGTCAAGCCACTCAAGGTACAGGTACCTACTTAACAGACACCTGCCTGGGCTCAACGGGGACAGGGCAAGGTCTGTAATCGATGTGCTATTAGGACAAAACTATCGTCCAAATTCACAATGACTAGTTCCTTCGTTTGAGATGCTACACATCCATGATTGCATGACGAGATGCGGAAAGTCCTCCTCTACCCCCTTTGCAGTATGAATGCTACGGAGGCCAAATCTCCCGCCGCCGATGCTAGTCAAGCGCACTCTGGCGGCAGCAGAAAATACAACAAAAGCAAAAGCCTCAAGGCAAGTCACATCCCCCCAATCACTCCTTTTCTCCCTCTTCTTTTCCTCCTTCTTCCTCTCCTTCCTCTCCTCCCCATCCCGCTTCGTCTTCGCCCTCTCATACTCCTTGACCAGCACCAGATCCGCCACCCTCTCCGCTCACACCGTCCTCCCATCTCTCGACAAAACCGCTTTATACGCAGCCCACTTCTCAATCCGTTTTCAACACCCCGCCGCCTGGCAGCACAACTCCTTCTTGTTCTCATCAGACGTGTTTGAGTGGCGGTTGTTACCCGCACCCCACGCGCGACTGCCTTTGCCGTAGTGATGCAGAACTTGCTGTTGCCGCCCGGCCTCCGCGACGCAAGGGCCGCCGGGTGAGCGCTGCAACCTGCGTGAGCGGTGGTGCCGCCGACTTTTCGCGGTGCACCGTGACGGAAAATCGAAACTCCGTTTCCTCAGCCAAGAGACACCGCCTGGCGAGGCAGAAGAGCAAAGGGTACACGAAGCACGAGAACAAGCTGACTTCAACGTCAAGGAGGGCGAGATATACGCCAGCGGATGACGCGAAGATCGGTCAGCTGAAGGAGCAGGGACTTTCTTGGATCGCGATCGCCAAGCATTTCCCGGGGCCATTCAGGTGAAATTTCACACCAAGCTCGGAACTGCCAACCCCTCTCGAAGCGGGTTCGATAATTGTGTGATCACTCTCGGGCACTCTCCCCAGTGGTCGACGACGACGGCGGGGAACCAGAGTGTGAGGTAGAGGGGATTCGTGGCGACAGGAAGCTGGATGACGGCGGCCTGGAACTGCTTGTGAAGTGGGAAGGTGGAGAGGAGACATGGGAGGCTTATCAGAACGTGGCGGAGCCGGAGGCGCTTGAGGAGTATGAGCGCCAGCAGAGGCAGTATTCCTTCAGGAATCTAGCACTTTCCCGTCGTCCGTCAGTTCACCCGGGCACGTGGAGTTGTCGCCTTTCAGGTAGCAGCAGGGTTTTGCATCTATCCACTTCTACCCACGCGACCCTTGAAGTAGATAGAATAGATGGATTAGTCAGCTGGACTGAGATAGAGTTGATAGAATAGAGAGCTATTCTATCAACGTAGATACCATTCACGTAGATTGTTCACGGCTTAGCGGATGAAATATGTTCCGATAACAGGACGCTCACGACAGCTGAACACTTCTACCTAGCCACAAGCCGGTCACCTCATGCTATGCCACCTTCAATTTGAAGTAACATTTCATCCTCAAGCGCCTCAATGCCTGCATCTCGGAGGGCGGCCGATTTCGTTATAATCATCCATCAATCCGGCTTTCACCCACGATCCAATCGTCTGGGCGGCAGAGATCACTTCAGTCCCGAGCCGTGTCTGTCGTGTCGTTAGCATGCAGCCAACAGCGGAAAATATTCTTGCACACTCGGCTGCCATCGGCGGGACGTTGAGCACGTCAAAGGCCATCTTTACCAATCGGGAATATTCGAATCGGCGGTCCACCCAGTACTTGATGGGGTCGGCCTTTGAGGTAAGGTATCTCCCCTCGATTGAAAGAAGCCAACGATCCAGTTCCTTAATTCTTCACGCCCCTTCACCACAAGGGGCGAATGTATAGGCGTTGTGTGTTACATGTTTAGTTGTTCCGGTGAGGGATACACAGAGCGTTTGGCATGTTCCTCATCTACTCGTTGACTGCCTCGGAACTAAGAGCTATCTGCTAGTGTCTTATGAATACGGGACATCAGATTATCTACTGACAGCTCTCTTTCTTCCAGCACTTACATCATTCAACACTAGCCAGGGGTGTTGTGATGGCAGAGCCAGGCACGCGGGAAGGTCACATGTGACCTGTCACATGACCAAGCCCGGCCAGCATGGGGTGGGATACAGCGGAAGAGGTCGGAATGGCACTTCCGTAGAGGGCTTAGGGGGCAGTGGTGGCTAGGGCGGCCTCGAGGAGGCTGTGCGAGGTAAAGTGCCCAGATATTAGTAATCACTTGGCAATCTACCCACTTTGAATCTACGTAGATGAGGTTCGGGTAGAGTGGATAGAAGCTTGGCAACGGGCAGCATAGAGTGGATAGAAAGCATTGCTTTCTATCTACTAGTAGATTCAAAATCTACTTAGGTAGATAGATGCAGAACCCTGGGTAGCAGAGATGGTTGGCCCAGAAGACACAAGAGCATCGTACTGAACCTAGCGAATCTGGATCGGGCGGTGTCATACTCTCAGGTTTGAAGCCGAGGTCGAGATCGTATATGTTTTGCCTCAGCATTGACGACATCGTATCAATTGAGCGCCTGCCGATCTCGGCATGCCCTTAAGCGAGCCCGGCTGACTGAAGTCTGGACTTGTAATTCTTCTCCAGATAATCCTTAGCCGTTGGTGAGTCAAGTTGACGTTTTCACGTATGACATGACAAGCTCTGCATTGTCCGTCTCAAGGCTGTCGTACGCGGCGTTCCACACTCTCTCGAACACGGAGAGGAGAGGGGTCGGTTGCTCTGTCGATTCGGTCGCCGGTGGTTTAGGTGCGGATTCGACAGGTAGAACAGGAGGCAGTGCTTGCGATGCTACGGGTGGCTGTTGGTCGTTGGGAACTCTCGTATCTACGCTGGGCCGGACGGCCTTTCCGGCGGCGGCCGAGGGGGAGAGAGGAGTATATAACTCTTCGCGATAATAGAAGATGATTTCACTCTGGGTTCTGCGTTTCCCTGATCGGATGACTGGAGGTCTGCTGGAGAAGGTGAGTTACGAGAAGCCTTGTAATGCTAAGCGGAGTCTCGACATACTCGTCGACGGCGTGGCAGATGGAGCCGGCGAGGCTGCACGATGACGACGCCCGAAGAGCTCCTTCCACCATTTCTTCCGCGACCTCGGTTTGTATTCAGAAGACATAGCTTCGACGAGAACTTTTGTCGAGAAGAAGAGATGCTACTGCAATAGTAGGATTATGTGAAGTCGACAGCTGCGTTTCGCGCGGTTATCGCGGGGCGGAGCTGAAAGATGCGGTGCGGCTGGCCTGTTTGGCCGTCGACCGTCCAAAAGGAAGCTGTGGCGGTGCTACTGACGAATGGCAGTAAAGTACTGTACATCCGTACAGGACTGATTAGGACGTTTCAGAACGGAACAGGGACGAGAACGGATATCATTCTGGCGGGCGATTTCAACCGCCTCGACCAACTTTGAGGAGGAGACGATGTTTCACTGCTAAGAGGAGGCGAAGGAGACGGCATCGTCAACCGCATAGACGAACACTCCCTTTGCAACCTCGTTCCAAGAGGCACGAAGACGTGGCAGTCGGGTGACACCGAGAGTATGATCGACCTGGTACTGGCATCTGCAGAGAACAGGCAGACTAACTATTTAGATGCACGATTCACCCCTGCGACCATGGCTCAGACCATAGAGCGATCGAAACAGCTTTCGACACCACGGTGGAGGACCGTCCCAGCGAGACGAGGTTCCTCCAAGAATGCACCCAGGCGGGAGATTAGGACTAGGGTGGCAGCGAACTTTGAACGTATCCCCTGGGACGGCAGTGTCCAGCAGCAGACGGATAGGCTCATGGCAGCGGTAACCGAAGCGGTCTACGGCCTGATACCTAAAGCCAACCCCTCACTATACGCCAAGCGGCGGTGGACAACAGACCTGACACGGCTCCGCCAGGCCTATATGGTAAGCAACGAACTACCTGCAAACCGCAGCGGCACAACGGTTGATAAATGATGGCTCTGTCACAGAGGGAAAAGCAGAGCAAGCACAAGCGCTGCTGGCCTCCTTCTTTCTGCTACTACTAGACAGAATTGAAGACGAGGGGACAACGTCCTCAGCGGGCACCAGTGGAGATGCCGGATCTTACAGTATAACATCTCAGCCGGTTCATCTGCCGCCATCACGTCAAAGCACAAACTGAGTGCTCTGTGTCATGAATGTGATAGGTCCTGGTTTGCAGTCCCTTGCGACTGTGTGTTTGCTTGGGGGGGGGGGGGGCGGGGGGGTTGGCCGAGATTGCCACCTATTCCTGACTAGATACAACCGCCGGGCAAACCTTGAGGGTTCAATTGGATGCGCCGCTGGCTGCTGGGAAAGCCAATATCTCATCTGAGATGGTGGTCCCGCATGCATGGAATCAATAATAAGACTCTACGAGCGCCGACGGCATCCATCTCGGGGCCTCGAACGCCGCATGCCGTATGAAGACTGAAGCTGAGCTCTCGTGCTCTGTTTCCCAAAGGGGAGTGCCGGAGGGATGGCCGGCCACATCAGGAAGCGCAAAGCGACGACTGACCATAAACCATCTCAGGTAAGAGGATCAAGAAACGCCGCACTAAGTTCAGCAGAGAGACGAGATCAAGTAGAAACGGCACCCGGCTTGTGTGCGAAGGTTGGCGCGGCGGCTTCGACAGTCAATGCACATGGTTTGGCCGTCCTAAACCAGTTAAAGAATAAGAGTCTCTGGGGCCCCTACAGAGTACTCATGGTTCCGATATCGGGGTTCGCGGGTTACAGCGGTGGCGCCTAATAATGGTTCACGGGGAGTTGCATTGCACATGCAGGGTCGTCGATAGAGCAGCCGGCACGAACCGAGCCCACCGCCAGGACCTTTTGTCCGTTCTTGAGCAACCTTATCTGCCCATATGCAGTGGCGGGCAGTCAATCTCCGGGTTGGCGAGTGCTGCAATCTTGGCCTAGTGAATGGTGTCGCCGCCAAAAGTGTGCGGAAGTCAGTCGAAGGGTAGATGTATGATAAGGCAAGAGCCAGAAACGGCGGGCGAGAGTCTGCATAGATGGCTTGTGAAAGTGATAAAAATGGAAGCCATCCCCTACATCGAGGAATTCATGATACCTCTCCCCAACGCCTATCCCTCTCGTCCTCTCAAGATCATCATCGTATTGGTCCTCACTCTTACGTCTCCAATCTAAGCCCAGGAGAAGCCATGGTGGTCCTTCTCTCTCCAGGCCGCTTCGGCCTCATCCTTTTGTCTCTCATCTCCAGCTTCCTTGTGCCCAGTCCCGGGGTCCTAGGCCAAATCCCCACGTACGAGACAGAGACGGCAAACTTCATGACGCTGCCCATCAGCAGCATCCATGGCTTCATCCCCATGCCCTGGGCTTGCACCTTTGCGCCCAACCCCGGCACCCAGACTCTTCTCCAGTTTCACGCCAACTGGCACTGCACGTACCCAGACACCCACGCCGAGTTTGGCCGCCGCTTCTTCGGCTTCCACAAGCAGTTCGGCATAGGCTACAACTTCTACCTCGCCTCACTCGGCTTTCCCTTTGTATCGACCTTCTACCCGGCCCCTCTCGCTCCTATTCCACCGTCACATGTAACGCGTCCGCAGAACGCGCAGTGCGTTGGCTGCACATCCCTTCCGAACAACTTCCGCGCTCCTCCAACGGGAACCCTCCACCTCTACCCCACCGTCCAGGCGCTCGGCCAGGCCATCGTGGGGTGGCACAACAACCAGCATTTCCACCTATCCGGCGGCTTTGGCTGTGGGAGTCAGACTACGCCGGCCCGCGGAGACATGAACTGCTTCACCACGTCTCCGCGCGACCCCGTCTTCTGGCGGTACCACAGCATTTTCGACGAGGTCCAGGACGCGTGGCACTCGCTTCAGGATGCCAATGTTGCCCTCGTTATGGACCGGTCCGGCAGCATGGGATCGACGATTCCTGCCTTCGGCATCACCAGACTACAGGCCGCAAAGGACGCGGCGCAGATGTTCGCCGACATGGTTGATGTGGCGTCGGGCCACCGCCTCGGCCTGGTCACCTTCTCCAGCGGGGCCACGACCAACCTGGGTCTCACGGGCGCGTCGACCTTCTCCGGCGCGTTGAGCTCTGCCATGTCCTCGGTCAGCGCGAGCGGCAGCACCAGCATTGGCGCGGGTCTGAATGCCGGCCAGGCCCTCGTCACCGGGGGAACACAGCCGCGCAAGGGCATCGTGCTACTGACCGATGGCCAGGAAAACGTTGCTCCCATGATCAACAGCGTCAACCTCGGCGACACGCACCTGTGCGCCGTGGGTTTTGCCAGCCCCAGCAACCTGGACGGCGCGAAGCTGCGGAACCTGGCCGAAAAGCAGGGTGGCATCTGGACGAGCACGCAGGATCCCGTCGAGCTCAAGAAGGTCTTTGTCCAGTGCTTCTCCAACATTTTTGACGCAGCCCAGGCCATCGACCCCATTGATACCCTGCCATACTCATCGCCCATCTCTCCTCCAACCATCCACGGCGCCATGGGCGACGACACGGTAATCTTCGTCCTCGGATGGGCCGATCCAAAAGTCAAGCTCCAGCTCTCCATCACGACACCGTCGGGAGGCGTGGTCAATCTCAATGCTCCAAACGTGCAGAGCAGGATTGGCTCCACCTGGCACGTTGTGCGCATCAAGCTCCCTTACCAAGGAGAGCGCGACGGCGACTGGTCCGGTCGCGCCGTCCTGCAGCCCGTGCGAGGTTTCGTCAACGGCTTCAGCTCCCTGGCGGTCACCGGCACCGACGCCGGCGTCCAGCTCATCCGCAACCAGCTCGCGACTCTCTGTACCTCGGGTTGCGGCAACGTGCTCTTCTACCAGCACACCACGAACGAGACGAGCGTCTCGCACGGGGGCGGCACCTCCATCTATCACGAGGCCGTCATTGCGGAGATGAGCCGCGGAACCATGGGCAACGCTACCGTCGCGCACCAGGCCGCCGACTTTTCCAACCTGTTGTCGCGCAGCGGCGGCTGGGACCTGGTCGTTTACAATGCGCCCGGGCCGGGCGGATCGCAGACCTACGACCAGGCCTTTGCCTCGCTGCTCTGCGCGGGCCGCACGAAGTACATCGTCAGCGATGCCAGGCCCGTGAGCTCTGCCGACGCTATCCTGCGGTGCGCCGGTGCCACGCGTGGTGAGTCCGTCACGGCAGGCACGGAGAAGATGTATCTCTCCCCGGGCGATTCGCAGCTCTTCCCAGGCGAGCTGCAGCTCGGGAATGCTGTGGTCCGGGATGCTCGATCATACGTCGTGGCTGGAGGGTCCCCGCAGGCAAGCTACGCCGGCGGGCTGCAGGGCGCGGCATCCGTCGCCATCGGGGGCGGCGGCAGCGGTAGCGTCCAGTACTTCATCAGCGTGCTGGCCAAGTCGTCGGTCAAGCTCAAGCCGTACACGTACATCAACAATACGTACGTCGGCGAGGACCTCCATCCGTCCTTCTACGTCCCGGCTCCGTACTGGCCTGACTGCGGCTTCACCCACGTCTACGCCAACGTGACCATCACCCGCCCGCTAAGCTCCCTTGCCGCCGTCCGCGGCGATCCCAAGGACGACAACGCCCCGGACGCCATGATCCCGACCGAGACCGCCACCTACTCGCTCTCGGACGACGGTCGCAGCGGAGACCGCGTGGCAGGGGACCATCACTTTGAGACGGCTCTGACGGGCTTGACCAAGTATGATGGCGAGTACAAGCTTCACGCCCGCGTCAGACTCTGTAATCAAAAGGCCTGCGGCAAGCTCGACTGTATCGTTCGCGAGGCCGAGCATGTCCTCGACGTCCTGCCTAAGGCGGCGCAGGCACAGACAAGCGTCAAGGTCAGACAGCTGGAGGCGGCTGCTACCAGCGAGCGCAAGCGGTCGGGCAAGCGTGAGAAGAGGGCTACGGTTGTCGTCACGCCCCGAGATGAGGACGGCGTGGCCCTGGGCCGTGGGCATCTTGAGCAAATCGTGGCACGGGGCGTCTGCGGCGCCGTGGTTGAGAAGTTCGAGGAAGTCTCTGAAGATGACGAGGAGGAGGCCAGCTATGCTGCTACAGTGTCGTATCCTGAGAGCGGTGGATCGGACTCTTCGTGCAAACGGGCAGGAGTGGCCATCCACATGTACGGCCGTCCGAAGGAGGCTGTCGTTGTTGACCTGTGATCGGAGGATCAGTGAAGGGTAGCAAGAGGGCTCGCATTCGGGGCTTGGGATTGATGTGTGGGAGAAAACGGCGATGATCTGCAATAAAGTATCAAACGAGAGTCGGGCAAGTCGGTCCATTTCTCTTCTCATGCAAGGAGACCTCTCTCCCTTCCAAGGGCAAGGGTCTGAACGCCCAGCGTTGCTAGGATAATACACAGAACAGATCGGAAGGTTTCTCAACGGGCCAATATGCGTGCGGGTCGCTTTGGGGTGGGTCAAAGAAGCGTTGGGTGTTTAGTAGTAATCACTAACTAGCCTACAATAATCGGGGACTGTTGACCACACACTTTTAAACTGTTGCTATGCAGATGGGGTTCGACCTTGGATGAAACTTTAAATGAGTGGCATGGGAAGAATGGAGAATGAATCGGAGCAGCCTTTGGAGAGGCAGCAAAGGAGGCAAGGAGGCCCTCTGCGGTCCTAGTAAAGGGTTTGTTAAAGATAGATTGAAAGATGTTACGGAAGCGATGTTCAGCAACCAGCTGGGACTGCTGTCGGTTAAGTTCCGTATCCCAACGATCGAAGGGCTTACAAGCGCAACAGCACTAGTTACGTTGACCAGCCAGGAGAAGGCAAAGAGGGCCTACGAGGAGGGGGTGGTTGGCGGGCCCAGATGCTCGATTGCGAATTGTACTGGCCTGCGCTGCAGACCACCCAGTGCTATACGTCCTGGGGCTGGGGGCATACCCAACGGTTCTGCAAGAAGTCTGCGCTATGCCCACGATGCAGTACAGCGGCCCATGGAGAGGGCGGGAGTGGCAGGGGAGATCCAAGGTCCCACGGTAATGAAGTTTCCTTTTACTGTCCGCACTGCTCAGGGAAGCACCCGGCCTGGGTACGGTGGTGCCCGGAAGCAGTTAAAGCCCGGGGTGCAGCAAGGGAGGCGTACCATTTCCGGCCTCGAACTTTGAGCTTGCTCTACAGCGACAACAACGACAGCAGCGGGAGCAACCATTACCGAAGATGCGGCAAGTTACCTTCCAAGGCGCGACCACCCTGGAGGAAGTCGACGATGGCTTCCAAGAAGTAGGAAAAAGGAAGCGACCCCGGGGCCGAGCCCCAGCATTATCGTGGCCCAGGAGGAGGCTGCAAGGAGTATGAGGCAAAGAAAGCTTACCTTTGCGACAAGGGATGATACGGCCCTGGCCGGAGGTCAAGGAGGAGGTGCGGCAAGCCAGGGGCCACGGCTCCAGTGGCTTCGGCTACTTCGGAGCTGCCGACCAGGATGTGGGAATGCAGGGAGCTTAGTAGGCTCCTTTCAACTGTAGTGCGACGACCACTGAGGCGACCGGCCAAAGTACAGTACTGTACATAACATCGGTTGGGGTTTTTCACCCGGCTGGGCAACCAGTGCGGTTTTCCTGTACAACTAGCTAGATAGCTGGACCGGCACGCTCGAGGGCATAGCGGTGTAAGGGATAATGATAATAATAATCACCGCCTGTCATGTGTCTTGCTAACAAACAAACCAGGCTGCTGCCTGCATCGTCTCACTTGGCGGCTGGTTGGATTTCGAGGCCCCGGCAAGTAAGGTGGTGCCTAACGTAATCTGGATCAACGGTCCAAAAACACAACACTCGCAACACACCACATCTGCATCAGTCTTCTGTGCCCTCCATTAACTAGCTTTTTGCGGCTATTGGAGACGGCCAGGCGAGATGGACCCGAATCTTGTCCGCTGTGCCATCTGCGACTGGATCATCGATTGGGACTCCAATCTTACTCTTCCGAGACGCCGTGGGCAAACCAGTTTTGCACCCGTCTGTCTTCAACCTGTCGCACATTCCCATGCCCCCCGTTTTTCATTCGCTGACGCGGCCGCAGTCCTCCACACTCCTGACGGCCTGCTGCTCACCGGGGTCAACATTTACTACGGTCCAAGTTTAAGCGGCTTCATACTCTGCGCCCCTTTCGACAAGGACGTGCGCTGGAGCGATGTTAGGTTGAGGAATCTGATGACAACGAGTTTACTGTCTTGCCCAACACTGACTTCAGAGGTAGGCACGGTATCGTCTTCCACGATGCCTGCTGGAGCCTGCTGGAAGTTGCGTTGCAGCCCGCCCCGGTCTCGTTTCAACGCTTATTTAACGTCTGCAGCTCGCTTCCGGTGCCGCGGAACTTTCGCGCTCCTACCTGGGGTCATGATTTTGGCGGATCTGTTGTCGTCGACAAGACTACTCACTTTCCATGGGAAGATCGGTACGAGGTCCCATGGCAACCGCCGACGCCCACGCAACCTGCTCGACCGTCGCCTCGAGCCTTGGCGTTGGATTGTTTCTCATCCCTGTTCGAGGAGCTGTGCTGAGCCATCGCCATGCTCCATCCCACAGCAGATGTCCTCCGCGCCCGCCTGGCGTCGCGAGCATTATTGCTCGTTATCTACAGTGAACAGTTCCGGGATGCACGATTCAAGGGGCTGCTGCCCGCCGCCGATCGGTCCTGGCTTGCTGAAGCTCGCCGTATCCAATCGCCAAGAGATTGGCGGTGGCTCTACCGTTGGACGAACGACATCTTCCTCAGCCCTGGCCCGCGAAATAGGAGGCGGGTATGGGGTCTCCTTGAACAGGTGGTGGATATTTTGGCTCTTGTCTGGAACGAGCTGTCCCCCTCCTTGCCGGAAGCTGGTCGTTGAACTCGGTACAACATGCCACGGGCGCTGTGCAGAGGTGAATGGCCTCCTCTGGAGTCCAGCTCGGCCGAGTGACAACCAGTTCCGCAATGGATGCCGTCTGTTTTCAACGCCAGAGCATTGTATTCCAGACAATCTGGCGCAGCTTGTCCGTGTACACGGTTGCTTTTAGCGATGGACAGTACGTCGTAGGAATGTCTCTCGTCACCGTTGCCGGAGACAGCAGTCGTTGGGGTACAGTTCACGCTCCAAGCACTCCATCAATTGACTCAGATCCGGAACTTCCACGTAGTCATGGGATCTCGCGGCCTCCAGGTTTCGCAATCCATTACTGAGTTATGCAGATACTGCCGTTCCTCTCGCTGGCCGAGCATGGCCATACGTACATGACCCGAGAGTCCTTCATGATCAGGCTCCTAAGGTAGCATTAACGCTACCCAACCGGGCCTACCCCTCTTCCTTACTCCCTCTATAACGACAGCTGTCGTCCGACTTGTTCCCTTGCACTTCTTGTATGCTCGTTTTGAATGTCGAACCACAACCTCGAAGTAGGTACTCAGCCTTTATCTGCATTTGAATTGTGTCAACACTGATTTTTTTTTTTAATAGTCTCATAGCTCTTGGGCGTCTCTATTCATAATGTCATCTAAGTCAGCCAGATGCAAGGTGGCGGCCGCACACGCATCACCCACTTTCATGGACAAAGCGGCCACCATCAAGAAGGTCGTGCGCCTGGTCGAGCAGGCTGCGGCCGAGGAAGTCAATTTGCTCGTGTTCCCTGAGACTTTTGTTCCCGGATATCCGGTAAGTACCTGGGCACCCCATGCATTGACTGCCAAGAAGCTGTTCACCTTCTTTCCACGCTGCGGGTGTGGCCGCTGAGGGGGCTGAGCTGCGGCCCGGGAGACGAAGATGAGGATGAGATACTGGTGAACCTGGGCGGGCTGGCGTGCTGGGAGCATACCAGGAACGGGGCGCGGCAGGCGCTGATCATGCAGGGCGAGCATGTGCATGCCGGCGCGTGGCCGGCGCTGTCGACAATGAAGGAATTCGAGTCGGTCGCCGACGCGCAGATTGAGGCGCTCATGAAGGCGCATGCGCTGACGGCGCAGGTGTGGGTCGTCACGGCGTCGAATTATGTTGATGGAGGGGTGTCTGGAGTGGATGAGAGCCAATTTTGGGGAGCAGGAGTTGGTTAAGAGGGATGGGAGGTGGCCGGCCGTGATGCATCCGTTTTGTGACTTCGTTGCTGGACCGCATACGGGGGAAGAGGAGAGGTTGGTCATTGGGGAGGTGGATTTAGCTGACCTTGCGGCGGTCAAGGTGTGGATTGACGCCAAGAGGAATTACCAGCGGCCAGAAATCTTGAGGTTTGGGATTGATGAACGGCCGTACTGGGCGGATGAGAAGAGAGACAGGTTCGGGGAGCAGAAGGAGGGGGAGTGAGAGGATATTAAGGAGGTCAATGAGCTGTTGGACTGCGAGTATGAAAGCGTGGTGTTGTTACGCAAACAGGTAATGGCTCAGTCCGAATGGCTCACTCGACATTAGATCACTATTGTTACGGCACAGCGCGCCCCGTCGGGTCGAGGCACTGGGGAATAGCACAGTGTGCCATGGGTTCCCGTCGCCTGAGAGGTGGCGTGAGAGGTGATGGAAACTGGACTCGACCAAGTGGTATATCAAGGCTTTTGCTTGTCTCCACGTGGATGTTGGGGCGGCAATCAGGGAGTAGGAATCGCAGGTTCATCAGTAAGTAGTCCAAACTCTGACAAAGGACCCTGCTATAGGGCGTGTGCATGTGGATTCAGGAGAGGCAGCATCAACGGCCAAAAAGCCCCTGTACCTCCCCTCCATTCTCCCGCCCTGAAGGTGAGTTGCTCCTGGCGTAAACGATCACGAGGTTAAAGTGATGCCAATCTTGTAGCCGGGTTGGTGAGGACAAGTGCAAGGCCGCTGCCCTTGGAGCAAACAATCTATAACTTACCTACAGGGCAGATTGTATTACCCTTCAAATACAAACCCCCATTTTGCTATCCATTTCCTCCAGGATGAAGGTTCGTGGCAGCCACAAGTACGACCGCGGTAGTCGAGCTGGCCGCCAAAGTTTCCTCTCTCTGTCTCGAATCCCCCTCGCCGTCAATCAAGAACGAGGCCATGCGGCCAGAACATGGCCTCCACTCTATTGAAACATTGGACAAGAATCATATAGATTTCATTTCTACTAAGGTAGCTTAGATACCTAGCGAGACACGTTTCCATCTACAAGCACTTCCTTCCAGTTGCCCAAGTAGACCTCGAGGCGAAAATCAAGCCGGAGGCAGGGCAGCGTACCCAACACTCCAACCATCCGACCACATAAACTCCGTCACAGCGGCACCATCCGTGCCATTCTGCAGATACACGCGCAGAATATCGAGCGGGATGGCAGCAACATTAGATCCCGGCAGACAGGCCTCCTCAAAGGCGCCATCGTACCAGCCGCCGCTGCCGTCCCAAGCCTTCTCCTTGATAACGTTATCCTCTGCGCCGTAGTAGAGGCGGATGCCGAGGCTGCCGCCCTCGCCCCACGACGTGACGCCGAGCGCTGCCTGGGGGACTTGAGTACGGAAGTGGAGTTGTCCCGTGTGCCAGCCGGCGCCGTCCCAGGTTTTTTCGAAGATGTTGAGGTTGGCGTCCTGCGCGTAGACGCTATGTTTTGGGAATCAGAAGAACGTCTGGGAAGGTGAAGAGGGAGAGAGACAGGAAGGTGTACCGGAGATGGTAGGGGTCTTTGCCCCAGGTCGTGGCCGCGATTTGGGTGCCGGGAAGCGCGGGCCCGAGGTTGCTTCCCTTGGTCCAGCCACTGCCATCCCCTGAAACGAGAAACAATAGGTCAGATCGTTTGGTTCATGCAGTGAAAGGATCATCGATGGGTTTGCAAACATACAGACCCACTCCTGGATCGTGTTGTCACTCAGCTGACCATAGACGCGGAGGATGGTCTTGCCGCCGAGGAAGATTGCTGCAACGGACGAGTACGGGGCCACGTCGAATTCCTGGTCGGTGAGATTTCCGTCGTACCAGCCGGCTCCGGCGTCGTAAGCGGCCTCGCCGAGGCGGTTGTCCGGCGTGACATAGTAGACGCGGATGTGCTCGAAGCCAATGTTGGTGGCGGCGATGGGGGTGCCGACCTTGCCCGTGGCGATGACGTTGCCAGGTTCGCCGCCCATCCACTGGCCTTCGTACTGCACCTCCCGGATGCCGCCGTCCACGGCCGTTTCGTAGACGCGGAGCTGGTTGTCCTTGCGCACGGCAGCCAGGGCGCAGGGGATGAGGATGTCGTTGATGGCCGCCATTGATGGAAGTGGTCGCTATGATGATGATTCTGAAAGGTGCTCTGATATTAAGAAGAGGTGACTGGAACGGGGAAGGAGTGGGCGGTCGGATTTATAGACCAATCCAAGTTGCAGTCCTTCTGTCTCTCTGTGCTAGACCGCACCTCTGACATCTGACGATATCATACCTTAGACAGCTCGACCGGAGACCTGACCTCCGGGCCTACTCCGCGTGGACCACCATCACGATCGAAGTTTCAGCTCGCCACAGCATCTCACTGTCGTGTCGGGCAGCATCTATTGACACTGACATGTTATGACGCCTTCGACCGGTGAGCCTGATTCAAGCCTACTTTGACAGCACCATCTGAGTGTCAGTTAGCCACCAACACGCTGTGCAACCTTGGCTGAGTGCCGGTTGCATGATACTGTCACATCACAATGCACTCGGGTCGATCGCGGTGCGGGGAAGGCGGCCGTCTTACAAGCGACAGGCCCGACTCGTCCAGGAGCCAGCTGAATATGACCGTGATGCAGGCTAAAGGTGGGATCGATGAATCAATAGACAGTACGGATATGTTGTGCAAGGTAGAGCGTACATCTTCTGCCCAGCTTAACTCTCTCGGCTTGAAGGCGCGCTTGCCGCGAGCCAGTCCTCTTTTTCTTGTTCTACCTCTTTATTACAGATCGAATGCATGTCGCATCAGCTGCTGCTGACATGAAAACAAAGGGTGTGCTGGGCATGGTAGATTGCGACATTGCATCTTGTATGCATAAGTACAACAGCTCGTTCACAGGGAAGGGTAGGAGGCAATCACTTGCCAAGCGTCTCGTTCTGTCGTCACAGAAACACGTTGCCGAGAGAGACTATCTCGGTGGCCAGCTACAAGGTTTACGTGCACACAGTTGTCTTTTAAGCTGTTTATATGTTGTTGCAGACGCTCAATGTCGGTTTGAAAGATCCCTTGAAACAGCAAGGAAACAACAGCCTGGTTGTCTGAGACGGATCTGGGCTCACGGAATTCCCTTTTTCGTTCGGAGCCCTGGCTGGTGTGAGCTGCGGCTGATTTGTCCTGAGCTTTCCCTGATTCTTCCCGGATCGAGGACAATCCCATACGCCACCGCTGCACAGCCTTAGAGGCCCGTTTTCAGTCCCCCCGGCTAAAATTTCCTTCCAAAACTACCCGCAGTCTACAGTAGCATATACTGGTACATGGGATAGGACGTGATATCGGTAAAGTTGCTGATGAATATTTGATTATGCCATGATATTGACCTGGACATGGAGTGGCTTTGTACGCTCTTGGCTGCTCGGATGCATATGCTTATACTCTTCAATCACCCTTCACCGGGCGGGTAGCCTTTGACGTAACGAAGTCGACAGTCCTAGGGCTACTGACAACAATATTTATTATTCCTACACCGCTGTGCCCTTGGGCTTGCCGGACCTTCAACAACTTACTATACAGGAAAACCGCGCCCTCGTGGGCCGGGTGAAAAACCCATATCGACAATCAAGGAAACGATCAGTGTGCGATCCTGCAAATACAAAGTGGGAAGGCCTCTTGGCCTTCGAAAGAAAGGGTATCAGACTGCGAGCTCCAGCTCCAGCCTCCTGGCCAGACCGTACATCGGCAGTTTCCCCGAGTCCATCAGCCAGTCCAGGATCCTCCCCGTTAGCCGTGCAGCTTTGGGACTGATTCACTGACAACAATATACTTAATGGACAGCGGGCAACAGGGCCCGGCCCTGTAGTCATGCCGGGTGCCGTGATCACTGGCACCTCAAGAGCCGAGATTACACATAATGCAGCCATCCATCCGTTCCTTAGATTACTAGTACATCTGAGTGAGGGCGGGGCGGTTATTCCAGTACATCGTTGCGCGATTAGACGTCACTACTACCAGAGCAACAGGCTGGTGTACAACAAGAAGGTAGCCGGGTTAGTGACAAACGAGAGCTTGGGCCGCTGCTCCTCGACGAGACAGTCGGAGACGCGAGCTGCATCGGTCCGCGGGGCTGGCGGCGACTCGACAAGCCCGTTGGCCACGTCGTACTCGGGAGGGTCGATGTCGAAGACAATCAGGCGCATCGGCCCGGCCGCGATGCCGTGGTTCTGCGCTGCGTTGCCGAGGCAGATGCGGGTGAACAGGTCCTTGTCCAGGTTCGGCTGGGCGGGCGACTGGAAAGGGTACTTCTTGCTCTTGGGTAGGGCGGACGAGACGGGGCTGATGGGCGGCACCAGCGCGGGCATCAGGGCGACCTCATCAGGGCCGCCGCCATCCAGGCCGTACAAATCGTACAGGGTCCGGTCGAGTTCGACCAGCGGCGGCGTCTCTGTCAGGTTGCTACCCAACTTGAAGTTGGCGCCCCTGGGTGAGGTGGACGTTGAAACTTTTACGCTGCGACGACAACGGGGTGAGACAGCAGGTGTCTGTAGTCGACTGGTCTAGCTACGGTATGTCAGAGGCGTTTGGCTCGGCATTCGAGGTAAGATAAATGCTGAATATGTAGGGTGGTGTTTGCTGACATGGCTGACATGAAAGGTCTGTCCTGCGCATCTCTGCATTACGAACGTCATGTGTCACGGGCAAAGGGTAAAGGAAATTATGGCGGTAAACTTACATACTTACCGAACATACATACTTACCGAACATCTAAGCGTATCGGCAAGGCACCTACATAATCATCGAACCGCCCCATCGGTGGGGAGGCAAGCCGAGTGGCCGTTTACCCCTGAAATGCTTGCTTTGCCACTCTGCTCTGCCGGCACTGAGGGGCGTGTGGGGTTACGCTGATCGAGGAAGCAGACGCGAGAGACACGAGGAACACGAGAAACACGAGCTCAAGTCTTCTAGCCTTAACCCAGGGATATAACACGAGTGTAGGTATATTAAATCCTGACTTCGGCCAGTAACTGAAGAGCACTAGGTGAATCTGAAATCCTTAACTTACTGAGTTTCGTGGTGTTTCGAAGATGAAGTCCTTCATCTTTTTGCTCGGCTACCTTGCCTGCTTTGCCCGCTGCGTCCCAACCCACGACCCGGGAGCACGCGACTACGAAGGGACTGAAATTCCCAACTGGCATCCTCCTCGCCCAAACGACTGTAAGTCCCTCGACGGTTCAGATCATTTGATATTTTTGGATGTGCTTCTTGAGTACTCGAACTATGTCGGAACCTTCTTGTGTGCTCATACAGCATCCACGTAGTCCGCGGCCCCTGCCCTATGATGAATACCCTCGCCAACCACGGTATCCTGCCACGCGACGGTAGGAACATCACCAGAGAGGTTATCGTCAAGGGGATGAAGCAAGCCCTCAACTTCGACTCTGCCCTCGCAACCATCATGTTCGATCAGGCCGTCATCGCCAACCCCGAGCCTAACGCCACCTACTTCACGCTGTGCGTCCCTCTCCAACCCTAGGGGCTCTATCAGTTGCAGTGGATCTTGCTGACACCGGCTGGGAAACAGCGATCACCTGAACCGGCACAACGTGCTCGAGCACGACGCCAGCCTGAGCCGTACCGACGCCTTCTTCGGCAGCAACCGCGTCTTCAATCAGACCATCTTCGACCAGACGCGGCGCTACTGGCCCGAGCCCGTCATCACGGCAGCGCACATGGCCAACGCCAAAGTGGCGCGCCAGATCGACTCCAAGGCGTTCAACCCGACCTACCGGTTCACAGACGCTGTCGAGCGCTTTAGCCTGGGCGAGATGGCGGCGCCGTTTGTCGCGTTTGGAGATCTGGAGAAGGCTACGGTGAATCGGACGTTGGTTGAGTACTTTTTTCGTGAGTGCATTTCAACTCTAGTCAAAAGCTTACTTCATGAACACCACGGAGTCCTGGACTGTGCTAATTCGGGGGTATTTCCTGCCTTACTAGAGAACGAACGGCTGCCGACGGAGCTAGGGTGGCGTGTCAGGGACGAGGTCGTCCAGGTTGAAGCCATTTTGAGAATCTCGGACTTGATTGGCAAGGCCACCGGCTTGTTGACAGTGGATGAGTCTGCCGGTAACGGCACGACAAAGAAGCTGCCGAGGGGATTCCACGCCGGTGTGCGAAGCGAGTTGTGACGCCTCAAGCCAGGCAAGGTAATGGAGAGATGATGTTGAGATGCTGAGTCTGGTGGAACCACGATCATAATTAGGTTCTTCAAGTTTTGCAGCAGGTATTGCCGGGGTGGGAGGCTGTAGTGTTATGGGGGTTGGCTATGCAATCCTGAAAATGAGAGATGCCCGATTGCTTTGAGCTACACGTAACTAACCCCGTCGGCTCCGATGGAGGTTGTCGGACATCATTACACTCAACTGAGTACACGTGGAATGGGATGAAGAACAGAAAGAACTTGAATGAAGCCTTTGGAGGCTCAAAATTCCTCCGTCTGACAATCGGAGTTCTTGGCGTTTCTTGGCTTCGCTGGGAACGCTGGTTGCATTCAAGCCAGCTCTGAGAAACGCGTCCTGTTTCGTAACCCCACGAGCCTGCAAAGTCGTTGATTACTCAACTGGTTTACCTTGGCGAACTTTCCAGACGTTGCCAAGTCAAGGTCCGCGACGAGTCGTAGACACTTCGGTGTTCACTAATCCCACGAAGTGCAGTAGAGTTTGCTTCTTGGTTGAACTCTTTGAGCCCACGTGCAATTTCACCGTCGATGACGAGGTCAGCGATGTTGAAGTCGTAAGCTCTGCAGTGGACTGCCTGGTCAGATCATTCAGTTAGGACGACTAATGGGATAGGAGGGGTGGAGGTGATCATCGGGCCGAGCTACCGTATGTGGCAACAATGATATATATGTCATTGCCCTTCCTCAGAGTCTGTGGTATCCAGTATCCCAAGTTCCAACACAACAGCCAAATCACCTCAGCTTCATCAGCATCAGCAGCGCGCAACGTCAAATTTGACACTTCATCCGACTCGACCCTCACAAGATGCATATCACGGTAGTGCCCGCTTCCCCCAAGACCGGCCAGGCGACCATCCGCAGCCTGCTCGCCGACCCTTTCAACCCCACTGTCAGGGCTTACTACCGCGATTTGAGCAAAGTCCCTTCCGAGCTCAAGTCCAATCCGCGCTTCGAAGCCGTCAAGGGCGACGTCGAGGACGCCGGCAGCCTCGACTTCTCAGGCTCGGATGCCGTCTTGAACATCACCCCGCCCCTGTACGAAGAAAAGGATATCATTGCCCATGCTCGCCTGGTGTCGGAGAATGTCAAGGCTGCTGTCAAGAAAGCCGAATCCGTCAAGCGGCTTGTGCTTTTGTCGAGCGTCGGCGCCCAATATGCCCACGGCACTGTCAGCTTGTATTCACATGTTGCTGATTGGTTCAACACAACTGACAAAGTCCGTACAGGGCGAGATCCTGACGAACCACGAAGCCGAAGTCGTGCTCAAGGACGCCGCACCCGAGGTTGTCTTTGTCCGATGCGCCTATTTCATGGAGAACTGGGCAACGGCTCTTGAAACACTGCCTCAGGGCTTCTTCTTCACGACGCTTACGCCGCTAGATCATGCCCTGCCCATGGTACTCACATCCCTCTATAACTAGTAGTATCCGGTGCGATAATTTGAAACCTCTTGACTGACATGACAATCCAGATCGCAGTCCAAGACATCGGGTCGACCTGTGCCGCCGAGCTCCTGGCCACGGGCACCGCGCTGCCCTCGAGCCCGCACATCTTTGAGCTTCACGGCCCTCGCGCCTACACGTCGGCAGACGTGCAAAAGGCGTTTGAGGAAATGCTTGGCAAGAGCATCGAGATGCGGTCTGTCGAGAAGTCTGGTCTGCACGACTTTTACGCCGCCGTGTTTCCGCCCGGCGTGGCGGCGCACTTTGCCGAGATGAACAAGAGCTACCTCGAGGGCGGCATCTTGTATGAAGATCCGCAGCCGACGCCGGGCGAGAAGAGGTACGGCAACACGGAGCTGGTCGACGTCTTTCGGCAGATGCTGGGCGCTGGAGAATCGCCCTGAAGAGCGGTAGCCTGGGCGCGGGGAAATGGGCGGTTAAGTCCATGTTTTGGTGGGATAAACTGGCGATGGTGCGGCAGCTTCAATGCCATTTGACTGCTGTGGTTTGGTAATGAAGGGCTTTGGTCAAAAAATGGGTCACATTTGGAATTCTGCAGTAGTTAACTAACGGTATCTGTAACTATCCGTACTTCACGGGCATTGCCTGATTCAAAGTTGCCGGATAGGAGACCTCGATCTCACCGTCCAATCTATCATCAAAAAAAGAAAGGGAAAAAAAGGAATCTCAGTTCTGTATGAAGGGACTTTGAAGCTATTCTACGCAAAGCCGGACAGATTTCCCTGCCAACACAACTTTTTGAGCTCCAGGTTGCTAGATACAATCTGGAGTGTAGCCGTCAACCCTAACCCGGATATTTGGTCGCGGAAACTGTTCAAAACTCCCCGCGTCTCATGACGTGATGGCGCGTGACTCCTCGGACATGACACCTCACCACCACACCGGATTATCGCAACGTTGCCCCCAGCCGAAGCATACATGGTCATCGGTTTTGCCAATCATTGTTCGACCGCTTCAGCGAGGACCATTGTCGCGGAACTAAACGGGAGTGCTGAGGATTGGAGCAACTGAACGCACTCGAATCCCAATTTCCGGTCGAGAGTCGCACAGCGAAACCTTGAAAACGCCACATTGGAACTGCGGCACTTTAACAATGTCATCGACGACCCCAATACCCGCGACGATGAGGGCCTGGCAGTACTCGAGCGCCACGGGTGGCATTGAAAGGAACCTCGCCCTCCATGATTCGGTCCCGCTGCCGAGGCTACTAGGGGACTCGGAGCTCCTCATCAAAGTCGTCGCGGCAAGCATCAACCCGGCCGACTACAAAGTTCCCGAGTTGGGCATCATCGCTCGCGCCGTTATTCGCACCCCCGCAACGCCTGGCATGGACTTTTGCGGGCGCGTCGTGCAGACCGCGAGGACCGTCGATGAATTCGCCATCGGAGACCTGGTCTTTGGCCGCCTCGACCCGCAGCAGCACGGCACCCTGGGCGAATATATCGTCGCTCCAACCAAGGCGTGCGCTCACGTGCCTGACGGAGTGACCCCGGATGAGGCCGCGGCCGTGGGAGTGGCGGGCATCACCGAGTATCGTAAGCCGTCCTTGCTTTTACTCACCTGGCCTTGCTACTTGAGCTCAATACACACCATGGGAGCATCACAGCTAAAGGGGGGGAAAATTTGACTGCAAAATAGAATGTATTGCCCCTAACGTCGAAGCGGGCTACAAGATTCTGATCAACGGCGGCTCGGGCGGCACGGGCACGTTCGGCATCCAGATCGCCAAAGCCCTCGGCTGCCACGTCACAACGACATGCTCCCCCACCAAGGCCGACCTCTGCCGCTCGCTCGGAGCCGACGAGATCATTGACTACACTATGACCGACGTGTCCCGGGCCCTCAAGGCCAAGGGGCAGGTCTTCTCCCTCGTTGTCGACAACGCAGGCGTGCCCGAAGACCTCTATAAGGCCGCCGACGACTTCCTCTTGCCGGACGGCAGGTTTGTCCAGGTCGGGGGGCCGATGAGCCTGAACGCGCTCAAGACGGTCACGTCGAGGCTGCTGCGGCCCGCCTTTCTGGGCGGTGGCAAGCGCAAGTACCAGATGTATAGCATGGGGTACAGCCAGGCCGACTTGAAGCAGTTGGGCCAATGGATTGCCGTGAAGAAGATCAGGGTCGTTATTGAGGAGACGTACGAGTTTGCGGATGTGCCGAGAGCGTTTGAGAAACTGAAGACGGGGAGGAATGCTGGCAAGTTGGTCGTTCACGTTGGGAAGTGAGGCGTCGGGGTCGAAGGCTAAGCTGTACGCTGTGAAGGGATATCGCATGCACAGTCCAACATCCCGGAAAGCTTCAAAGATTATTATTCCTACACCGCTGTGCCCTAGGGCGTGCCGGACCTTCAACAACTTACTATACAGGAAAACCGCGCCCTCGTGGGCCGGGTGAAAAACCTATATCGACAATCAAGGAAACGATCAGTGTATGATCCTGCAAATACAAAGTGAGAAGGCCTCTTGGCCCTTCAAAGATTAACATCGTCGCTGAATGCGGATATTGCTACAATACACGTAGGTGTAAGTGATGCTGCCAGGAGGTAGCTCAATTACGTCACCCAACTCTGTCCCGTAACGCTCGCACAGTAATGTTGTCCGGCGTCCGAGCCTAAGATACCTTTCGTTAATCATAGAGATTTGAAAGTCGTAGTCTCTCCGAAGAGCTTAAGCCCTGGAATATAGTACTTTAAGTCGCCCTATAGGAGGTTGCGGAAGAGGTTGACGGTGTCAGGACCCGAGGTCCTGTTGGGAGTAAATGTCAGAGTGAAGAGGTGCGAGCAATGGGCGACAGCACTGATCAGCGTGGTGGTGGTCTGTGAAAGACTAGTCGATTGGGAACCACACTGAACTCTGAACCCTCCCTCCACCTGACCCCTCTCCTCCCTTCTTATCTTCTGCCCTAGAATCGCAACCTTCTTCCTGAACCCTTCCCGCGTACTGAAACATGTCAGGCTGATTGCTTGCAGGCTGCTCTTACATCGCTGAGACACAGTTGAGACATCCCCTAGCTCTACTGCCCTGCTTCCACCCCACTTGACGGCAGCGCTGGAAATAGAAGTCGCCAAGTTTAAGTCATCCCTGGTCCTGACATGTGCCCGCAGAGGGCGGGCTTTGTCATTATCACGGGACCCGTCAGCCTTCTGATCTAGGGGTACCCGTCAACCTATTGGCTCCCCATCTCAAGACTTTGCTTCTATAACGCAGGTGAGTTAGAAAGACTGGGTTATTAACCATTCGAAGTGGACTCTGACTACTGAGCCATGCGATGTCTACCAAGTCTAGTGGCGCCGGTGAGTATGCATGTTACAGAAACTATACCTTGTTTTCAGGCCAAACCGCTCGCCATCTACAACACACTATCCCCTTGTCCTTGGACCAACAGATCAAACGCTTCAACCACAACCCTCCTGTCAACCTCCAGCCCCTTCCCACGCCCGACTCCCCACGCATACCTCCCCTCGTCCCTCGTCGCCTCCCTAACCATCTTCCTCGTATCCTTATGTACCAACGACCTCCCACTCAGGTACAACCCCTGCCCCGAAAGCGCCGCCAACCCCAGCACACCAGACGAGACCTTGGTGCCCATATTCAGCAACCCGACACCCGCCCCCTTGGCTGCGCCCAAGGCCCCTTCTTTCCTGGCCCCCTGCACCGGCTTCACGACGAGCCCCCCGAACCCCTCGACGAGGCCGTGCACAAAGTTTTTGCCCGCTGCTGCCCCACCCGACTTCCAGTCGGTCACGCGGCCCGGGTCGTACACGTCGCCGCCGTAGAGCCGCGGCGCGTTGCGCAGCCCTTCGGACACAGCGAGCGGCATGTCGAGGTACATGCCCTTGGTCCAGTGCTTGAAGAAGTTGCCCACGCCCGAGGCACAGCCGAGGAACGCTGTTGTGGTGCGGCTTTGCTCCTCCTTCTCCTCTTTGGTTTGGTAGGTGGTGGAGTTTTCTGGTGGGGGGAGTTCGAGCGCGGCGGGTCGGCCGTAGATCATCAATTTCTCCGCGAAGTCGTTCTTCTGATGGTGGGTTGTTGGGAGCGGGGACGGGTTTCTGCTGTGATGCGGATCGGCACCACCGTGGTGACCTTCTGCCGTTGCCGGGCGACTCCTGGGAGGTCTAGTAAATGCCTGGATGGGCTTGACGACAATGTCGGCTGCCGACGTTACCATGGCCGCGCTTGTGACTGCAAGGGACGACGCTGCGGCTGTGACCGGGTCCCATCTTTTGAGGTCGATGTGTATCGGCTTGATTTGGTATCTGCTAGCATGAAAGTTGTCAATCAGCAAGAGTTTGTTTATGCGTGAGTTCCCAAGTGCACACTCACCGCTTCAAGTTATGTGGCTTCACCTTTTCCTCAGCGACAAGAATCTCGGCTACCTCTTTGGATATCTTGACGGGCCTGCGGCGCCTTTTCGTCTTCAGAGACCACGCTGCAACGAGATGTGGCATGACGTCGCAGCGCATCTTCTCCAACGGAAGGTTTGCGTGGAATGAGGCGACGGCGCGAGCAACGCCGTTTTCGGACCGCATCTGTCTCGCCATTCTCCGCGCGGCATCGGATGCCTCCGGACTGAGGCAGAAGCGTATCGCCTCGGCAAGGTTCGTAGCATTCAGTTTCTTTTGAGGAATCGGGGACGGACCGGCGCCCGCCGCGGCCACCATGTCGCCCCAGAACGGCTGACTATTGGGGACACAAGTCAGCATACTAGGCATGGATAGAGATGTAGAAAGGTTACTGACTCGCCAAAGAAGGGAACAACTACGGTTGGCCTGCCGTTCAGGAGGCCACAGGCCGTGGTTCCGGCGCCGCCGTGATGTATCACGGCCGAGACACGCTGAAACAACCATTCGTGCGGGCAATCCCCCAGATAGAAGACGTTGGCCCCTAGGTCTAACGTTCGGTTACCACCCAGCTTGCTCCAGCCTCGAGAGATGATGGCCCTGACGCCTGTGGACCGGACCGCCTCGAGCAACGTGTTTGTGAGTGCCTCCGCGTCGTCGATGACAATGCTGCCAAAACCAATGTAGATTGGTGGTGTCCCAGCGTCGAGAAACTTAGCTAGCTCGGGATCCGGGTTGAAGGAGGGGGGGTCCCGAAAGAAGAATCCGCAGACATCTTTCATGGTGGATCAGCACGGAAAGTCGACACAGTCGGTATCCATATTAACTCACCGATATGAGCCGGCCAATCATCCGGCTTCGGTACCAGCGCCGGGGACCAGCAGTAGGTAAAGGGAACTTGGAGTGTTTCGGCCAAGCCCGGTCCTTCGGAGAAGGGAACGGGCTGAAGATCCAAGGTTTCCCTCCATTTGTTGATGATGTCGCCCAGTCTAGGTCCCAGTAACGTTACCAGGCAAGCTGTTAGTCAGGAGGATTCGATATCTGGAACTCAAGCACCGAACTCGACTCACCCTTGCCAAGTCAACCACTCAACCGCCTTGAAAGACACGTGGTTGGCCACCTCCCGTGGGATACCCAAATCTTCGTTTCCCTTCAGGTTCGCCAGCGGATGGCAGAAGCGTCTTGTGCTGGTCCACGGCATGGTGAACATGAGGTGCAGCGGCACGCCGAGGGCCTGGGCGCAGTGGACGTGGGCAAAGCTGGGTGGATTGGCGATGATGGCCTCGGCCACGAATGGCGTGTGCGTAGCGGGGTCCGGCTCGACACACGACCGCCAGAAGCCACCAAGCATCTCGGCCACCATCTTGCGCTTTTTGTGGACGTCGCCTGCCCGCAGGCTCCGCATGCTCGGCATCAGACCGGGGTTTTTGACCATGTAGGCCATCAGCTCGGCCGGGTCGCCGCCGACGGGGAAGAACTCGAGTCCCGAGGACCGGACGAAGTCACAGAACGTGTCGTGCGTGGCGAGGCGCACGCGGTGGCCGTGACGCCGCAGCTCCATCCCAAGAGCAACGAAGGGCTGTACATCGCCGCGGCTTCCAACGACCTGAATGACGATGTTCAGGCGGATGCTTTGCGGGCCTTCCTCGGTGTACTCGGGAGGAGGTGGAATATCTAATCTAGGCTTTGCTGGCGTGAAGTTGGGTGTGGACTCCGGAGGGACGAGGAGTGACAGTGTTCGGCAGAGACGTGATCCAAGATTGATGTCGACACGGCCATCGCCTGTCAGATGTTAGAGTTTTATAAAGATAATGGGCGGCTGCGGTCGCATGGCACCGGATTGAGGGGGTAATTCGGGCTTCTTACCAGTCGCCCACGCAGAGTCCTCGACTGGCTCTTTCATTATAGATTCTGACCTTGAAAGTGTAGGGCATGTATAGACTCTCCGGAAAGAATTGCGGATGAAGAAAGGAGGCCGAGATTGTTTCCGAGTCTCATATCCCATTCTCTTCGCCAGACGGCACTGAAGTCGTCTAAGCCACTGATGGGGCACACCATGGGCGACCACCCATGTTGGCCCCTGGCTCCAGTTGCCGCAAGTGACAAGTATAACCGTAGCGTTGCGGACCTTGCAGAGGATACAGGAAAACCTACCCGGACGAGGACCATACGTGTAGGCGTATTTCCGGGAAACTCTCGTACTCCCCGTATTTTAGTGGCTGTGATTGGTTCATTTGCGCTCTTTGAGTTCCGCCTTTTTCGCGTATCACAAATGCGAAAAAGGCGCCCCACCGCCCATACACCCGAGTTACCCCCACTCTAGTCCAAGGCTTGATTCTCAGCAGCGCCCAGCCAGTGCTTGAGAACGGAGTTTGCCGTTTCGGGAGGTGTGTGCTTTGGTAGATGGCCGACTATAATGACTCATGTCAACCGGAATCAGAGATCCTCTGGCAGCCGTGTTTCGAATTGGGATCGGCTCATGCTGCACCTGTGCACCGAGTACGCGGACGGGACTTCATGGTTGGCATCAGTCTTGAATTAGCTGCGGTGATCCGGAGGCCCTCGTGCTATCTTGGCGGAATCCAACCCATCTCTTCGGTCACCCAGCCCACCCAATGGCGATGCTCCTCGTCCAGCATGGCCCATGTCTTGTTCATCAAGTGGTCCGCCCAACCCTCCGCCCACCACTGGTTCTCGAGTTTCCTCAGCACGAGCAGACAATGCGCAAATATGACGACGGCTTCCTGCGGCGGTGAGGCGGCCTCGAGCAACGGGAGGAAGTTCCTTCCCTGCGTCCATTGCCAGATAAGAATGTCATAGGCTTCGATTTTGGTCCAGGCCGAACCCCCTGCCGCCGCTGCCAACGCTGATGCTGGTGATGCCGGTGTTCCATTTGTCAAGCTTAAGGCACCGTCAGACGGCGTCAGAATCAGGCCAAGCATGCGGCGAAGCTGCTGAATCATGTTGTCGTAGGTCGGGATGAGGTCAGGGTTGGTGCAGGTGCGGTGGATTGAGGATTGGAGGTCGGCCAGCAAGGTCGGGTCCCGGGGCGGTGTGGCCGTAAGGAACGGTCGCATGCGGCTCTTGCCATAGTCGAATAGGGGAGTCAGCGTACCGCGGTACTCCTTGGGATTCAGCATGTGCAGGATTGGTTCCATTCCATGAAGCAGACGCAACCAGTGGGGGATCAAGGGGCTCCCGGGTCCGAGATCAGCCTCGTTGATGGGACATCCCAATGCTGGAAGGAGATTTGTTAGCAACCTGGAGATATAATATGAAGAGTTTCTCAGCAACGGCGCACCATAGTAAACGGTCAGCATCGAAAACAGGTGGAATCTTTCGCACTCCTCAACCCTCAAGTCGGTCATCAGCTCGATGGCGACGGAGCTGGCGGCCTGATGGTGGTGCATGGCCCGCTCGAGGTAAAGAGTCTTCTTCTGCGGGCGATACCGAGACAGATGAAGAGCCGACACGGCTAGGATCGCCCGCATCAGATATTCACATTCGACGGCCATATGGACCGCCGTAGTCCGCAACATCTGCCGCACTGCCGGATCACTCGCGATGGTTGTGCAGGTATACGTGGTGAAGTTGTGCATGAGCTCGAGATCGATCAAGTTGAGATCGCATGTCGACGGCACTGACCCCTGAGGTTGAGACGGTGTCGACGATTCCCGGGGTGACTGCGCGGTTGTCGAATCGGCCAAAACCTGAGACTTGACAAAGTCACATGTCACGGCGTGTCTTTCGCAATTGCGACATGACGGCCTGCCTTCATCGCACTGCTAAATGTATCAGACAAGGTGAACAAGGACCTCGGGATGATTGGGAGTTGCTAAGAAACACCACTGGTAGTGGAACAACAAGAGAAAACAAGAATTCGGGATGAACTAAGACAACAGGAATATAGGTATATGGGCCAACCTTGATCCTACGACGCTTGCAAGTCCGGCATCCCGTCCGCGATTTCGCGTGAGAACGGCGATGCACCGTGACCGCGTTGGGTCGAACACGTCGGCTACTGTCCCTGTTGTCCTGTGGCCCATCTGTCGGGCAAGTCGCAGGAGCAGCATGTATAAGATTGCCACTATACGCATTGGGCGAGCGTCCCTCTGGTGTCGCCATTGGATGTGATCAAACCCTATCAGCAGGTTTTGCTGGGTGGCATCGATGGACTTCGTATCTAATGCGAAAACGAGACAGAAAACGAGTGGAATCGGTGGTGGGGCGGAATGCCCCTCTTCCGAATCCGAGATGTTGTGGCCACTCCGGTTCCACAATTTTCCGTCCCTAAACGCAATTTGCGACAAATGTTCTGAACTGGCACAAAAATTGGCCCTTCAACGCGTGATGTCATTAAATGGCTCCCCTATGAATTAGAATAGCTGGATCTCGGAACCAGCCTACACAAACCCCTTGCTGTAATCCTCACGGCCCGGCGGTGGTGCCAAACTTCCGGAACTCACGATACTCCCTGTAAGCCAGCATGCAAAGATGAACAGAGACGAGACTGCGCATAGTCAGCATTAGACGGCATCAACAGAACGAAAGAGTTGTGGACTCACAAGATGACGATCACCACGATGGCGCTGACCCAGGCCACGCCGCAGCTACTACCGCTGCAAAATTTCGAGATGCCCATGAACTTGAGGATGATGAGGGTGAGCCAGAAGACGGGCTCGATGCAATTGAGGATGCAGTTGGCCTTTAAGCTCTTCCATCTGGCGAATCGTCTCGTGTGCTCGGTGAGAAGTTGATACAAGATGATGATGATGGATTTGATGGACTAGTAGGTTGACCTCTTGCGTTAACCCCAATCTCAAGGCAAGTTATTAAACTCGCATAGACATCGAAGACTTACATAAACGATGCCCATGATGTCGGGCCGGGTGACGAAGGGAGCCAAGTTCATGTACACACCCGTAAGGATGAGCAACACAATGACAAGGACAAGCACGGAGATGTGGTCCCGCAGCTTCCATTTCAGGTCAAACATGCCGCTCAATTTGTGGTACATGAGGTGGTGTGTGTGTTCTTGATGAGAAGTCGGGGCTGGGGATGCAAACATGAAAAAGAGGTTCTGGTGCTTTTTGGAGCAAGCTTTCAATAAGTACTCTACTTTCCCCCTATTTGTCTCTCTTGATAATGTTTTCATCCTCCTCACCCGTCTGGTTTCATTTCCTCATTCCGAGTCCTCCATGTCCTGTATTGCTGAGAGGCTGAGCACGTCGTTCGCTTACCTCGTGTTTCTCGTGTTTGTGGGTTTGGCATGGCACGCACCAAGATAGCAGCCGCCAAATTTGACGGTGGCCACGTGTTTTTACTCCTCCACTTTTTCCTTTCCAGCTCCTCGACACCTCATCGCCGTGACTCGCAAGGATATCTCTTCCCTCAAAGCAGACCGACTTTCCACCACAGTCTCAAGAATTTTCCACGGTACGAGATCGGAATTTGTAACGCGAATCAACCGATTTTCAATGCTTGTGTCTTGCACTCGCCGATATTATATCGTCAAAACTGCTTCGTTGTTTTGTATCCGAAACTCCAAAACCTTATGTTACACAGTCCAAGTCCGAGGCATCATCCATTTCGAAAAATAAAGCCCTTAATTCTCAATTCCCTTTTCAATTCTCGACCGCTCGGCCAGCCGTTGCATTATGCCAACCACCGCAACTTAAATAATACACCCGCATTTCCTTCACTGTCATCCATATCAAATCGGCTAATCTATCGCGACTCCCCGGGCCAGAGGTCGTAGCCAAACGTGTCCTTCATGTTGACGAACCGGAAATGCTTCCCCCGGGCCACGGCCTCGACCGCGTTGAACTCCTCGTCGGTCAGGTCAGGCACTTGAAAGTTGCTCTCGATGCGGCTCGGCGTTGAGCTCTTGGGCAGCACCACGTAACCCCTCCGCAGGCCCCACGCCAGCAACACCTGCGCCAGGTTGTGCCCGCTGTGCTTGGCCACCTCGTTGAGCGTCGGGTCATCCCGCACCCGCTCGCCCGTCGACGGCACCTGGTTTTGCGACCCTAGCGGCGAATAGGCCGCCGGCATGATCTGGTTGTCGAAGCAGAACTGGACCAGCTCCGTGTTGGGCAGGAACGGGTGGATCTCGATCTGGTTGACGGCCGGCTTGATGCGCGCGAACCGCAGCAGCTTCTGCAGCCCCTCGATCGTCCAGTTGGACACGCCGATGGCCCTCGCCTTGCCGCTGTCGGCCAGCTCCTCCATCGCCCGCCACGTCGGCTCCGGGTTGTCGGTTAGCTCCCTGTTAACGACGTACTTGCCGTGCGGCCCGGTCCTGACGCTGTAGTCGTCGTTGCGCTCGGCCGCGATCGGCCAGTGCACGAGGAAGAGGTCGACGTAGTCAACCCTCAGCTTGGAGCACGAGTTCTGCAAACTCCACTTGACGTCCTCGGGCGCGTGCAGGTGGTTCCAGACCTTAGTGCAGATGAAGATGTCCTCGCGCTTGACGTTCGGGTTCTTGCCGAGGAAGTCGTGCACCGCGTCGCCGACCTCGTCCTCATTCTGGTAGAACCATGCGCAATCGAGGTGGCGGTAGCCGACTTCGAGCGCCTTGGTCACCGCCTTGTACGTCTCTCCCTTCTCTCCCTCGTTGGCGAACGTGCCGAAGCCGACAGCGGGGATCCTCACGCCATTGTTGAGCGTGTATGTCTTTGAGGAACCCGTGCCTGTGGTCATCTTGTATCGTCGGACAAACTTGTCTGGTCTGGCGTGAAAAAATGGGATGCAGTTGAGAGGGCGTTTGCTGATTAGAGGCTCAGAGACGGCAGCAACGATCTTCGTGTGAAAGCCCCTTGAAGCCGACTTTCTGGAATGATACCACGAATAAATTCCGCCCAACATGCTACCACTCAGAAGCCTGCCACCTTGGTAGTGTTCTCACGGCTCTGACGGCATCTTGGTTCGGATCTCGCGTTTGACATCTGCAAGACACTGCTGAGGTAATGCCAAGGGTCCAATTGCACGTCAAGAGCGGTTCCACATTGTGACGTTTAGAAGGGACTCTTGGCTCCACCGCGGATCTGAGGATCTTCGGTTGACAGCAGGGCAAGACAGGTTGCATGAAAAGTCTGGCGGCGGCGTTTCGATCGGGCCTTTGGAATTCTGGAATCCACTTCCAGGCTGAGTGGAGTTTGGATCTCCAACGCTTGAGTCATGAAGCGATCCCGTTTCCCCTGAGTATGGTTTTCGGCCGTCCTAGTGTACGCGGCTACACGCAGTACCGGATCGCATGGAATACAGGCAACGCGGCCGTTTCAGCAGCCAAGCTTGCCAAGGCCAGCGTATCTCCAAAGGTGCCGATAGAGCCGGATAGGCCCCGAAAGGGCGTCAACCAAGCCAGCGGAAATTTTGTGCGCCACGGCGGCGAACGACGCTGGCATGGGCTCCGCCAACGCCCCTCCAACTACACTCCCTTTTCTGCAATTTCTCAGTGGCTGGAGACCATGACGACATCGACATACGGGCTGCAAACGCCCATCGAAAGCTTCAGATTCCACCGCAGTTTGACGGAGCTTGCGTTTTACAGGGTTATGCAAATTCTGCCGATCGCCCCTGAGAATCTTGGCCGCCACAAGCAGGTACAAGCCTTACCTTCGGTCCCGATTTAGGAATCACGCGCGGAATCACCCAGAGCCGCAACACGGCATGTGAATATGGATGTACCATGCCATACGATGATGAAACGGATAGTCGGGCACCTCCCGTGGAGACACGGTGGAATTCTTCACAGCCACCACCCCATCATGTCGTCATGACGGAGCTTCGCTGGTGGGTATGTTGGAGTATTTGACACGGCCGCCGCTTGGATGAGACACGCGGACGGCCTCCAACTTGAGAAACCGAGCAGAGCATCAAGACATTGCAGACGAGTTCACATCCCGGACAGGGTTGTTCCGATGAGGTTTGGAAGATTCGCACCCTTCCTACTGGATATAAGGTTTTGCTTCATCTCGACAGACACTTAAAACTTTCGAAACCACAAACCTCCAACCCAATCTGATCAAGTGCTCTCTTTATCTTTTCCTGCCCATTCAGTCATCATGTCGAAGCCGGGATTCAAAGACGTCGACTTTGGTGCCACACCAGAGAAGCAAATGGACACTCCGCCAGATTCCCCTGAGAAGACGACACACCCCAAGTCCTTCCCCATTCAACGCAAGAAGCCGGATAACATCTGCACCAGCCACGCGGTCCATTCCAGACAAGACAACCTAGGCGAAGGCCACAAACGGAACGTGAGCTGGGCCGGCCTCGGACACGATCTTAGCATCCCGATATCACCCACCTCCCACAACACCATCGAGGTCCCGGCGCTGAGGTCTCCCGACGCAGACTCGACGCAGTTCTTCCACCACCTCTCGGGATCACCGTCCCTCAGAGAGCGGAGGGTGTCCCGCAATTCATTCGGCGCCTCACTGCCCATTCCAAAGTCCAAGAGGCAGTCACGGCTCAGTAGCGTCACATACCCTGCTGAGGTCAGAGAGGCGCTCATCAAGGATGGAAAACTTGGCGGCGCGGTGCAACCGTCACGCAACATCCTGACGTCGCAGGTGCAAGATGTACTCGCCCACAAGGTGGCGGCGGCCAAGAACATGGCTTTCGTCTTCGACATTGACGGCGTGTTGGTGCACGGAGATCGGCTCATCCCGCAGGCCAAGCGGACGCTCGAGATGCTCAACGGCGACAACGAGCTGGGCATTAAGATTCCGCACATCTTCCTGACTAATGGCTCAGGCAAGCCCGAGAAGGCGCGCACCGAGCAGCTGTCTAGAATCCTCCAGAACCCCATCAGCACAGAGCAGTTCATCCAGAGCCACACGCCGATGCGCGCCCTGGCCGAGTACTACCACACGGTCCTGGTCGTGGGCGGCGAGGGCTACCGGTGTCGCGAGGTCGCTGAGGAGTACGGCTTCAAGGACATCATCGTGCCGAACGACATCGTCGCTTGGGACCCGTCTATCGCGCCGTACCGCGTCTTCACCGACGCGGAGCGCGCGTCTTCGCGCCCGCGCGACTTCTCTCGGGTCAACATCGACGCCATCCTCGTCTTCTCAGACTCGCGCGACTACGCGACGGACATGCAGATCATTGTCGACCTGCTGCGGTCCGAGAAAGGGCGGCTTGGGACCCTCGCCAAGGATCCCGTGTCGCAGCGCATCCCCATCTACTTCTCGCAGGGCGACCTGCTCTGCCCGACCGAGCATCCGTTCCCGCGCATGAGCCAGGGCGCCTTCCGCATCGGCCTCGAGGCCATGTACAAGGCTCTGACGGGTGTCGAGCTGGAGCGCGTGGTCTACGGCAAGCCCGAGCTGGCGACGTACAAGTACGCCGACGAGGTCATCGCCTCGTGGATGGACGTCCTTCACGGCGAGGAGCGCGTGCCGCAGAACGTCTACATGATTGGCGACAACCCGGCCTCCGACATTGTCGGCGGCAACATGTACGGGTGGAACACCTGTCTGGTGCGCACGGGCGTGTTCCAGGGCGGTGACAATGACGACGAGAACCCGGCCAGCTTTGGCGTCTTTGACAACGTCTGGGAGGCCGTCACGGCCGCCTGCCGGAAGGAGCTGGGCGACGACTTTGGGTTCAAGTGGGATGAGCGCGTGGTGAACCCGGTGATGCACGACATGCATGCTGCGTCGGCGATTGAAGTTTGAGGCACACGGTCTGGCAATGGCGTTTGGGATGGGATTTGTCACGCGTATTCGGCTTGTAGGACCAGGAAGGAAAAAACAACAGGATAAATATCGAGATTACCTTTAGATACCAACCTCACAGCAAGTATACTGTGCTGGCTAGCTTTTCCTATCAATGTCACAACATATCATTATGGCCTTGGTCGATCATTCGCCTGGCGATGTGGATCATAAATTAGCTTTGTAGGAGCAGGTCTGAAACGTTGAACACTTAAGTACAGAATCCTTTCTGGTCTATGTGTACTACTGCTGCGCCATGTTTGATGAAGGTTTTCCTATATTCTCCCAGGTAAAATACTACTTACGCATTAAGCCCCCCCAAAAACACCTCCAGTTCCCTCAACGCGTCATAATCCCCATGAGGCAGAGCCCGCTTGAACCACACCCCCAGCTCAGTCAGACGGCACCGACAAATTGGAATCCTAGCCCTCTCGCTCTGCCCACCGCCCCAGACGGCCCAGCCCTCCCCGCGCTCCGTCCACCTCGTCAAGTCCGCATCGTTGATCCCCGCCGTGAAGAGATCAACCGCCGCCGCCTGAGCAGCCGCACCAACCGCAGCAGCAGCAGGATCGGAACCACCACTGGCAGGCAGACAGTCCGGGCAGGCGCTCGTCTGGGAAGCGTACGAGCAGACGACAATGGCGCTCACCAGAAGCCCCGGGATGGCGAGCGGGTTGGAGAGGAGGAGATGTCTCAGGCTACATGTACTGGATGTGGATGTGGATGTGAATTCGTGTGCAAGTGGCGGAAATAATTGATTGTTGACCGCATGTGCTTCTGCTTCTGCTGTAGCACCACTGGCAAAACGAAGGAGGCGTGCAATCTGCGAGGCACTGTACACGGCGGTACGGGCACACGGCGACGGCATCCACTTTCGCAGGCGTGCTCTCGGCTTCTGAGTGGCTGTCATGGCGGCGGCGGCGGCGGCGTTGGTGCCGTGGTGGTGAGCAAAGTGGCCGTAGATGATGCCACGGAGAACGATCAGCGGGGCGTGCATCTTGATGACGGACATGTGCCACAGGGTGAGGGTCAGGGGCGTGAAGGCCGAGTCCATGTCAGAAGCGCCGGTGATTATTGCTTGGCTTGAGGAGGCTGCTGTTGTTGTTGCTGTTGTTGTTGTCAAGTTCCAGTCATTCGGGTGCCCGCCGTCCTGGACCATCTTGGTGCACCATCGCCTCAAGTGGGCGCGCCAGAGGTCGATGGGCGCGCCGGGTAACAACTTGGTGACGATGTCGTCGGACGCGGCGCTGTGCGCCTCGCGCGCGGCCTCCCACACCCCGGTCTGCAGCGCGCACAGACCGAGGTGGTAGTCCATGCGGTTGAGGCGGTAGGGAAGCAGCTGGGACAGCTCGGAAGCGGCGTCACTGCCCGTGTCGGCGAGAGCGTCGCGCATGAGGTAGCCGAACAGGGCTCTTCCTCGCCCCGCGGGCTCGTCCCACTGCAACCTGCGCCGCTCTTCGTCGCTCGGAGACGCCCACAGTTGCGACGACTTTGGCAGTGGGATGCAGAACTCTTGGTAGCGTACCGAGGGCGGGTGGTCGAGTAGGACGCTGAGGTACGTGTCGATGCGGAGCACCGAGAATGCGAGCCTAAGCCTGTCAGCGAGGCTGCAAAATTGGACATTTAAGGGTACCTACCGATGGAGCTGCTCCTCGGCAAGCCAGAAGGTGAATGCACATTCCTCCAAGCGCTCGGGGAGGGTGTGACGGCCATGGAAGACTTCCAGGCAGCGGCAGGTCGAGACGAGAATGGTGTTGAGACGGACCGCGCGCGCCAGCATGCCTCGCTCACCCTGCCAGTCAGTTAGTGGGTGTGCTGGGTTTAACGTCGCGCGAACAGGAATTCCTCACTCGGCAGCAGATGGCATATATGACGCACAACAACAGGGCCTGCAAGGTGTGGAGCGACGGGGTTGAATCCTGTACCGTCCACTTGTCAGTCTGCCTTCCGAGAATCGCAAGTGCCGTCGCAAACACATACGAGTGAAGTGGCAGCAATGACCTCCTCCAATACTACAGAGGCCATCTGGACGTGATCCTCCCTCCCCGCGATCCAGCGGGAAAGCATAAGCATGGCTCCGAGAAGCAAGTCGGACGCATTCTCCAGCTCGAACGTGGGAACATGCAGAATCGGCCAGTACGGATGGATTTCGGCGAAGTATATCTGGACGAGATGACGACTGTTTGGCACATCTTGGCGGACCAGGGCGTGAAGGGCCTGGTTTGAGTAGGCGCCTTCTCTTGTTGGCGAGAGAGGGGTCTCCTCATCCGCAGCTATTGTTGATGCCTCTCCCGGCAATGTCCTGGGGGCAGGGGAGGGCGGGGTCGGCGTGTCGGCGAGGAGAGTCCACTCGGCCAGAGCCTGGGAAGGTGACTGGAGACGCGACACGGGATCAGGCGGCAATGATGAAGCAGAGAGCGGCCAGTGATGCTGTCCCTCAGACCACGCCGAGCCCAGCATGTCTTCGCCGTAGTTGGTGTCGCCTGTCGTCGGTGTACCACCTGCATTCGAACCTGCGCTCGTAGCTGGGCGGACGCAGGCAATGCCATTGGAGAGACAGGGCTGGCAGGGAGCGTCCCCGCCGCATTTGCGCTTCTGCCTGTGGCACGAGACACAGGCAGCCTTGGTCCGCCTGGATTGCTGTGGATGGAAGTCGATGTGCCGCTTCAGAACATCGCTAGTATGAGACTAATCAGTCCACAGAAGACAAAAATACGCACAGTTAAAGAGAGAAACGGGTGCCTCACCTCCTCATGTAGCGGCGCCCGCAAATTGGGCATTGATGCTGCGGCTGGGCGCCATGACACTTGATATGGCGCGTCAGGTGTTCCTTTCTGGTGAAGCGCCTGCCGCAGCCCGGGACACTGCACTCAAACACCCGTGAGAGGGACATTCCAATGTACGCTGGCAGGAGTGGATGGTGAGGATACTCCGTTTATCCACAGATTCTAATTCCTGTCGCCCACACGGCCCGGCTATGGTCACCCAGTGTGGTACCTGGTGGGGGACTAATCTCAATCGCGATGGCTCTGTGAGGATGGTTCGTGGGTTAGTCGAGTCGAGATGATGTGGGATGGTCCCAATTGTATGTAAGCGGGCGGCTATGTGGGATGGTCTATGGGTGTATTATTAAGGCACGGACGACGGGTGGACTAAGGTGTGGATTAATGTGGGATGGCGCATTCAGGCAGTCCAACACGTCCACTGTTCCCGATTGGCCAACTTTTGTTTTTGATTGCATCCATGATCCTACACCGGGGTTTAGTTTTGCCTGGATTCGCCAGGTTCCGTCAAAGCCTCGATATGGAATGTAGGAGACTGGGAGACCATTAATACCAGCCTCAGCGACCGTCAGTCTCTCGCTCACCACCGTACTCTAGAAGGTACTAACACATTTACTATCAGTGGACTCGGCCACCGGTAATATCCCACCCCGTGCGGCCACCCATCACACTCCATATTACATCATTAAAGCAACATGAGCGGGACGATCACAAGAGTCGCCCTAGCCGGAGTATGCCAACCCCTCTCGGTCTGCTGCCGTTGATGGAAATGTCGGACGAGAGTTAACTCTGCTTTCTTCTAATCTTGCAGGCGACCGGCAACCTCGGCCCCGCCATCCTCAAGCAGCTTCTCGCAGCAAACTTCCAGGTGACGGTCCTCACCCGCGCCAGCAGTACCACCACCACCACCAAGCACAGCTTTCCCCCCTCAGTCCGCGTCGCGCCAGTCGACTACGACTCGCTCGGCTCGCTAGTTGCCGCGCTCCGCGGCCAGGACGCCGTGGTCTCGACTCTCACCTCGGCGGCGCTCTCCAAGCAGCTGCTGCTAGTCGAAGCCGCCGCACAAGCGGGCGTCAAGCGCTTCATTCCCAGTGACTTCGGCTCCAACACGGTGCACCCCCGAGTCGCGGCGTTGCCATCGTACGCCGACAAGGTGGCCGTCCAGAAATCACTCCAGGCCAAGGCGGCCGCGGAACCGGGTGCGGCATCGCTGACATACACCATCGTGCTCAACGGGCCGTTCCTGGACTGGGGCCTGGAGGTGGGCTTCGTGCTGGACGTCAAGAACCGGCGCGCGACGCTTTACGACGGTGGCGACCGTGTCTTCAGCGCCACCACCCTGCCGACCGTTGGCAAGGCCGTCGCCGCCGTATTGCGGAAGCCCGACGAGACGCGCAACAGGGCCGTGTACGTGCACGACACGGCCACGACACTTCGGAAGCTGTACGACATGGCGCGGAAGGCGACACCCGGGGAGAAGTGGACGGAGGAGGTTGTCAGTGTGGACGGCCTCGTGGCGCAGGCTTGGGATGAGCTGACGAAGGAAAACCCTGATCCGGAGAAGTTTGTCATGAAGTTCATCAGTGCTGCGATTTGGGGCGAGGGCTATGGGGCCCACTTTGAGACGACGGATAATGAGCTGGTCGGTATCAGGGAGCACACCGAGGACGAGGTGCAGGCTGTTGTCCAACGCTATGTTTAGCGATAGGGTTTGGTAGATTCTTTATATCTTGACTGGATGAGGCAATGTAGCTAGCCTTTGCGGATGCCATTGAGGACTGGCGTGCAATGCTTATTGCATTACCAAGTTCTCAAGTCATCCTAGGAATTTAGGTTGCAATGTTATTTAGTTGCTTACCAGCCGGCCACTGACCCTGGGATCATACGTCCATGATTTGCATGGACTATCACTCGGGAATAAGTATGTTGAGGTCATACATGGTATTGCTTTCCTGTGTCAATGCAAACAGGAAATGGCCGCATCCATCGTCAGGTAGGACCAGACGAGTTCTGAAAACACCCATCATGGCATCATCCGAAATATTTCAAACTTCGGTCCCCGAAGCCGGCAATTTTCTTAACGGAGGCTGGTACTCTGCGAATCTTACCGGGCATGACTTCAAGTCATCTTAGTAATTCTGGTGATGCGTAGCTGCTCGTAAGCAACTCTCCCACATGTACCGAGCGGGATTACCGGATTAGGCAAGCACGTACATGCCTCTCAGCGACATCAGGAGGTTGACTAAGACTGTCGAAAAAGCATAGGAGGATGCCTGCTAGTCGCGAGAATGCTGAGTTTATAGCAATGTCGCCGTCATCACTATAAAAGCACAACTCGCTCTGGAACCTCCTTGAATTACTAATAATGACTCCCGCAACCTGAATTAAACCTAGTCCAAGCGCCCGACCTGAACAACTCGCCATGAAGGTTGAATCCACTACAACAATGGCCGACTGCCAGGGCGCCACTACCAACACCTCAACCAATCCCACCCACCCCATCAACAAGCCGCTCTTCCTCATAGCCGTAACCCTCATCCAACTCGTCCAATCAATACCCCTCGGCGCCGGCATCAACACCGGCCTCTTCATCGCCGCTGCCCTCTCAGGCCCATCCTCCTCCTCCTCCTCCTCCTCCCACACCTCCGCCTCGGGAGGAGCATGGATCACTGCCTCCTACCCCCTCACGCAGGGCACCTTCGTGCTCATCGGCGGCCGACTGGGCGCCGTGTACGGACACAAAACGATACTCGCCGCGGGCGCGCTCTGGTGGGTCGTCTGGGCACTCGCCGGAGGCTATGCCACGGATCTTGTGTCGATGTGTCTGATGAGGGGATTGTGTGGGATGGGAGGTGGGTTGATGACGCCGAATGTTGTGGCGCTCATTGGGGTGAACTTCCCACCGGGAAGAGTCAGGAATCTCGGCATGGCTCTGTTTGGGGCCGCGGCGCCGGTTGGGGCGGCCGGTGGGAGCCTTGTTGCCGCTGTTGTGGTGCAGTTGGCCGGGTGGAGGTGGTTGTTTTTTATGCTGTGAGTGCATGTCGGCTGAGAGCATTCTGAGTGGTCTGGTGCGACGAGTTTCTTTGCTGACTGAATGCTCTAACTGCAGTGGTCTTCTTGGGGCGGTGGTCTATGGAATTGCTTTTGCTGTAGTTCCCGGGGATGAGCCTGTCGATGCAAACGGCATTGTGGATTACGCGGGCGCGTACTTCGGAGTTGGGGGCCTCACCTTGTTCAACTTTGTTTGGAAGTAAGTCAACCACTCATTGTTCAGTGGCACCAAATCCGGTATGTGCTGACTTCGTTTCTAGCCAAGCGCCCGTCGTTGGTTGGGGCGAGCCGTATCAGATCGTCCTCCTACTTGTCTCAGTCCTCCACTTTGCCGCCTTCTGGTACTGGGAGACTAGGGTTGCGGGGGAGCCGATCCTCCCCTTCAACATCTGGAAGAGCCCTTCCTTCGGCATTCTCATGATTACCATCTTCTTCTCCTACATGAGCCTGGGCATCTTCTTCTGGTACATGAACGTCTACATGCAGACCATCCGAGGGGACAGTCTGATTCAAACCGGAGTCCAGTACCTGCCACTCACCATCGTCGGAGCGATCAATTCGTTCTTCGCTGCCTGGCTGGTGCCCCGTGTCCGCTTGCAGCTCATCATCGGCACAGGCTGCTTCGCCATGGTGGTCATCAACGTGCTGCTCGCCACCATCCCCGCCGACATTACCTATTGGGTCATGGCATTCCCCGCCATGCTCGTCTCGGCTTTCACCATCGACTTGATCACCACCAGCGCGCAGATCATCGCGAGCAACACAGTGGCCATGAAGCACCAGGGCGTTGCCGGCTCCCTCGTCGGCACTCTGCTTAGCTACGGCATGAGCACCGGTCTTGGATTCGCCGGCACCGTCGAGATGCACACGTCTGAGCATGGGGTCAACCTGCTGAGAGGTTACCATTCGGCCGCTTACCTCGCCGTAGGCATGTCCGGGTGTGCGCTGTTGCTGTGCTTCTTTATTCAAATTCCTAGAGACACAATAGAGGGATGGGTGGTTGATGACATGCCGGCGGCCGAGAGAAGGTAGGTCTGAGTTTCCCGGAAGGTTCCGGTTAGGGGTAGACCTCGGCTACAGACGAAAGGATTTGACCAAAACTGAGCAAGGCGTGAGGTACTCATTGTAATCAGAGTTCATAGACATGGATGCGTTGCGAGTGTAGCAGCTGGGAGCCCTGAATTGTTGCAATGCTGGGTCGTTCTCATTGATACAACCCTTGAATCTAGAAACGATACGCTGCGGTCACAGGATAACATAACAACGGCAACGTTGCAGAGTTTGATTTATTTTGAGAGCTTTGAAAGCAATGTAACTAGGGCACTGATTCCTTGGGCACGGTGGTAGCGCTTAAACATGGTACGGTCCCAAGTCCAGTCAAGCCCTTGAGGATATCATTTAATGTTGCCACGAAACTGGAACCTCCCTTTGGGTAACTATAGTCAGCGCCTCCGTCTTAGTCGGCCCGAACCACATGTGATTCGGCATTCGAAGCCGCCAGTGTCTGATTCATTTCAAGTTACCTCGGCCTCTGGACTCTTCCAGAACAATGCGGCTTTGCCGTCTTTGGTTCTTGAAGTTAACTATCAAGGTTCCGTTTGATCCGGCCCAGGAACCTGGATCGCCTAATTACTGCTGTATTCATTATTGAAAGGGGTAAATGCTCCTCGCTCACTGAGGTAGGCTGCAAGCTTCACCTCCTGACGGCGGAAATAACGCTGCTGCAACCGTATTACCGGGGATGCTCCAATGTTAGAGAGGACTGGGAGACAGTGGAGGTGTTGTTCCTCACCATCACCAGGCTGCAATTTGGTAAGGTCACCTTACCTTGGGAACTCAGAGGCTCAAACTGGCGCTCCCTTCCACGGTCCCCTCGTCCCGTTCTCTTCACATCAACTAGCGTCTAATATCTCATGCAAGCATCTCCATCTTACATGGCACTTTGAGTTTGGCATCCCTCCCTTTGGGCACTTGACGCTGAAACACGCACCCCTGACCCCAGAGCTACCCCGACCCCTCTAGGGTAAGCAACGAATCACAACCCCCCACCATTGTCTCGACCTTCCTCATTCGTCCACAAGTTGGAGAGCTCCAGCTCGTGGCCCGGTATCCGGTGATCTCAGCTGCATGCCAATGCCGGGCACGCGGAGATTATAGCGGAATTGAGTCTTTGTCCCGGGATCGCCACCAGCTCCCCAAAGGCCAAGCTCCTACAATACCACGGCTGCTGTAGATTTTAGTAAGTCTGATAAGCGCCGAGATGGTGTGCCAAGGGCGTTGCATGTTACAAGACCACGGCCTGCTGATGTGTTGCCGTTTTCAATGCTGATATCAAAAGTTCCAGTGTTGCGATGTTCGGCCTCTTCTCCGGATCGTGCCCATAAGCCGGCTCGAGTTTCAGCCTGGGGAGCTGGATGGTGGGGCATTCAACAGGAAGAGAGCTAGCTAAAGGGCACGCGAGCACGAGTCACATTCACTATACTCTGTGATTGCCATGTCAACTGAGAATTTCTGACAGCAACGTTGCAGTTCGAGTCTTTGAGACCATTGAGAACGGGAAACATGGGAAATATTGGCGGTTCTGGAGATTCACTCTGGGCCGTGGAAACGTTGAGTCGGCTCGCTTGAGTGACAGGAGGCCTTCAGGGGCAGCCCAAGGATGGAGATTATTGCCTACAACCACATCTTCAACTTCCAGTCATGTGAGGACGGTGAGGAGTATAAGGCCTCACATTCCCCCCGGTGTTCAAATCAGCCTGATGAGTAGCCGCCAGACAGACTCGTAGGCAACGGTCACCTGCAGAACATATCCTCCGCTTCCCATCATGGCCCTCCCGTTCAACATGAAGCAAGCAGCACTCGCTGCGTTGTGCGTCTGTGCCACCCTCGCCCGTGCATCGCCAGTCCCTTCGTACAATGGCTCGGCAGACGTCGAGATAGACAAAAGGCAGTCACCCGGCTACCAGAACGCCGTTTACTTTACCAACTGGCACGTACCTTAGCACTATGATATCCCAAGCCGACTGGTTTGACCGTAACTGACATCTTGATGTTCAGGGGCATCTACGGCCGCAACTACCAGCCGGCGGATCTGCCGGCCTCTCAGCTCACACAAGTCCTCTATTCGTTTGCCAATCTGCGGCCGACTGGCGAAGTATTCTTGTCTGACACCTGGGCCGACACCGACAAGCACTACCCGGGAGATTGTGAGTCTCTGCTTCTACCGCTGACCAATGTACCTCGAGGCGATCTGACGCGTCACAGCCTGGAACGACGTGGGCAACAACGTCTACGGCTGCGCCAAGCAGCTCTACCTGCTCAAGAAATCCCACCGCCAGCTCAAGACGCTGCTCTCCATTGGCGGTTGGACCTACTCGCCCACCTTCCCCGCCGCAGCGAGCACCGCCTCCAGCCGTGCCCTCTTCGCCTCCTCGGCCGTCCGTCTCCTGGCCGACCTGGGCTTCGACGGCATCGACATTGACTGGGAATTCCCCGCCAACCTAACCGAAGCCACCAACTTCCTCCTCCTCTTGCAAGCCGTACGCTCGGCCCTCGACGCCTACGCCGCGCAGCACGCGCCCGGCTACCACTACCTGCTGACCATCGCCGCTTCTGCGGGACCGGCAAACTACAAACTCCTCGACCTCAAGGCCATCGCCGCGACGCTCGACTTCGTCAACCTCATGGCCTACGACTATTCCGGGCCCTGGGTGTCCACGGCCGCCCACCAGGCCAACCTCTTCCCCAGCAACAGCAGCACCACGCCGTTTTCTACTCAGGCCGCGATCCAAGCCTACCTCGCCGCCGGCGTGCCGGCGCGCAAACTCATCCTCGGCATGCCCATCTACGGCCGTTCCTTCGCCAGCACGGACGGCCTGGGCAAACCCTACTCGGGCCCGGGCCAGGGGAGCTGGGAGGCGGGCGTGTACGACTACAAGGCGCTGCCGCGGCCTGGCGCCGAGGTGCGGTACGACGAGGTCGCCGGCGCGAGCTACAGCTACGATGCGGCCTCGAGGGAGTTCGTGACGTTTGACACGCCCGATATGGTCAGGCGTAAGGTGGAATGGCTGAAGGGGAAGGGGCTGGGTGGGAGCATGTTCTGGGAGGCGGCGGCGGACCGGAAGAATTCCGAGAGTTTGATCGGGACCAGTTTTGCTGGGTTGGGAGGAGTGGATGGGGGGATGAATTGCTTGAGTTATCCGGACAGTCGGTATGATAATGTCAGGGCTGGGATGCCGTGAGTTTTGGATGGTAGCTTGTTGGGAAGTGCATGTTGCTATGGGAGAATAAGGTAGGGGGTGCGAGACGTACGGGGAATATTTGTGCAGTTCTGGGTTCAAGCCTCGTTTCATTTCTGTTTATTATTTTTGTGTATAGTTATACTGCAATGCTTCCCACTCGATATTTATCTCATTAACCTACCTTAGTGATAGGACATAAGTTGCTAGCGGCGGTATCTCAAATTAACCTTGCAGGCTCCATAGTCGTATCCAACTCCGCGGCGGATTGAGTGGTGGTAGTTAAGGACAACGATCCCTGCCACAGGGGGAGTACTCTCTAAACCTAGAGTACATTGTCCTTACACTCGAAGCAGCTTGACAAGTTTCCCCGAGTCCGAATGATCGGAGGAAGGTACCGCTTTCCCCTCCTCAATCCCCGATTCTGGAGCAGGTCTCCTGCTTGTAGCAAGAACTTGCATTTCGGACGATCTAGATTGGGAATAGTAACCTCAACAACAACTGATGTTATATTGCACCGTTCCGAGCCTGGTTGCAAGTTGTTTACCAGCAACATCACAGCAACGTCATGTCAACAATGATAACGGCCGGCCGATGGAAATACCGCTCAGACTATTGTGATGTAATGACAACGACATTGATAGCGCTCGGCCGTCTGATGGTGCCGGACCAGCTCAGGGAATCGGGCCACTTGTGGCATGTGAAAGTGTCAGCGATAAGAACACGGGGTTTTCGGAATTTCAGGACGACTTCGATGTCCTTGCCTAATCTCGAGTATGTTTACTAGAGTATGTTTTATCTAAGCCAACGCGACAAGGGTATAAAACACGGGTCTTCCCACCATAGCCGCCTGCTCCAGTTCAACGATTCTCCAGCATCTTATTCCTCGGTTCATTGTGAGCACCGCTGGTCATGGCCCCCCACATCAAAGCGCCGTCGATGGACGGCATCAACGGTCGGGACGTGCACTCGCACCTGGAGGAGCTGCTCACTGAAGCTCGGCGCGATATCCTCAGTCAAACTGGCCGCATCGTGCCCGATTTGAACTTCCTGCTCGGCGCCGGTGACCTTGCTTTACACCGTTTACACGGCGGTCTGATGGACGATCGCAAGTACCTCGTATGTGTCTTCAGACTTAACAATCGCTGCAATCCCCAGTAACTGGTGTACGTGAAATGAAATACTAACCGCAGCACACTTGTGGGACAGGTTGAACAAGTCATCCAACTTGCCGCATCACTGCCCAATGGCTCCAGGCTCCGCAGCGCCCTCAACGCGAGTTCATCGACACGCTGTGGAAAAATCTGCAGCATCCACCGCTTGCCTACCTAGGCAACGAGTTCAGGTACCGCACCGCTGATGGTTCCAATAACGTATGCTCCCCCTTGGAAAGTGGACGAATATCTGGAGTGAAAGCCTTATGACATTGGACTCGACAGAACATCATGTATCCTCGCCTTGGCGCCGCCGGAAGCCATTACGCTCGAAGCGTAGCCCCAAAACGTCACGTACCCATTAACCGTCCCGACCCATCCATTATCTTTGACAGTAGGGTGTGCCTTTTTCAGATACAACATGCAATCCGCTGACATGATATAGCTCTCCTGGCGCGGAAGGGATCGGCAAGGGAACATCCGACAAAGGTCTCGAGTGCTCTCTTCCATTTCGCCACCATCATTATCCACGGTGAGGACCAGAAGCTAGCTCACCTTATGCTACATTTATACTGATCAGGATCCAGATCTCTTCCACACGGACGAAAAAGACAACACAAAGGTGAAGAATTCGTCGTATCTAGACTTGGGCCCTCTCTACGGCCACAACCAGGCCGAGCAAGACAAAGTCCGGGCATTCAAGGACGGACTGTTGAAGAAGGACGTCTTTGCCGAGCCGAGACTTCTCGGTCAACCGCCGGGTGTTTGCGCTCTCATTATAGCCTTCAACCGCTTCCACAACTACATTGTCCGGGAGCTCGCCATCATCAACGAGAGTGGCCGTTTCAGCCTACCCGCTGAAGGCCAGCGCGACTACAAGGAGGCTCTGGAGGATCGGGATAATGCTCTGTTTCAGACTGGAAGGCTGTACGTTGCAGAGATGCCGAGCTTCCCCGACTATTCCTGGGTGCTAATCAATCGGCGTCGCAATTGCACACAGCATTACATGTGGTCTCTACATCAACATCGTTCTTGGGGACTACCTCCGCACCATCCTGAATCTCAACCGCAGTCCAGTTCAATCGGACTGGAAGCTGGACCCGCGAGACGACTTTGCGGACGTCTTTAATGCCGAGGGGACGCCTAGCGGAATCGGCAACCAAGTCAGCGTCGAGTTCAATATGATCTACCGGTGGCACAGCACTACGAGCGACGCCGACGTGGCGTGGCTCAAGAAGTTTACCCGCCAAGTCTTTGGTGATCAGTCCAACGTTGGTGAGTCAATCTCAGGCGGGCGACCCCGAGTTGGAGCGATATCATGATTTGCGCTGACGAACCCGCTTTTCTTTCCTTCTAAAGACGACATGTCCATGGAAGAGTTTCGGAATGGCGTGCGCAAATGGGCATCGGACATGCCCAAGGAACCTGAGAAGTGGACGTTTGAGGGCATGAAGAGAACTGAAGATGGCAGTTTCCCTGATGCCGAGCTTGTCAATCATCTCCGGGCTGCGACAGACAGCGTGGCAGGTAGGTCGTTGACTGTACAAGAACCTTTTTATGTGTCTAACTTACTAACGCGCTTGCCTCCCTCCTTTTTAAAGGAGCGTTTGGCGTTTACAATATTCCCCCGGCTCTGAAAGTCATTGAGATGCTGGGCATCCAACAAGGCCGTGAATGGGGCCTCGCGTCGCTCAACGAGTTTAGAGCATTCTTCAAGCTCCAGCCATACTCCACGTTTGGTAAGACAAAAAGGCTCTAGTCACGTATCTGCGGCAAGATCGAAGCTGACAACAGGTAGCCGAGATAAACTCTGATCAGTCTGTGGCTCATGCATGTAAGCTCTTCTCCTGCTGATGCAATCCAAGTCATTTGCGAGTGTGGCTGACCTAGGCACGCAACAGTGGAGGCACTGTACGGACATCCAGACAACGTTGAGCTCTACCCGGGGATTTTGTGCGAAGACACTAAGAGTCCCATGGCCCCGGGGTCTGGATTGTGCCCTGGGTTCACCACTTCCTTTGCCATCCTCTCTGATGCTGTCGCTCTCGTCCGTGGGGACAGGTTCTACACACTTGACTACAACGTTTCCAGCCTGACCAGCTTCGGGTAAGCCATCATGCATCTGGACAAATTCAGTGGGATATGTCCCAGTTGGCAGCGACCTAACTTGAACGTCATCACAGTCTTGATCAGGCCAGTTCGGACCCCGAGGTCGCGGGCGGCGGAGTGATGTACAAGCTGCTGATGAGGGCTTTCCCTGGATGGTACCGTGGAAATAACGTGTACGCCCTGTACCCATTCACAACTCCCGAGGGAAGCCAGGAGATCTTCGCGAAGCAGGGTACTTTGCAGCAGTTCGACTTCAGCCAGCCGGCATTTGCCGGCGGCCGTCCGCACCCGATCACGACATGGCAGGGCGTTGTCCATGCGCTGAAGGACCAAGAGCATTTCCGTTGCTCATGTACGTAAAAGTGACCGCTTCTACTACCATTTTTTGTGCCCATGTGGTTCAAACTGACACAATCCAATGATAGGGGGCCAGCGCATATTCCAACTCACCCACCACGACTACATGCTGAGCGGCGACAAGGTCGACAATACCCGCCAGAGACTCCTGGTCAAGGAATGTCTGTACGGTCCCGAAGACGGTCTCGCCCAAGTGCGTCACTTCTACGAGGAGATCACCACCCAACTCATTCTACAGAACCGTGACAGTCGCAAGATTGGCGATCGGTACCAAGTCGACATTGTGAGAGAGTAAGCATTTACCTTATGACATCCAATGCCGCCCCCCTTGATGTCAAACGTGCTAACAACATGGGCTTCGCTCCTCCCAACCCCCAAAAAAGTGTGGGTTACCTTGCCCACACAGCCTTTGTCGGCCGCTTCTTCGGTTTCCCGTTGCAGAGTACCGGGGGCGGGCCGGACAGCTACACAGAGCGATCGCTCGCCGACGCGCTGGCCCACCTGTTCGCCTACGTCTTCCTCGACCTGGACCCAGCCGAGTCGTTCAAGCATCGAGCCATCGCCGGCCGGGACACGGAGCGGTTGGGCGAGGTCATGCGCAGGGTGGTGACCGACATCAAGGCGAGACGACGGCGCCGCCTGTCCATCAGCCAGATGGTGTTTGGTGCAGCTGCCAAATCGGCGGGCCGCTCCGACCCGGCGCTGCCCAGCTACGGCGCCCGACTCGTCGAGAGGCTCCTAGACGGATTGGGAGGCAGCATCGAAGAGACTGTCTGGACCATCATTCCGACCGCTGCTGTTGCTTTGGCTCCTCAGGCACTGGGCGTAGGTTTTATCTCCTCTCCAGTTTCCTCCCTTGGCGGTGTATATTAAATGGTTCTGTCTCTCGTACTCACGGTATGTGTGATTACCTAGTGGGCCCAGTTGATCGATCTCTACCTGTCCGACAAGTATTACCACCACTGGCCGAAGATCCGGGACCTTGCCCTATCGGACAACCCGGATGACTTTGAGAAGCTGAAGAAGTATGCTCTGGAAGGGTATGAGTTTTTCCCCCTTCCCCCTCCTTCTGGGTAACTCATGAATCTTTCTCATCAAACACTTCATGTAACAGCTTTCGCCTCGCCACCCCAGCATTCGGCACGATCCGGGATTCGGCCGCAGACAAGACAGCCGTCAAGGACGCGTCCCGCGTCGTGGCCGTCAAGAAAGGCGGCGCGGTGTTCGCGGACTTTGGCGCCGCCGGCGTCGACCCGGACAAGTTTCCTGACCCAGACGAGATCAAGCTGGATCGGCCCGACGATCTCTACATCCACCACGGTTGGGGCCCGCACTCCTGCATCGGCCGCGACATGGCGACCGTGGCGGCGGCCAGCATGCTCCGCGCCGTGGCTCGGCTGGGCACCGTGCGCCGTGCCCCGGGCCCGGCGGGCGAGATGAAGAGCAAGACGGTGAATGGTGCTTTCAAGGTCTACCTCTCTGAGGATGGTAGTGCATGGGTGCCTTTCCCTACCGGTAAGCACAATAGATTAACCCAGTTTGGGTAGCCTTCCAACACTAACATGTCGATACTACCTAGTCAAAAAGGTCATCTTCGACTATCTCCAGACTGACGGGCGTTAGTGAGTGCCCCGCTTGACTTTGGGATGCCCCTTGATCCTTTGGTATGTGCGTTGGGTGGGATTTGTTGTTTGAAAACAAGAAAAAGTGATCGATTCGGCCGGCAGATTGGAATGGTGAGAGTTACGGCCAGAAATGTGTCCCGGTTACCAGACGTTACAGATGGAGCATAATAACCTGAATGAACTATGTAACGGTCTCAGGTAGTATATTGCAACTAGCTGATGACGACTCTACGAGTACACTGAACTTGGAGAAGAAAAGGAGAGACGACAGACTCTGGTAGCTCGCAAGCATACTTATCCTCGTAGGCGCGCTGGTCTGAGCGCGTTGCTAGAAGGTTCGGTGTGCTGCTGGGCGAGTGGAAATAGGTTCATCAGGGGTCTTGGTGTTGGCCGAGAGTCGCCGAGGCTCACACCGGGCCCAGCCCGTTACAGAGGTTGTCCATTTTTATTGAGGGTGAGCCTGGAATTAATCTTAATCTTTCTTAAGTTAATATTATCATTATCCCTACACCGCTATGCCCTAGGGCTCGCGAACCTTCTACCACTAAAACCATGTGTCATGTAACGGTCTCTGGTAGTATATCGCAACTAGCTGATGACGACTCTACGAGTACACTGAACTTGGAGAAGAAAAGGAGAGACGACAGACTCTGGTAGCTCGCAAGCATACTTATCCTCGTCGGCGCGCTGGTCTGAGCGCGTTGCTAGAAGGTTCGGTGTGCTGTGGGGCGAGTGGGGAATAGCCTCATCAGGGGTCTTGGTATTTGCCGAGAGTCGCCGAGGCTCGCACCGGGCCCAGCCCGTTACATGTCACGACGATTGCGCCGTGCCTGCTAGGACCCACGGGTGGAACCCGGCATGTGGAAAGCACGGGCCCCTGTGGGTTAAATATTCTGCACCTCGCTGCCGCGAGATCTGTTCGTAGCTCCTCGAGCTATGTCTTGACAATCAAGCCTGCCCGTACCTGACGGAATAGAGCTTAGACTGTAGTTTAGCCCGAATACAATTGTCATTGGATTGTCCGCCTGTCCCGCCGTGACACCATGCCTGCAAGGTTGGACTAAAAACCTCTGTCTCCCATATACCAGTCTGAAGTCTTGAATCCACCGACTACAGCGAACAGAAAGGCGCGGATAGTCGACTAGGCCAGCGATACGATCCTAGTTCTAGCCGTGCAGCTAGCCTGTACTCCAGGAGCCTCCCAGAACATAGTAGCGACCCTATCACCTTCCTTGCAAGCCTTCTCTCTTTGGTTGCCCACCCGTCGAGAGCCCTGTATAGGTCACTCTGCGAGCGTATCTCTGTAGCCGGCCAGGTCCTTGGCTTCGGTAGTTGGTGGCACCACACAGCTAAGTGTTCCACTGTCTCCCTGTCCTAGCCGAATTCGCAGTAGGGGGTAGGTATTCGAGAGACCCTGCCCGGAAGAGGAAGTCTTCAAGGCCTATAGCCCCGGTTCGGGCCTGAGTGAATAGAAAGTTCTCGGACTTTGTGAGGCCTTCGTGTCTTTCTACTGCCCTTTTGTCAAGTTTCGGCCGATGATCGGCCGGTTATACGGTGGGTAGAGCCTTATTCCGGGCCCTGTACCGTTGTAGTCGATTGGTGATCTCTTGGGCCCACCTAGCCTTCCAGGCCTTATTGAGAGGCTCTGTAGAGTCAATGACTTGGGCTCTCCAGGCTGCAATACCCTCAATAGCTTCTTCACTTGCTAGAAGTTGCATTGGCGCTTTGGCTATAGGTGAATATTAAATAATACATAGTTACTTATAAGGTCTAGACCTTTAATCGACGCATATGAGATAGAGAGAGTATACGACGAGATATAGAGGTGAAAAATATCCCTAGATATATGTGACGAATCTCGAAAAACCAACTTCTGAAACGGACTCCTGAAAGTTTAATTTGACAACGGGGTGAGGTTCAGTGAAGCCAAAGGGTTCACAACAAGCAATGTCCAAAGGTACTGACAATCTTGCACTTGAGTTGCTTACTGGAGAACTCCCAGAGTCCTCCAGAACGAGTGACTATATACTTGGTAGAGCGTTCATGATCGCCCATGATCGCAGTCTACCTAGAGCTATCCTTGATCACCTTGGGTAGCCAGCTACTCAAGTCTACCCTTGATCGCCCGGCCCCCACGGCTGCAGTGGGGGCCTCGTGCGGTTCCTGCAGTTATATCTTGTGCGCCACTGGGCTTGTACATATGGTTAGCTCGTGAGAATATATTAATTATATTATATTATTCCTACACCGCTGTGCCCTTGGGCTTGCCGGACCTTCAACAACTT